TGTCAAAAATGCTTAAAACGAGATAAGTCTAGGAATCCCAGGTGCTTAATTACTATGGTACTAACATCCCTAGCCACGTCACTATTCATACGAGTGCAAGGTTCCCGCCCAGGAGCGGCCTTACACATCAAGACCTTCGCGGTCCCAGCAACTTCGCAACCCCAAGTTGATACCCAAACTAACTAATGATGCCCTTAAGCCGCTGGAAGACAAGTAAGCACCGTCATGGTCCACTCGAGAACCTTCTAATAGAACTCCTCTAACCACCATCCTAGGAAAGGGGTAGCTGATGAAGAGCTTGCAAAGAGGGAGGCAGAGAGGGCTAGGAAGAGAGAGGCGGAAGAACGTGAAGACAGAGCCCTTCGCTCAGACACAAGACACCGCAGATCTCCCTCAACGGACTCTGTGTCCACCATTTCAACTGCTGCTTCCGCCGATTCTCGAAGGAAGCGGGAACATGACCCAGATCGCAGTGCAGAGATACCATCTAAAGGTCGTCGTCTGGAAGAAAGGCGCAGCCGTTCACCTCAAAGCTCGAGGTCCCCTGACAGAGATAGCCTCTCACCACAGCGTGAGAACTCAAAGCGATCTTACCGAGACAGAGACGCGAGAGCTCCCCGCGACTCGGAATCTGATCAAAGGTCCAAACGCAGGCGGTACTCTGAAGACTCAAAGTCTTCTCAGGCTTCAGATCCGCACTCTGAGCCAAGACATTTACCAAGGGATCGTAGAGACCAGGGCGAAAGGCACATTCGAAGTGGTCAAAATCCTGGGGCCCGGCCCAGAGGAAGATTTAACGACAGGGACGAGAGGCGCCACGGGCAAGATGCAGGAGAAGGAAGAGAACGAAGTCTCAGCCCCTTTAGCAAGCGGGTGGCGTTGACCCAAGGGAGAGGTTGAGGTGACGTGGTATATAGAATGGGTATCAACATGCGAATTTGGGATACACACGTCCAACTGTCCTGTCAAAGTAAGGGGAATGGCGTACAAGCTCGGATATAGACCGCCTATACCTCATCTTCTTCCTGTTCCCTTCTCTCTTCCTCCTCCTCCATCTCTCTAACCCTCAGGCCCTCGACCAGAGCCACGCCATCCACTCCAGCCGCCTCACCGTCCAGATCCCCATTCTCCTTCCCAGGCGCTGTTTTGGTCGCCTTCTGAGCTGCCGTGATTCTTTCGCGGACTAGTCTAGCAATTGCATTATCCGTCCGCGTGTTCAATGCCTCCATCTTTTGTTCTAGATTTCTCTTCAGGTCCCAATTCGGCTTCTTGGGCTGTAGTTTGAAGAGGTCGACACCCTTATCATCTTTTGCCTCTTCCTCAGCATGTACTCGTACGTCCTCTTCGACCTCTGCCGCCTGTTCTTCCAGCGTAGCCTTCTCAAGCGCGAGAGTCGGCGGTGCCTCGAACCCAAGCTTGGGGCCACGGGTTTCGGGATCGTAATTTCGACCGGAGAGATGTTTCGTTGACATGTCCGTTTGCTCGAACGGGGATAGCGCCCGGTCGGATTCTGGTGCGACAATCTCGTCGTTGGGCTGCTTTCTCTTCAGGTTTCTTAGGTTTGCGAGCCGAGCCTTGCGGTCGTCTGAGGCCGCGCTCAGGCTTGTGAGCGAAGACATGGTGGTTGGTGCCTTGGCGGGGTCTCAAAAAGTGTTTCCGAGGATATTTGGCTGGTGTTAATGGCTGCACACTCAGAGATGCTGAAACTTTTTCTTATTCGCTTCGATTGGATGTTGTTTGCTCGGAGTCTTCACGAGCTCTGTCACAAAGCAAAATCGATGTGGGGCGCTCTTTGCCCTCCACGCTAAATGCTCTAATTGCTTAGATAGTGGATACTTGATCACTACCTCAGTTATCAAGAACTAACAGGTCCGTGCTGTGGTACTTTTAAAGTACTCCCACTAAGTCAAGTCCCGGGTAGGCGATCGACGCAGATGCATTTTCTCGACATTTTCAAGGACCATCATTCTACGTAACGCTATGCAATCACCTCTTTCCTCATAATACTTCCTCATAGAACTCTCACATTCGCAAAATGGTGAGATAGTTCTGCGATTAACACAACCCGAATTCGGCGAGATGAAGGCAGCCTATATCTGTCGCGCTTGCGAACGAAAGCTTAAGGCACCGCCTGTAGCCCAAGCCAACAGGTGTCTGGTGAAGCAACCAGCACGATGGTTCACGAATGAAACGGCCGTTCGCTCCCGAGGAAATTCAGGTGGTTTGACTCATAGCCACGGAGAAAGAAGCCGTTTCGATGGAGCAGATTCAGGTCTGTTTGTGGCGCCTACGGAAGCCAAGCAGAGCCAGCGTTCACAAACAGGCAATGGGGAACCAGGCCGATTGATCGATAATAGCGAAGTTTTGAAGGCTCTACAAGGACCGCCGGTATCTGGGTCTCAAACACCAAACACCACCCGGCACGCTGCGACTAAATCTCGGCCAAAACGTGCTCCCAATCAAACAAAACTTCCCTACCGCACGACCAAATCAGGGGCTATTTTTCGTCGACAAGACCACAAGGCGATCAAGGAGAAGAAACGGATGATAAGGGAAATCCAGTGGGCTCAGGTTAAGAAGTCCGTCCAAGATCAGCCCAGGACCGATTTTCTTCGTAATCGAAAAGCATTTGTCTATTGGAAAAAGCATTTTGTGAGATTACACCACCAAAAAAGTAATCCTCGGAGGCCGTCTTGGTTCAAAACTGGCGCATGGCTATGGAATCTCAAGAGTTTGCAGGACATGCGGGGTGCTTGGGAGGCGCTGGATGTTCACACTCGAGAAGAAACGTGGCCAGGCTTGATGCTCTCAACCTTGTTCTCGCGTCCTGATCAAGCACATCATGTACTACATGCCACCCTGGACCCCTTGCCGCCCTCTTACGCCGTTCAAGATGCGTTTTCAGTCATCGTGACGATCCTCTCCGAAAAGCAGCCCGGAGATCATTTGGGGCGCCTGTTACACCAAAGACAGACCGAAATTTCAGAGCTCGTGCAAAAATTGTTGGGGGTAGCCTCGGACTCATATCAACCATTTACGCAAGCCTCCCTGGGAATTTTCGCTAAACGCTCCTCCAACTTCCATGTGAAAATAACATATGATGAATTGAAGGCTGCCAATATTTCATTGAGCCACAATACATCGCTTCAATATGCAAGCAAACTAGCCGCTCACACAGACTCTGATGGCGACAGGTACAAAAAAGCTTCATTAAGCATCCTTCTTGATGCTGCCGACAATGGCCTGGATCTCAACTCTCCCAAGGTGGCACCTTCCATCAGCAAGCTACTTCGCTGTGGCCACTTAAAGGGCCGCCAGGATGAATTTTCACCAGATGCCGCGTTGCATGATTTGATTGAAAGAGGGTTCCTCCCCAACACCGCTCACACGAACTCCTTACTCGGTACTCTGTGTCGACGCGGCCAGGTTGATGAGGCCATGAAACTCGCCAGACTGTTTATTCAAAATGGAATTGATTTAGGCACTCGCTTTTATCACGAGTTGTTCAGTGCTGTCAGAGACGGTCACCGAAGTGAATACTTTGGAGAGGTACTCGAACTAATGAAATCAGCGGGTATGAAAGAAGAGATGATTTTGGATAAGATTCTCTCTGCTGTCTATTCCTTTTGCGCAAACGAATTCCGGGCAAAAAAATACAGTCCCGTGCAGGAAATGCAACCATTTCTCCATATGCTTCGGTTATATGAGAAAAAGTTCCCTCTAGGACCACTCCAACGACTCATCCCGGAATCACTGCCATTGCTCCTCATACCAAAGGCAGAGACATCCGACCCTAACGTCTCGAACACGTGGGACTATGAGCGGACTGTATTGGCAATTGCTGGAAAGTATGTTTCTGACATGAGCGAGAAACCTCTACATCCAAACATGGACACCATCGGCATTATGTTCAAAGCCTACATTCTGAGCTCCTGGCGACAGCCTTATGAGCTCCTGGCGTTGTACCAACATTTTAAGGAAATGCTCGAGAGTGGGGACAACTTTGCTCGCGCATTGGTTAGTCGACAACAATCCCGTGTGCATAACTCCTTCCTATATGCCATGTTATCCCACCAAGGGCTAGTTCGGCCAGCTCTTCAGGTCTTTGGCGACATGTTACATGACGAGCTGTGGGAGCCAAATGCAGATGGCTCGACCTCTGCCTCGCAACGAACCCCCTGCCACCCCGAGCCCAGTATCTACACTTACGGCGTTTTACTGGACGGGCTGTCAAGGCGAAAGGAGATGACAATGATGAACCAAATCATGAAAATCATGGAGGAGAATCACCTCAAGCCAAATCTGGTGACCATGAACACGCACATCAAGAGCCAGGCTATGGCTCAGAATGCGAGCACGGTAGTCAAGTTAATGCAGTCCCTAGAAGCCCGAGGCTTTCAACCCGACCAGTTCACACTCGACGCTTTCGGCAAGCTGCACGACAAGCACAAGAAACGAGCATTGAGAATGATGCAGCGTATCATTGATGCAAAGTCCAAACTCCTCGAGCAACAAGAAATTAGCCAAGAGCCTTCGGCCGCTTGACGGTCTACAAATGTAGTCCAAAGCGCGCGAAAGGATTCAGGATGACATTCTTCAACCTCCTGAATATTGTAAATACACCAACCAGCTTTCTCCCCTGTATTATAAAGATAGACATAGAGATATGCATTTTCGTAGAAAAGAAGCCATCCTATATAAGGAAGCTGGATATTGATTCGCCTACCAAAATAGGCATTCTCCGTAATATATCTGAAATCGAGATTTCATACTTATAATTAACGTTGCAAGGGACGCGGCCGCTCCCGCCACCCGCCAGATCAAATCTACCGGTTTGCTACATGTAGCCTACCCTGTACGCTAGCCATTGGCAGAACGAATGATTTTGTATTAAATCGTCAAACTGGCTGACGGATCTTCTCCGGAAAATACCTATTCATGCTGCTCTCACTGCAGATTTAGCTTGTTGAATAACGAATTCTACTGTTGGGTGTGCCAAAATGCCTGATCCAGAGCTGTCACAGTTTACCACTGTTTTCCGCGCGTCCGAACCTCGCCGCACCAGACGAGGTCGGCAGCCCCTATCATGCACATCCTGCCAAAAGCGCAAGTCGCGATGTGATAGACGGCAGCCATGTAGCGCCTGCGAGAAGAGAGGCGACATCGCCTCGTGCAAGTTCGGGCCGCCTGGCGCCGCGGAATCTACTCGGGGGCGGCGGCAGGAGATGCAGTCCCGGCTGGCCAAGCTGGAGGAGATGGTGAGAGGTTTGGCCGATGAGTCTGCGAGGCTGAAGAGCGGCTCGGATCACAGCGAACCGCTCTCTAGGAACCAGACCTCTGCAGTCCCTCTGGCCAACACCGACTTCATCCAAAGTGGTGGTAGCTCTGGCAGCAGCTCGGAGTCTAGGTTTCTGGGCCCGACGAGTTGGGAGGCGTTGGTCGAGAGCATTCATGATATCAAGTCCATCCTGGAGGCAGAGCAAGATGGATGGGATGAAGACAGGCAGAATGAAGACGAGGCGCCCCAGCCAGAAGACAATGATATCATCTTTGGGGACGTCGAGCCCGTGACGATCACCGAGGTGCTCGACATGCTTCCCTCTCGTCAGGACACAGACCGGGCCATCGGCGCCTATTTCAATGCCAAGTTCATTGCGGTGCCATTCATCCATACAAATCATTTTAGGAGGACATACGAGGCTTTCTGGGACAAGCCGACCTCCTCCAACCTTCTCTGGATCAGCATTCTGCTTTGCATTGTCAGTGTGGGAACCATGGTCCTCAGACTCAAGAGCAACACCCCAACTTCCCCGGAAGCCATTGGCCGCTCCCGGGCCTACATGTCCATGGCAGCCCGGTGCCTTGTTAGCGGGAGATACCTGAAAGCAAAGGTGTACTCTGTGGAAGCCATGCTGATGTATGCCCACGCCCGCAACGCCCAGAAGGTAGATGCGGATCCAATCGTCTGGCAGCTCTACGGGCTTGCAATCCGCGTCGCCCAGAGACGTGGATACCACCGCGATCCCATCAAGGCCTCGTTCAAACTAAGCCCCTTCGAGGCTGAGATGAGGCGCCGAGTTTGGTTTACCCTGCGCTCATACGACATGCTTGCCTCATATCAGCAAGGCATGCCTAACATGGTACATGAGGATGGCCACGACACGGATCACCCGATGAATCTGACTGATGACGACTTTGACGAAGACAGCGTGGTCTTGAACCCCAGGCCAGTCATCGACCCATTCCCCATAACCTTTTACGTTCAAAAGTCGAAACTCCTACCAATGATCCGCCGGGTCATGAGCCATGCCCTGGGCATCAAGCCATTGACATTCCTACAGGCACAAGGAATCGCTGGAGAGCTGGGCGAATGGCACACGACCATGCCGCCCTGTCTACGATATCGTAGTTTCCGCGAAACATCCTTCACAGACCCCAACTACACCATCATGCACAGGATCATGCTGGAACTACTGTACCGGATCAGCATGTGCAATCTATTCCGCCCATTCATCGTCGACGCCAGTCCTTCTGCAAGAGCGACGACCGGCAAGCGCGCAATCGAACTCTGCCGCGACGCAGCACTGGGCATGTTACAGATCCACATCGAGATCGATCGCGAGATCCAGCCCGGCGGCAGGTTCTTCGAGGAGCGGTACATGGTCTCCAGCCTCTCCCTCCACGACTTCCTGGTGGCCTCCATGACGCTGTGCATCGAGTTGACCCAGTTCACCCACCTCAGGTATGTTGCACTTCTTCGTAACCAAGCCCTGCAAAGCCCCCCCCGGTGGTTGCATTCGCTGACAGCCCCAACACAAAATAGCGCCGAGGAAAGGGCAGACCGCATTGCCATCCTCTGGACATCATACCGGATGTGGCTGGCGAGGAGCAAGGACTCCGCAGACGCCCTGCATGGGTCGAAAGTCCTCCGGGCCATCCTCACCCGGATTGACACGACCAGCCCGTCGTCCGGTCCCGCATCGTCGTCAGCCCGCACGCTGCAGTCTGACAACGACACCACCATGACCCAGTCGAGCCAGGAGCTGGCCTCCGAGCTTGGGATCTCGGAGGCCAACTTCACGAATATGCTTAATTTCGATGACCTGCCGTCCCTTGAGACCGTCTTTGCCAACAACAACGAGACCACATATTGGGTCAGTACGAATCTTTACTCGAGACCTTCCTGTTCGTTATTTTTCCAAGTATGTATTTCTGACTGCCTTCTAGGGTTCCATGGACCGGTATCTGCGTCAAGATACGTCGGTAGAAGTCTGCCTCGATTTGCCATACCTTGATCTTGGGATCGGCAAGTCTGGGGGTGTGTGATGGCGCTTACTGCCTGGATGTAGCGAAGCAGCTTAGCATGAAGTAGACTTTCGTAGCAGAATTGGACTGGGCGCAGGGCAACACAATGTGCAAAGATTACTTTGTACTTCCCTAGGTAGGTAGGGGAGCAGCGAGTCGTTGGCACTGCTGAAATTAAGCCTATGATAGTCGCCCCTCTCATTAAATGCAGCCTTTGTTATGGAAACACGGGTGGTCGCATAAGTGGCCACCAGTCCGGCCTTTGGAAAAGAGACACAGAATGAAGCTCGCAAGACCCTTCTATTTTGCTTTGCGCTATATTTGCTTTCCTGACATCCAGCAATTGAAGAATCAAGGTCATAATGAGAGCGTGTTGCAATGCATTCACGGAGCGGGCAAGCAGGTTTGAGTTGAACAAATAATAAAAACTGATAAAATAAAAGACCGTCGCTTTTCTTTTACCTACTCCAATATTCATATCATAATCACCTATCTAATGCATGCATATCATAAAGACTGCTCCCACCGTAGGTATCTAGCATTACGAGACCATTTCGTCGTTGCACAATCCCATACCGTTCAAGTGAAGAACGATATATCAAATAAAAAGAATAAAGATAAAAAATAGATATAAAATAAGAAAAATAAGAAATGAGGGAACGGACCAACCGACACAATCACACACAACCGGCATATCGATTGTGAAGGTTAGAGGGGTATCTGTCAAGGCGACCTGTGAAGTACAGGTGATTTATGTAGCGATGCCACGAAGGACACGCGCAGGGTTCCCAGCAACGACTGTGAAAGGCGGGACATCCTAAAATCGAACAAGTTAGAAATGCATATGCTTTCTGATTGTGTCTGGCTCACCTTGGTCACCACCGAACCAGCACCAACAGTGCTGCCCTTTCCAATGGTTTTCCCTGCCAGAATGATGGCTCCGCCAGCGATCCAACAGTCTGGCTCGATTGTAACGCTTTTGCCTGACTGTGGTCCCTGAGCGCCTTGACGTCGTTTGGGGTCAATCGGCAAGGTCGCAGTGAAGATACTAACATTAGGGCCAATGACACAGTTATCTCCAATCTTGACCTCACAGACGTCATTAATTGTACAGTTTCTTCCGATTGAGACTTGACTGCCGATGGTGATGTTGTAGCCATAGTCACACGTAAACGGAGTCTCAACGGCCACATTTCGGCCAACCCGCCCGACATGAGCTCCAGGCGTTGCTTCTGACAAAGATATCCGCACCGGGTCGCGTGGCTGGAGAATCTCGAGAAACAGGCGAATTCTTTCACTCGTTGAGAGTCCGTTTGAGGGAGGCGCTGTAAGATTGTTGAACCGCCAGCATGCTGTGGCACAGCGCTCACGCTCTAGGCACAACTCCTTGTCAAAAGGATAGAATTGTCGGCCTGAGAGCATTTCTTCCTTCTGTGTCCGCCTGTGGGGGTGGGGGTACTGTGAGTGAGACAAGGCAAGCTGAGCTGCCACCTGGGCGTTTGAGGATTGGGGTTGGCCCGGCGGCGCTGGGCTACTGGTTCTGGTAGCATGGAGGATATTGATCTGAGGCAGTTGGTTCCCTGGATGAGGTGTTTCGGGTTCCGATCTACTCAAGTCGTGCAGTGGAGGCACGCGCTGGTAGTCCTTGGCCATTCTGTCGGCGAATGATGGAGGTTGAGGGTTTGCGCTCACTGGGGTAGGGAACGCATTGGCGGGCGTGTATGGTATCGCGGACAGTTTATTATCAGGGCTGGCCACGGACGCGCTTGGTATTGTTGATGCTGTAGGACGGTCATCATCCGAGACCAAGGGGCGGCCTTGTGGGGGGTCAATCCTGAGGGCCTGGCCTCGATAGTGTGGGAGGGGTTCGCGCTTTACAGGCTGGTTTCCATAGGGACCTTGCTGTGGCATGCCGTATGCACCGGGTGGTACATAGCTTGGATCTTTTGATTCTAATGGAACCGTGGGCAGTTTGTTTTCGGGCTTCTGCCATCCAGGGCCCCTCTGCGGAGGGTACCCAGCACACTCAAAACCTCCTCGCAGGCAATTCGCGCCTATCTATGGTTAGCACATCTGGCAAATAAGCCTTGCAGTTGCAGAGCTGCATATGTATGTACGTACACTGGGGTTTTTGTTCATCACATTTCTTCTTTCTCTTACGGCAAGTCATGCAGCCTGTCTTGGTCCGATTACTGAAATTGCGCTTTCTTTTCTTCGGGTCGTGCTGAAGAATTGAATTCTGCCGGCTGTCAGGTGTATATTGGCTTTCATACACCGATCCAGACTTGTCATCAGCTTCCGGGCTTGAAGGGTAGTCTCCATGGTCTCCATGGTCTTCATGGCCAGTTGGACCGATAGAAGCTCGGGGGTTGTCCATATGCCTGAGCGGCGGGGATGCCATGACATGGTGTGACTCGTATGGGCTCTTTTCGGTGGACTGTTGATGGCGCCATGATCCATTGTCTCGCGGGTCTGGAGATCCATGCGAACGGTCTTTTTGCGGAGTGCTGAAAGAGTCTCGATGGTGGCCGTGCGACGGGACTGTGGCTGTATCAGGGGTGCGCTCCTGCGTGACTCCTTCTCGCCTATTTTCAACTGAAGATGATCGCTTTCTTTTCAGCGAACTTTCGGAATCAGACATGGTCGATATTTGGGGGCGTGGGCGATCAAAGCTCGACTTTCGGCCGGCTTGCTCACTAGATCCAGCTGGCCTTGGTTCATCCACGGGGACGGGATCAGATACTTTGCTCGGAGGCTCCGAAGCTCTTGGGGAGCCCCCATTTAGCGCAGTAAAGGTCGACATTATGTGTGAAATACAAGATAATCCTGAGCCGTTACCAGAACGCTCAATATGTTAATATAATTCAGGTTCAAGGGGGATCCAACAGAGATTAAAGAAACGCTTTTCTATTGCGCTGAAATCAAACAGTAATGCCCCGGCAAGAAGACATATACTGGACAAGATGCTCAATTGAGAGCAAGTTTTGACCTAAGCAAGGGCCGAGTGGGCATGAATGAACAAAGTTGAGATGAGGAGTCCTGGGCGGCCTGAGCATGCGATCCAGGGTGTTAAACAATTAAGTCGGTAAGCTCAGTGAGTTGCTGTCGGGGGATGCGAGAACCGGCCTGCGCAAACAACAAAATCTCAATCGGTGAAGCGTCGCGACGGAACCCAGTCAGATTTTAGGCCCGTTTTGCTGCGTTCCAATCGCCCTGAAATTCCCTGGGTACCACTTCGGCAAAGGACTCGGTACCCGCCTCAAGATTCTCGAGATGCCAGTGGTGACGATGCTAGGAAGTTGCTTCACCGGGATGTGCTCGAGAGAGCTGAGAAGGCAAAAGACAGATTGAGCTTGGTGGTTCCGAGGTTGGCCGCGCTTGGTGTGGAAGCTTTGACGCGCGACTACGGCGCTGCGGTTGATGCGGCTGGGCGATTCAAGGCACTGAGCTGAGTCAAAACATGGGGAGGGATCAAATAAGAGTCGTCGATGAAGGTGTCGCAGCTCACTTTAAGGAGTGTACACCTCGAGGGCAAGAGGCGCAAAGCCAGTCGTCTCGAGTCCGGCGACCGACTGGGAGATTAAGTGAGGGCGCGGGCCGAAATGGTGATGGGAAGGAGAGGAAAAGAGCTTGCACAAGCGGGTTGGTGATGATATGCCCAGGGACGGGGGTGGGCGGCAGCTGCAGGACAAAGGCCATTAATAGCCCCCCGTAAGGTCGCCCGTCATAGTAAGATAGACAGGCAGGCCGCTGGAGGCCCGTAGGGTGTGCATCTAATCAGTAAGGTACGTCCCTGGCACCAGCCAGCACCAGGCCAGAGGGAACCGGGGAAAGAGCCTAGGCAGGCACTACTAACGCGGGAGGTAGGTACCTTGCTGAGGTGCCTTCCTTCGATTCCCAGCTGCCAACTTGGCCAGCCGCGTATCGCCTGGAGGCTACCAAGAGCTCCAAGGGCCATGTCTGCGTCTGTCCAAGCTCAAACCGGCTTGCATCCATTGGGATTTGACTTGCAGGGGATGGGAACTGCACTTGACGGTTGGGGTGCCTTGGAGAGTGCCGGCTGATCTTTGATTAAGCCCGGGACCTGGTCGTCTTGCTCTCCTCGCTCACAGTTAGTTGGGCGGCAAGGCGCTTCGCTACAGACGCTGGTGGCTAGTGTGTCACAGCGACCTGGCCCAGCGTGGATACCCCCACCCATTCCTAGTACTGGGTACGTGATGCTACTCGCCATACCCCTCCCCCTGCTCCCCAAGAGCCCCCTTGGCGTCGTTAATTTTTTGGATGCCCTCCACCTTCCGCTGCCCCATATGCAAGCAACCTATCGACAACTGTACGTACCCTCTGCTCAGTTTGGACCTTGCCTACGGCGCGCGGTCCTCGCGGCGGTCTTGCCCCGAAGAATGCAGAGAGCAGAGCAGAGCCAGAGCCAGAGCCAGCAGAGGCTTCCAATCCCTCCCTGCGGGCAAGAGCCCCTCGTTCCGGATCTCCCTGCCCTGACTGATCTGATCTCCGTCACGGCGGGAAGCAGGGGAGGACGTCTTCAATTAGTCATTTAGGCTCGACTACCACTCTGCCTCCCGCACCATCACATCACTTGTCACCTGTCAGCAAAATTCACCCGAGCGGCGACTCTACTAGCACGGTCACTCCCTCCAACTGGTCTCAGATGCCAATGTCGATGTCAATGCCAGCGCCAGCACAATACAATGGCTACCCATGCCATGGCGCGGTGATGGCACGGTGGGATCACGTACGAGCTTGGAGAGTCATCACCGTTGGCGAGACTAGAGCAGAAGAAGAAACCACCATCTCAATGGTTGGAAGCAGCTCCGGTTTTCTATAGTACAACCCAACGCGGCTCTCCACTCGACCTCGGCCTTCCAGAGGGAGGTCGAACCTCTCAAGGGACCAACGGTACTGGCGGTAGTACGCAGGGGCACCACTGCAACTAGAAATGCCGCGCTAGCACACATCACTGCCCTGTCCCTCTGCCCGGCCCCGCTCCGCTCACACCCTGCACTCATCCATCCTCCACACCACAGAGCACGTCGCAATTCCCTCCCGAGAAAAACGATCGACACTGTGGTGGTTGTCAGTGATGCGGCGAGGGTGCAAGGCTGCTGCTTGATAGCTCTGTGGGTTCTGTGACTACAACCTTAGTCTGCATCTGATTACAGAGCCGGTCAACAGCTCGAGCTGCCGTCTTTTGCTCGGCTCTCCTCCCCCCGGCTGGCGAGCGTCTGCCCATCCTGGAGATCGATTCCTGCAGCCCTTGGAGACAGACGCCGCGGAGCATGGAGACATTGAGAGTTGAGGCTCGTACCCAATGGTGTCAGGACAGCCGCCGTTCTCGTGGCATGAACCGGCGAGAGCTTTGGAATGGACCCTCCCAGCGCCCCTCGAGTTGGGATCGTGGCGGCGCATGGCGTTGAGCCCTGTCCATCCTTCCACTGACGTGAAATGGCCAATGGGTCGTTTGACGCCAGCTCGGTTAAAAACAAGAAATGGGCGCTAATAAGGGCGGAGAGAGTCTGCTATTGCCCCATCTGCTCTGTTGCGTTGTGAGGCCTGTCTGGCTGATTTCAGCTTCCCGCACGCTGACGGTCGCACTAACATCTTCCTGGCATGGAGTGGTCTGTGTGAGACTCCTCCATCGTATTCTTCGTGCCCAATCACGGCTGCTGGACCGGATGTTTGACATTGCGACGCAACCAATGAAACATCTGGGGACAGGGATGATGCTAACGCCGCGCCTAGGACGCATCTCTGGATCCGCGGCTGTGTCGACCGTGCACGCTAAACGTCCACAACGTTTTCTTCAGTGGCCTCTCTCCAAGGCGTCTGTGGCAGAGCCGACTGACTGGTGGCTTCGCCTGTCACAGAAACAATATCACCACCAGCCTGTGACACATGTCCTTGGAATGTGATGCTAGCCCATTCAGGAGGTCTGCAGCGCTAGTGCTGTGCCAAACCGTCAAAACGGGTCGAGCTTGAGCTCCTCTGCGCGCGGGTCTCAAATAAACTTGGTCTTTACCTCATGTGTCCGTCAGCCACACCTCCATGCCGCGCGATGCATGATTGCATGGGCCAAAGGTCCCAACTCGCCAGGCGTTGGGATTCTGGTGAACCACCCCGGCATCTTGTTTCCTTACTGGGCATGATGCACCTACTAATACATACTATTCTCCTTCTTCCTTTCTGGCAAACCAACATACATACATAGCGCGGCCCGGGCACAAACTATCTCCCACGTCACTCACCTTCCGCCTTGAGCGGCAGGGCTGGTAAAATTAGAACAGATGCGCCGTGTGTGCAGTGCCACATTCTGTACCTGGAGGGAATACTACTCCACGGCACGTAGCCAGCCATCACTGTGGAATCGTATAAATGTGGCTCCTAGGGAACACCGGTCTAGGCCAGGACGCTGGGAGCAAGCAAGGAGGCTGTTGCAGATGATGGGTAGCATTTTGGCCGTCATTGGCACGGACGCATTTCTAATGAGACAGGAAGATATATGGCCGCAATGCTAAGCTGCCAATTACGTCCCGTCCGCCTTTTCACCCGATCCGACACGTCTTACTCCGTTGGCCATGCCTGATTGGATCCAGGGCATGCTGCATATGCCTACTTGGAATGTGAGGGTCTTCCTGAAGGAGAGCAACATCAAACGGGGTGCAGCATGCGATTGTTTCTGTGGCAGACGCGCATTTGGAATTGGCACCCTTGGTGAAGGATCACATGGAGGGGTGCCAACACACCGCCCTTGGTTGACCAGTCGAAATCTCCTGGGCTATCGACGCCTCCCAGCCGGCGAAGCCTCCCGGCCATCGACCTCGTGGAGTTAGCGCAGTAGGCTGAAAAGGCGGCGGTTGGCGGCACGAAGCCGAGCACCTTGTTAGGGGCAAGCGACCACCCCGTATCTTCACATGCAGTCACCGTTCACCTGGCACAGTAAGGCTGCGCGCGTCCGCACAGTTGAGTACGCCATCACCTGATAACCGCTCGACAACCACACGAGGCACCTCCCATTCACCTGAGGATTGAGCAAGGTAATAGACTTGGCGGGGTCTTGATATCGCCGCCCACTACAGCATGCCAAATGCGCCTTGGTGACCAGTACGTTATACAAATGAAAGGACCTCCAACGGCAGTGGGGCCTTATTGATCCCTGCCTGTGCTAGAAGAAGGATAGAATGCCGTGGGTGAGCAGATTTGTTGTCTCTTTCCTTCTCCATCAAGGGCGTCTAAGTCGCATCCCTTCTACCGAGTCTGGATCAGTCGGGGCCGTCCCGTCAACGTGACCTCCCGCCTTCCAAAGCGTTCCAACAGCAATGTGACGAGGAAATTTAGACGCAGCAGCATGGCCTCGATGTGGTTGAATGAGGCGATACGAAATACGTCCCAGACGTGCCCACACCTCAGCACTGTCAAATAAACCAATGCTACTGCGAAATAAAGCAAGTGATTGGGAATGGGTCAAGCTCTGCCTAGCCGGGCCGAAGCAAAGAATACGAACCAGAAACAATATCCCACATGCGCTACATACTGCAGATGATTATGAGTGCCCCTTGAACGACCGTATGCTAACATCCACGGGGAAATGAGACAGAAGCCGGACCTGGTACTACTGTTACGATATAACAGTCACATAATACAGACAATTGCACTTAACAGCACATCCCCTGCGATTGATCGCTGTAGATGGCCCAATTGGACTTAACACGTAGGCGCTCACTCGGAGGAGGTTGCATCAGACTCCACCCCTTATAACGTGTAATGCTACATGGTGGCGGAGGGTCATAATACAGTATGTCGCTGCGACGTTCTCGCCTAGATCTGTCAACAATCCCTTGGGCTGTGCATGTCTCGGCCGAAAACACTTAGTAGTCAGGTGAAGTGGAAGGGAGGGGATCCTTGTGTTCCCAGGTGTGAAAGCCAACAAATGACAAATCCGGAATGTCATCTTCATCCATCTTGTAATTAGAATATAGAACTTGGGGGGGGTTCTGGCTCACAACAAAACTCACCATCCCTGATGAAGAGCTCAAGGACTGTAAGGCAAGCTAAGTGTGATTGGCATACGGCGACCGGAGAATCGCCTGGCCCACCTCAGAAAACCCCCGTTTCTTTTATTAATAGCAAGGCATTGTGAGGGAAAAGTGCAAATTTAGGCAACAATGAATCATATCCCAGGGTGTATGCGGCGCGTGGACGAGAAAAGAGTGGCAGCATGGGCTCTCACCTTTCAATGCCACATGGAGGCGACATGACAATGACAATAGAGACCAGGGAGCCCCAGAGGGAGGAGAGAGCTGTTTGGGGTTGCAGGGCGGCGAGCCAATGGATTGCGCCTCCCGGCGGTCTGGTGGGACAATCATCTAGATATATCTACAATGCACATCTACCCTTTTTCTCGGAGGAGGGAAGCAGGGTCTGCAGAGCTGGCCCGGTGGTCGAGAGCGCCTATTCTACCTACCTACCTGCTGCATCCAGATGAATCAGATCCGCGAGGCACATCAACGGCACGGCGCTTCTTTGCATGAGATCCAAGAATGGGAAGAACCCTTTTTTTTTCCCCTTGCCCACCCAAGCAACCAGTCAGCAGCACGTCCAGCACTCCAATAGGCCAATTGATCTTCTTGCGGCCATCCAATGACAACCACTGTGACGGGTACAACCGCCCGCTAATAAGCGCCCGGCTCGCGTTTTCTAGAACCTCTCCCCAGACTCTCCAAGCGCTCAACCTCCAAGCGATCCATTGTTCGTGCTGGGCCAACGACCATCCCCCTCAACGATGCACCTTGGTCGTTGAGATGCCAATGCTCCGAGGCTCATGGCCGGCGGCTCTATTTTCGTCTCATGCAGGTCATCAGTGCTAGGCGGGCACACGACCTGGCGCACCCAAACCCATGGCAGCGGCTACGCATGTGTAGCGCCGCATGCAACCGTTGGGCGCCTCGATGCCGGCGCAACGGCAGGGCATGACGCACCGGGCGTCCCCTCTACCCAGTGGTACGGGACCGTTATGCGCGCCAGATCCGCCATGTGGAAGCCCATCTCCTGCGGGACGGCCAGGATTTGGGGGCGTTTGATTCGACCACCCCTCGAGATGGGTGTCGTCGCCGGCGGCTACATCTCGACCTCGGCGGCTGGTCTCTGCGAAACGAGGCCGTGGAACTCCATCTATCAGCGTCATCTTTGAGATCCACGGCGCCTCCGATTGGAAACTCGCAGCTCAATCTGTCCTCCCCAGAGGCAGGCAGGGCACCACGCGCCACTCACACCCACCCTCTCCTGCATCTTGGTTACCGCCCAACATCTCTCCTGGACACCCACCCGAGATCGGGGGATCTCCAAGAACCAACATCTCTCCCACCGAGCTGGATATAGTCTCCGTGACAGGTAGACTCCCCCCAGCTTGCAGTCTGCACACGCCCCTCCATGAGGCAGGCGCCTCGTTCGTACGGGGACTGGGGATGCTATTTTGAGGCTCTGGCCTCCATGCAGGCGCCGATGAGCTGCAGGGGGCTAATTAAGACGTCAGTCCTTGTCACACGCCGCCCTGCTGTGAGGCAACTTGTCCATGTGAGCAGTCTTGAACCTGTCGAGTTCTCCCCGGAATGTGCTCTCTTCCTCCGTGAGCTAAAAGGGGGGTTGGCAGGGCGGCTAAATGATGTTGGCTGAGCCCTAGAGTGCATATGAAGGTCTGCCCCATCCTTGATATCACAGTGTGGTGTTTCACTTGACCAGCAGGTCTGGGGAAAGAATAGTTACGGTGAGATACTCATCTCACGCGGATCGTTGTGAATAATGTTTTTAATCATTAGGATATGTAAAACCGTATCCATCTGAGTGGCGGTATCAAAGCAGGCCTCCTCATACATACCCATGGTCCCGTGAGGTACGGGAGGAAAACAAACCCAAACGCTAATACGTGATGATAGGAGAGGTCGACAGACCCAGGCAGAGAGCACCCTGGTGCGACTCCACCGGGATTTCTGTCACCAAAGAGCAGATTCCGTTACTTTTTCTGTCGCTTCGAACTTTTGTCGCTCGCAGTACTTAGCACGCTTGCACTACGCTTATTCGAGGCACCGCTGCTTCCTGGCCGTAAAGCTTTACCCTCCACCCCAATCTCCTCCTCCTTTTGAGCGCCCGCTGCTTTGGTATTTTTAGGAGCATCGCCTTCTTCGACGTCATCTAGGTCGGTTAAATCAAGTTTTGAGGTCGCTTCTGCATCAGGGGCTGCAGTGGCAGCACCCTTCTCTGTGTTCTCCTTGGAAGAATCCTCTTGCGCCTTTGAGTTCTCGCTGTCAGGTGGAGCATTGGTCTTTTCTCGCTCAGCTTTCTTGGCAAGCTCAATTTTGATCTCTCCGTCGAGCTTATCAGAAACCTTGCGAGCTTCTAGGAGGCTATTGACAGCTCCTAGAAGCTGCTCATACTGTAGTGTTGTAGCAGACGTGGGCATTACCAACTTGCTTGGCACATCCAATTCATTAAGAGTGTTGTTGATGCGTAGTTGTTGCTGGTTAGACTTGTGAGAGAATAATTTGTTGATTTTCTCTGTTCGGAACGTAGGGCCAGAACCCAGCCGGTCATGATGCGAAACACCATAGATTGCCTCCTCCTTCTCAGTGAGCTTCGGCCGCTCGGCAGGCGGCTGTTGGGTTTGTGATTGGCCTTTCTTGTTTGCTGCAGTAGGTGTTCCAGTTGCTGGAGGTTCGCGATTTCCGGTAGACGGGCCACTGCTCTCCCGCCTGCCAGGGTCCTGGACTGGAGCTTGTGGAGGTGCGGGATTCGAGGGACTTGCTCCTTCGGGTCCGGGTAGCGTCTTGCGCTTCTTGGATGTCGCATTCATGAGCGTACCAAGAAGCGTTTGAAGGCCGGCGGATGACTTGAAGCTGCTGATATCTGTCTCTGCGTGGGGGTAATCCAGACGGCTATACAGCTCTCTTCGCTCCTCGTTAAAGCGCTCACTCCGAGCTAGTATGCGTTTGATCTCCAGAAGAAGAGACTCCTCCTCACGAGATTCTTCTCTTGACCGCGTAAATGCATTCAGAGCAAAGTTCTTCCGCATCTTCTCTTGCTCCGGATTGAAATGTGCCATTAGTTCATGCAATGCGAACTCAGGCTGCGTCATGTACTGAACAGGCTTCTGGACTGCCATCATCTTGGCCGCCACCTCGTAGTAACGGGATTTTAAATCCTCCATAGTGCGAGCCTGAGTGTCCGGCAACGGGACGATAGCCTTACTCTCATCGCCGTTTTCGTTGGCTTCACCATTAGTTGCCGGGGGTGTCCACTCGTATCGGTCCCAAATCAAAGGCCACCGCAAATCAAACGCCTTCGCCAGATCCAGGAGATAATCGGTCTCGTCTTTCGTCCAGGTATCGCTAGCCAGCGTTTGGGCGTACTGGTCGTCGCTGTATTGTGGGACGGAGACTTGTGCGTTGAACTTCGCGAAAGTGGAATCTTCCATTCCATCTTGCGTGGGTGCTTGCCCCTCTTGAGTACCATTCTCCTGCTTCAGCTCTTCCGCAGGAGAGCCCTGGTTTTCCTGCTTCTCCTCTATCCGTCTCCAGTGCTTTAAAATCAGAGTAGAGTCATTACGTGCTGTGTTCCGGAACGATCGCATCTCCCATCGTGAGGCCGGTTTGCGGTTAGCAAATCGTCTCTTTTTGAACTGGGTCACCTCCGGCACGATCGCGATGGGGTTGTCGCCGCCAAGATTGTGCACCTCGCGGGCAAGGCCTTTAAGATTCGGTCGGGGGGCTGCGAGCCTCTGCTTTTTGTTCGGTCGCGTGCCGGATGCGCCCTCCGAAAGGTTTAACACGTCACGAACGTCGGATGAGCTCATGTTGGCGGCCGGCGGGGTGTGGAAGGGCCTCAAGTACTGTGCTAAATATTAAATCGCATCGATGCACAGCATCTGATCATGGATTTTGATGCCCCTTGTTGATGAAATTAGATAGCGGTGGTTCATAAATGACTTTTCAAGACGACGGCGCAATTGGGTTGCAAAGCAAGCTGGATTGTGACGCGAATTGTTATCAGCACGTGACCTCGATACCCCTGGCAGAGTCCCTTTTCCTGAACGTGGCAGCTTCGCAGTCCATGTGAAGGCCCTCTGCGCATCCACCCCCCGAGCTCTCACTCGATCAGCCACCGTCCAACATAGTCCATTGGGTGCATCGCCGGAGTGTTGAAGATTAGATTTCCCTTGCGAAAATCTTCATCTCAAAGCGTCCCTCAAAATGAGAGCTTTCCTACCATTGTTGTCGCTGGCCTCCGCGGTCCAAGCTCTCCACTTCTACGTCGACCCTGCGACGCCCAAGTGCTTCTTCGAGGACCTCCCCAAGGGTACGCTGGTCGTTGGACACTATAATGCTCAGGAGTGGGATGATCATTCAGAAGTGTGGCAGGAGCACACGGGTATCAGCATTTACATCTCTGTAGATGTACGTCGTCTGACATAAGTCGGTCCCTTGTCTCCAGAGAGAAAGCTAACGCAAGCATTTAGGAGTTGTTCGACAATGACCACCGTGTAGTCTCGCAAAGAGGCTCGTCCTCCGGCCGCTTTACGTTCTCAGCTGCTGAGGCAGGCAACCACCGAATTTGCTTTACCCCCAACTCGAACTCTGGTCGCTCTTCATGGATGTCCGCCAACGAGGAAAACGGAGGAATCAAACTTAAGCTTGATCTCGTGATTGGTGAGACAAATGAGATTCACAGCACAGACAAGACAAAGCTTGAAGACATTACATCCCGAATTCAGGACTTGAATGCCAGGCTTAGGGACGTTAGGAGGGAGCAGGTCTTCCAACGGGTACGTTACAACTGATACAGCTCATGTCTTAGCACAATGCTAACCAATATGTAGGAACGAGAAGCCGAATTCAGAGACCAGTCAGAGGCCACCAATGGCCGTGTCATTCGATGGATTCTCATTCAACTGGCAGTCCTTGGTGTCACATGTGCTTGGCAGCTCTCTCACCTGAGATCGTTCTTCATCAAGCAGAAGCTCACATAAAGTTAACGCGGAAGGGAACCACGTTGTACATGAGCAAGCTTGAGGTTATGTTACGTGAATAAGTCTAGTGTTTTTGGGGCGAAAAGGAGAAAAGGGGGTAATCATTGGCGAACCTACAAGGAACATTCCAATACCCTCCATTAATTTTTTTATTCCAGACACCGTGTAGTGTGTACTATTATCAATGTCATTGTTAGATCACTGGAAAACAAGTCCTGGCGTAAAGCAACCGCTTTCATTCATTAAGATTTTGCCGACAATAACTCCCAGCTGTGAAGTAGCTAGCTTTCTATCCATCCTCACAAATCCTTGCTGGAATCTCAAAATACCCAGCTCTATTACCCCTCGCACGTCTTCGTGTACACCACTTTCTTCAAGACGTTAAACCAGTTCTTCGAAAACATATTATGGACAAAGTGTTGAAAGGGGAAAGTAAAAGAATGAACATATAATAAAAAGACCCAATGCACCCTTCTCGACCATCGTGCGCCGTACTGCACTCCATCCTAAACAAGCTTTCAATGGACTCGTTGTTAAAATACCAGAGAAAAAGGATCGGTGGAAAGGCTTCTGGGTCGCGAGACTAATGCAGGCTGTGTGCAGTGCGCTTTCGCTTCATGATAATGAACATGTCCCTCCGAAATGACAAAAAAATCTAGAAGACCTGTGTGGCTCGAGCCGATCTGTTCACTCAACAGAGCCCCCAGGACAGCAGAGGATTATTTCCAACTTCGACCTCAAGAGCGTCCCAACACGCCCAGAGATACTGACTGATGACCGCGTGCTCGAGTCATTCCGCTAGGAAAGGGTAGATATATGTTACATCATTACAACCAAACCCCAACACTCCGCAGCTAAATGAGGGCGGTCTGACATATAAGTGTCTCCCACAGTAGAAATATATCTCAGCAAATCGCCAAGTTATGGGCGATGACAGACTTTTGGCGATAAAATTACCTAACCACAGCAGATGGACTTCATGAGCTTTTGGAAGCCGCTTGGTTGGGGCTCAGCTGGTCGTGGACTAGGCTGGGCGGGTTGAGTCTGGCTCTGCTGGGGGCCTCTCGGCTGCGGCAGGTTCTGAGTGCTGTTCTGGAATTGTGCTTGCGTCGAGCCAGCCGGAGTAGGCATGTCCCGGCCACCCCCCACCCCGCTGTTTCGTGGTGCCGACAATGCGCCTGGGGCGTTTGTTCGATCTCTCAGCTGCTTGTTCGGTTTGTTCTGTGAAGGAGTGGGGGGTTGCGCGGCGTTTAAACGGTGCACTGTCAAGTTCTGGGGTGTTTGGTGAGAGCTCATATTCGCCTGGCGACTCCCGCTGTGGAGCTCTACCTGAGAGGGACCCAGGCGGTTTGGGTGATAGGCATTGTTGTGGCTCTTGCTGTCCCAGCCCTTTCCCGAATCCTTAGAGATCTTCATCCAGTCGTATTCACCATCCTCAACCTCGCCGGTATTCTTGAGAGCCTGAGTAAACAACTCGCGGAGATAGTCATAATCGGGCGTGTCTTCGAATCCCAAGTTTCGTACGTAAGTAAGATACTTGGAGAACTCCTCGGGGAATCCCTCGCAAAGATCCTTGATGGCAGTTGTCTGCTTCTTCTCTCCGATCTTCTCGTACTTCTGCTTGTTCGTAGCAGCTTTCAGACCTTGCCAGGGCAGTCCGCCCCGCAAGAAATACATGAAAACATGTCCTAGTGCCTCAAGGTCATCCCTTCGCGACTGCTCTCGGCCCAGATGTGTGTTGATACTCATATAACGAGCTGTGCCTGATAGCGACTTGCGCTCGCGGTATGGGATATGTTGCTTCGTCTTGGGATCACGATACTGCTTTGCCATGCCGAAATCGACGACGTGAATGACATTGGAGGCTTTAGTTCCAGGGCGTCCAATGAGGAAGTTGTCTGGCTTAATGTCACGATAGATGAGATGCTTCTCGTGGATTGTCTGCACCCTCGAGAGCATCTGCTTCGCAACCATCACAACTGTTTTGATGGAAAACCTTCGGCCGCAGTGATCAAAGAGGTCTTCAAGAGAGGGACCGAGGAGATCGATAACGAGGATGTTGTGGAGACCCTCCTGCCCGAAGTAGTAGACGTTGGGAATGCCAGCTAGTGTCGTTAGTACTTGCAATCAGTCATACAATTAAATGACGAACTTACGGCACCCAACGAGGATCTTGTAGGTTCTGTACTCATCTCGGAGTTGAGGTGCATCACTCTTTCGAGGTTCCTGGTTGATCGGGTTAGCACACAGATGGGAACTGATAGGTGGAGGCAGGACGAACAAATTTGATGGCGACCTGCTGGTTGTTGAGCAGATTGGTTCCTTCAAAAATCACACCAAAAGATCCCTCTCCGATCTTCTTTCCGACACGGTAGTGAACGCCTACGACGTTCGACGATGATGATGCCATGATGATTGGTTGATGGATCAATAGTGAACCATTTGATTGTGGGAGGTGGGAAAAGGGGTATTGATTGTTCGATTACGGTCGCGTTGGGCGTCGGAGGATCGTGCTGTGCAAGAACTCGAAAACTTGCAATAAGTCGAGTCCAAGGAATGCTAACAATTAAAAAAGATAAAACTGCGATAAAATTGTCAGTGTCGGTGTCACACGAAGGTTTAAATGACAAAGAATAAATAGCAAGTGGTGCAGACTCGGATGATTGACGGAAAAGAATGTCTCGCCGGGCTGGGCTATGTCCAGCTTGCTAGATCCTGGCCTGTTTGCATGGAGCACTGATCTGCTGATGCGGCAAATAGTTGGAGCCACCGTGCCGAAAAACCAGTAGAACCCCTGGGAGGCCAGTGGAGATGTGTTGGCTGTCAACCCAACATTGGTCTGACCAATTTCGAGACCAGGGCGTCCTTGGGTTCCATTGAGAATATGGAAGTGTACCTCGCACACGACACGGCCACAGTGGTTAGGGGCCCCATTGGGTTGCGGTACAGTGGACGGGTGCGAAGCAGAAGGCTGTGCAGAACAAGCCTTGCTGCCCAGCAGGCGGTGAAGGTGTGGGAAAAGGGATGCAAGACTGGAGGCGCGCCGTACTTGCCTTTGGGACTAAGAAAAGAGAGTGGCCAACTGGGGAGAGTACTCGGTATTCGACTCCTTGTGGTATTATCGTGGTCGCCAAGATGGTGCTGTTCGGGATGCTCGTCCAGTCGGGGCTGGGAAAGGCCGTGACGAAGCCTCCCAGTTGTATTGTTGTCGACAGGAGCAAACCAGAAGGTTGTGTTGGGTTGGGGAGGTCGAGAGAAAGAGGTTGAATGAAGGGAAGAGAAGGTCGAGAAAATGGCTTGGGCTGGAGGAAAAGGGAAAGGGGAGAGAAGGGTAGGCACGGGCGCTGCTATTGCCTGAGGTGGGTAGGTGCCAACGGGCAATCAAACAGTGCCCTGGTTGGCGGAGAGTGAGTACCAGGCTAGGTGGCCAGGCACAGACAGGCAAGCGCTGGCGGCAGTACAGGGTGCCAGCGGCCAATGCCAGCGCCAAAGCTGGGTCGCTTGCGAGCTCCGCCTGAGATGTCTGCCAATGCAGCACCTGTCAGGAGGTACCTCAATAGGTACCTCCCCCAGACCGCCTACTGGATTGGAGGTAGGCCAGGAACAGGGGTGCGAGGCCGCTTTCACTGATCTGGGACGGGCTGCAGCCGGCGGCCAACAACGCCTAGCACGCTATGGAGCACAACAAGTTCCGAGAAAACGCACTATCTAGCGGCGAGTGGCAACCTGCAAGACAAGATCATCAACCTGCATACGCACACTCATCAAGGGGGACGTGTGGGCTCGAAAACCTACTGGTCCGCCGTACAATGGATGCCGAGCGGCCAGTCCGTGCGGTGAGGTGAATTGCAGTACCGCTGCAAGCTTTACGCTGTTAGGGGTTCTCCGGGGGACCAGCTTGGAATGGAAGTGGAAAAGTTGGACATCTAGATCCTGGGTCATGCCCTGCTCATTTGCTTGGCGCCTGTTATTAGTTGGCGGCGCAGGTACGAGGGGGCGGATGGCGCTATTCGTGCAAAAGATGCTGCCGCCCCGCCCCAATATCAGTGGCCTTCGAGTGCCTCTTGCTGCGTGCGTCCAGCCAATCACGCCCGGGCTTGGCTGCTGGGGTGCTCCGGTCTTTCAAGACCTGGGCTTCCCGGTGTTTGCATTGAACATGATGAAATGATCATCTTAAACCCAAGATCTGCCCGGGCCAGTTGCAAACGTTCATTAGTGACCGTCTCTCTGACAGCTGATTACTACCCATCAGGCCGGCATCCGAACACTTCTAGACTCGCACCCGCACATGACTCTCTACCGACCTACCCAAGTGGGTGACGTTCAAATTCAGACACTCAAACATTAAGCTGCTTATTTTCGAGTCTGCGACCGGCATTATCAGATTATTGAGTGGCAATAATACATGCTTGAGGGACAAAACAGCGTATATTGTTGCATTATTTCGTTTTGTACTGCTGAATTCTTCTATCCATCGTAGAAAGCAGTCTGTTCATAACCACTCTTCTATTAGATGTCTCATTTCTCCGAAACCACCCACTTGCTACCTTCGTACTCACTTGCTCACTCAGGCAGGTCGGTCGTCGCCTGGACCGCCTAATGTCAATACCCGTCACCTACATACTCCTGTGGTGGTCTTGTGCCTAGACGAGGTCACCACTAAGCTTGTTGCAGGCTAGTAACCCCCAGCCTAATTCTTCCTACAAGTCCAGATCCATCCTCAGTTCTCTTCATGCAAAGGTTGATCTATGATCCCAGATCGTGAATTCGATGAAATCTCGGGGTATTATCGAAGACCAAGGACCTTCTCCAAAACTCGCCTATAGATTCCCAAGCCCCTTTATTTCCATCAACAATCCACTGCAGGGACTCTGGAGTCGTATTTAAACCCACAAACTTAGAATGCTTGCTGCTCTAGCAACGGTGAGCCCGAGGAATGCTGAATGCCAGGGGACCTGCTTGAACCAGGAAAATTCCTGCGGGTAGGACCGAACCAATAAACAGGCGAGCGATCAATGGGGCCAATCCGTGCATTTGCACATTGCTTCTCTCTCCGCTCGGCCATTGTCTAGAACAGAGTCTCTTGACATTGAAAGTTTTGGCCGAGACAAGCCACGACTCGAGACTTGAGTCGTCAAGACATCTAAAGACGTCCTTTTAATTCACCAGCAAACCCTACGTATCATATTCTACACATCCATGTGCCTACTGATTTCCCTCGTTCTCGTTATTTACCAAATTGTAAACTATGCCCAATACATACTGCACTGCCGTCAATTGAAACGGCAAGAATCTCATTAGAGATATTACCGTTTTTGGTAGGGGCTCTTTGTTGTCAACCGCGCGCCGATTCCTCCAATTAAGGTAGATCAAGCTCAGAAAATGCTCATTCAGGGTCTGATATTTTAATCTAGATAATAACATCGAATCTGCATATGTAGAGATTTCAATTGAGGGCTTTTCTCAATCAAGGAGTACCTATTGTCCTCCCCCGTTGATCCCCACGAGAGCATGCCCCAATTGATGACTCACGCCGTGGGAAGCTCCCCACCTGATACCTCGCTAACCTGTACTTTGACATTATTTCCACTGGCATCACTGACCTACTTCGATGATAGCATCCTCATGATTGAATGTTCCCATTTTTGGTCATTGGTGTATTCTCTGGTTTTCATAAAACATTATCTCTGTGCAAGCAGGTCTCGACCGTGATGCTGCAAATGACCCTCTTCCGAATACTCACAGGAATCTCTACAATGGGGGAAGCAAAAGATGGGGTACTACGTGCCCACGCTCTAATATGCTAGTACTATGTTAGTAGTTAAACAACCGCATTGCGTGCTATAGGTGGGCATTTCTGTCTAGCTAATATGTCAACATTCATACACTGGCAGCAGAAGCTACTTGTTAGCTATTGTTATTCCCAATCAATGGGTTCAATAGGGCTGTCACTGCTTATCAATCATGCCTGATCCCCCCTCACTTATATTGACGATATCGGCTGTCGGCCGATCCACTGGGACTGTAAGGTTCATGAGGTGTTTATATGCAGGTCGTTTCCCACGACTACAATATATCTTCCCTGGCTCTTCTACCTGTCGCCCTTTACCTTCCTCCAGATAGACCAGCCTTGAAGCACACCTATCCTCCGCCCCTACCGTCTGAACCAGGAAACACCAGGCACAATGTCTAAACCAGATGATGTTCCACCAATGACTTATCGATTCCTGGGCCGCTCTGGTCTTCAGGTTTCGTCCATCTCGCTTGGAGGATGGTTGACTTACGGTGGCCATGTAGACAGAGGTATATTTGCTTCTCTATGAGGAGAACATGGGGAATGGACTATCACTGACTGAAACGATCAGAGGGCACTTTCAAGTGCATGAAGGCTGCCTATGATGCCGGAGTGAACTTCTTTGACTGTGCTGAGGTCTATTCCGCCGGAGAGTCTGAGGTCGTAATGGGTGAGGCTATCAGGAAGTTTGGCTGGAAGCGTAATGATCTTGTCATTTCCACCAAGGTGGGTTTCCCCAGCCTACGTCGTGATTGGGAGCGAACCGACAACTGACACGAGCTGTTCCAGTTGTACTGGGGAGGCGCATTTGGCGACAATATTGTCAACAACAAGGGTCTGTCTAGAAAGCACATCATTGAAGGCACCGACGCCTCTCTGAAGCGTCTTGAGCTCGAGTATGTCGACCTTATTTACGCCCACAGGCCCGATCGCCGTACTCCCATCGAGGAGACCGTCCGTGCCTTTAACCACATCATCAATACGGGCAAGGCTCTGTACTGGGGTACCTCCGAGTGGAACGCCGATGAAATTGCCCAGGCCTGGCGATACGCAGACAAGCTGAACCTCATTGGTCCTCTCATGGAGCAGCCAGCCTACAACATGCTGGAGCGCCAGAAGGTTGAGAGAGAGTATGCACATCTGTACCGCGAGACTGGGCTTGGCCTTACCATTTTCTCACCCCTTCAGAAGGGTATCCTCACGGGCAAGTACAAGAACGGTATTCCCGAGGGATCGCGATTTGCGCAGACACAACTGGACTATGTCGCCAAGTTCCACAAGAACAACCCCAAGGAGAAGTGGGACGCCATCATTGAGAAGGTGAACAGACTGGAGCCTATTGCCGAGAGACTGGGGATTAAGCTGGCGACCCTCGCACTGGCTTGGGTGCTAAGTAATCCCAATGTTAGCACCGCCATCACTGGCGCCAGCAGTCCGGAACAGGTGTATGAGAATATCAGGGCTCTGGACGCGGTGGAGAAGATCACGCCTGAAATTAAGGCGGAGATCGACGAAATCCTGGATAACAAGCCCCCGGCCGTTGAGTACAGCTTCTAAAATAACAAAACTAGATATACGCTTCGTCTGTAACAATCCACATCGATGGCGCCATGGGAAACTCACCCTCAACTTGGTTCTCTGACTAGAGTAACCGTCATATAGACACGATATAGAGATAAATTCCGAATATAAACTAGTTTCCCAGCCTCATTCTGCCCGTGAATCCCGGCTTAATAAACGACCTTTAGGATGTGAAAGTATATGGTCGAAGAAATGGCAATAACTTATGAGATCTGGGATTTCAATGAATCAATGAAACTGAGGGTTTACGTTCTTGGGTCAACCGGTCGTCTTGAGCTCTTGTGAACATAAGAGGCTCTGTCATCCTTGGAAAACCCAGGAGCATTCTTGAAAATGAGTTGCTGTCCATATTAATACCGTGAGCCTTGTAAGCGGCGGCTTACCATCAACTTTTACGGGCTGGCTCAACTTAGGGAAGCACTTTCTGTTAGATCTTAGTACCAATTGTCCTCTTTCCGAACAGCTTGTTCAGGACTCATCGCCCACACGGCGTTACGAAGACCTTAGGGTCGAGCATCCCTTGATTGCTGCTTGAACGAGCTCACATCTTCTTCTCACTTGATACCATTTCAGTAACTGATATTTAGAGGTTAAATTCGGACTCGAGGCGTTTCATCAGCGATGATCAGCACAATCCATGGTACGTAGCCTAATCACACCATTTTAGGAAGCAACTCGCGGTCAGCACTGTGGGAACAAGGAACAAGGAATAGATATCAGGGGTCGGAGAAGACTTACGATAACAGTTATAGTACTACGTATGGTCCGGAGGCAGAGAATATGATACCTCTGATAGTCTAGCAGGGTATGTATCTTGTTGGGCAAGAAATCCTCAACAATTTTGACCATTCGTGCCCGCCCTGTTCACTAATCCTTTTTCTTGGATTTTCTGAAGTTGCACCATTGAATTCATGATCCTGGAGAGTCGTATCGGACGCTCAAAGCCCTCTTCGCCGTGCCGAGGCTCGGGCCTTCCCCGTTCCTGAACTCATTTTCAATGAGGATGCAGCGCACGCGACAACCCAATCATCTCACGAAGGCCAACACTACTCTCTGGGGGTATTTGATCGACCTTTGCCGATGAAACCAACGTGCACTTGGATATTACATGGCAAAATGCCGAGATACGTGAACTGATAGGACCAGTATTTACAATGTCACAGGGCGATAAATACATAGAAATAATATTCAAAGTATTTCATTGGTTTAATCCTATAAGGCAACGCTATAGACAGGCCCGGAACATCGGATAATGGTATGTAAATATGAGTATTGTATCGTTTACAGCTTGGCCTTTGTTGTCTGTGCCTTCTTCATGATGGGCTCCATCTTGGTGGCCTTCATGACATCGCCCTTAACCTTGAGCTTTCCTGACATGAACAGGCGCTGGGCATTGGCCTTGCCGCTGACCAGCTTGCCGAAGTCCTCGTCCGAGAGAGAGAGGGTGACTGTCCCACCGTGGGTCAGAGTACGGTTCGCAGATTGTGCAGCGGTTCTCCTTCGGAGGGGACGGAAACCCGCAGTATAGCGGAATGCTTTACTCACCAGTAGGCTTCTCGCCGACACCGCTGCTGACCTTGCCGGTCTCCTTGAGGTCGATGTTCCAGCTCGCGGTCTCGCCGGCCTTGTTCTTTAGTGTGAAGGCGAAGACGGCACCGCCCTGCTTGATGGCGTCCTTGCGCTCGCTGTCGCTCGAGTTCAGGGCTGCGTTGATGACGTCGAAGGCCTCGGAGGCAGGGAACTTGTCTATGTGGCGCGAATTCGTCAGCGTCTGCTTTGCTGTTTTACTGTTTGCGCGCGCTGGAGTTGCTGTAGTTTACTTACCGTCCTTGAGAGCCATTTTGGTATTTGGGGGCTGGTACTGGAGAGGATGAGAGATTGAATGAACCGGCGAAATGGAGCGGCAGAGAAGGAAGCTGGAAGAGGGTAGTAGTTGTTGGTCGAGGGTTCTTGGAGGAACTGGACCCTAGTTAAATGCGACCGACGGTCGCAATGGAACGGTCCAATTTAGGAGGTACTTCTACATGCATGTGACGCGAGCCTCGGCGGTTTCGTCTTCTTACATCATGTGGAATGCCCCCAAATTTCCCCACACCAGGTCGGTTCCAAGCCGAGGGACGTCTCAGTAGCCTAAACTCTCATGCGGTACTCCATACGATCTCATTGCTTAGATAGGATAGATTTATCATCCGGCGCATCTGAGATCTTCAACACGTTTGCCAGCAAGTGAATGAGTGGTAAGCAATTGGCGCGTTTGCCTCGTGCATTAGCCCTAGTACCAAGCAGATGGAGACAAAAACGTTTGCCCTGGCTATTTCTTGGTTTCGTATTGCACCTAACCTGCACGTTCATTCTTGTGTAAAATGAACCCACCAATTTGGTGTCGATGTCGATGTCACATTCACCCAGTTACCACGAGCTATACTATGTCTAGGTAGCTTAGCCAAGTACTCTCGAATCTGTATGAAATGAGCATAGAATTTAAGTCATAATCTTTTCTTTTCTAAAATCCGATCTATGTATTCTCTGAGATTGTGGATATTCTTAACTATTTATACATGATAGCATGACGCATTTTACCTCATAGCCGTCTATACGGGTGCCAACCAGCGCCTTCCGGGGTGGAAAAAACCTTAGTAGTGTACATGATTTTACATGGAAAAAAGCAACAAACAAAATTACAAATGCCACGAAGGCAGTGCAAAGTTCCTCGTCTGGGGCCAGTTCCTTTGTCTGAATTGTCATTGTTAGCAACATTAAAATAGGGAGACAGAGCCAGAGCTAAAAGAAGGTTCAAGCCTACCGGGTCAAAAGAAGAACGGTCATCCTCTTCCTTCGTTCATTGATATCCTCGTCTGCAGTGAGTCGTAGCCAGTCGCCCAATGCAGCCTTCATGTCCGAGTCGCTCTTGCCAAGCACATTGATGCCGCGCTCCATGCATGCAATCCGCAGCTCCTCCTTGATGAGGCCTGTGATGCCGCCATTTTCGATCAATTTCTTGTCATCGCCTTCGAGGAACGCCAGTCGCCAGTGACCTTTGGCCAGCCACATGCCTGGGGGTATGAATTGAAGGTGCTCCCAGGGCGCGCCGGAGAGGTAGAGACTTCGGAGTACATGGTTTCGAGCTGTATGCTTGGAGAGACCGACAGTCAGGGCGCCCGCGGGGGCTTTAGCCTCGAATTGCTCAAACGCGAGCTTGCGCCTCGCCTCTGCTTTCTCGAGATGTCGCGATGTGAGCATGGGAGGGCGGCACGGTATTGGTACGAGGCCGGAGAGGACGAGAATGACGAAGGGCGACATCTCCCCTGCGATTAGCAGTAAAAGGCCAAAAGCAGGTAGGCGGATCATATCATGGCGCACGCGCCAGAATAAGACCCAATCTGCACGCGAAAACGTTCGTGGCACATGGTGAGGCTTGAAGACGGAGGGGAGATCCTCTTTAGGTGTGCTTTTCAGCCTGTCGGCAAGAAGCCGACGGTTTGCAAGGACGTTCTTGAAGCCATCCTTGAAAAAATAGAGGTATGCCTTGCCCAGGGCGATGTAGTATTGGATCGCTTGATCGTATGCTTCTCGGATCGGAATGTTGATGGGAGGTGGCCGACACTGAGCGGGGGGATTTAATTTCGTATTCTCAGGTTTCTTGGTCAACTGCGCCCTCCGAGATCTGGCATCGTGGCTCGAATACCGCACTTGCGATGATGATGGTAGTTGTTTGATGCGATTTCTGACAGCTGGCGCGTTTGCGAAAGCTCGGACTCCGAGAAGTCTGCTACTGTTGTGGACGCAATTCTGTAATGGCGTAATTGCACTCGAATTCATGATTCGCGCCTGAGAACGCAAAAGCATGATTGCATTTGGCGACATGGCAACGGCAATCCCATCAAACGTATCTTGAAGACGTGCCGTGTCCAGGAAATAATTGATGACCGATGTTATCGATTACTATCGATAAGCATCCCACTACACCCACAAAGAGCTTTTCAACCATCACCTTGATGATACACAGATATTACCCTGATATCATAAAGATGTCTTTCTCGTGAATATGATCGTTCCTTCAATTGGGATATTAAATAAAAGGTTCATACAATTAGAGGCTAGATACTGAATAATACACTGCTGTAGCCGAGATATCTCTCAAATGGCATGGAAATGTACCTGGCCAGTACAGTTTTGCTTGTTGAAGAGGAGAAGCACAGCAATACCAGCTCACGGTTTTCCGTCACTCTGGATCTGCCACAGTTCGCAATTAGACTTGGCGTTGTAACAAGTATATGATATATTCCAAGAAGAACTGCCCAGAGAAAGAATCATAATGCTCAACTGGCTATATTTTTGATGACGCCATCAGGCTAAAAACATTCATGATTCAAAATTGCTTACCTCCACCTACTTTTGTGGATGCATTTCGCCAGTATATTTCAGAGATCAGGTTTCACAAAGTCACACCAAGGCCACATCTATCCAGCATATTAGACTGTCATCATGGTATTCCACGCATCTTCCGTGCATTGGAGGTTCTCAAGGCGCTGATAACTACATGAGTAGGTTCACGCAGACGCATCTAATTTTGATGAAGGCGTAACGAAAGAGGAGGCATACGAACAGGTCTTGCTGCAAGCCGAGGGCCTGTTCCATGGCCAGCGCAATTGGGTAAGTCAATTTATACATAGAGCTCAGCGTCTCGGGTTTCAATTACTATCTTAATGCTCACAAGGAGTTTTGCTTTTGATTTAGGTCTGGTACGTTGGATTGCCCTCTTGAATTTTTGATAGCCGAGTTGCTGAATGGTTGCTAGTAATCTCTCAAATGCCGCCTCGCTACTGTGGCATGCCTACAAATCTTTGCCTGCCCCAAGCAGTGAAGTCAACTGGGCTGGTAGGACCTCACACACATGACCTTTTCTCACGGAGAATATCACGTTGATCTCCGTCCCACTTAGGATTTTATGTGAGAGACCTGTCGTCATCAACGCCTCAGCTTATTCTTGGCCCTTTTCAGGGCAAAGTCGCATGCCAGACGATTGCGTTTGGTCGGGGTGTCTGCGGCGCAGCCGCCGAGTCACAGTCTACTCAGCTGGTAAAGGATGTGGAACAGTTCCCAGGGCACATAGCTTGTGATGGCGACAGTAAGAGCGAGATCGTTGTCCCCATTATTGCCGGCGAGTCGAAGACAGTCGTGGCCATTATTGACATTGACTGTGCCGAGTTGAATGGGTTTGATGAGGTGGACAAGAAATATCTGGAAGATCTTGCCGCTCTACTTGCCAAGAGCTGTGATTGGTAGCAAGTGAGGTGTGTGTACCGTAGGTAGTTATAGATAAATTGGAGGTCTAACAGTCATACCAACCGTCCCGGGATGTCTCGGGATGATGGAAACTGCTTTTGTCCCTTGCCTTCACTTGACGTAACTGGAACGACGATGCATTGACTACCAGCTCTTGGCAAGAACTAGATACTATTGCCTTGTGGGACGTGATGTTTCCTCATTGTCAGACGAATCGTGCTGGCGTATCCATGGTAACCCATCAACCAGGGTTTTCCCCTCTTTGCACAGGTTCGAGCCAGGCCTCTTGAGTTTGCTTTACTTCGGCATCGAGAAGACAGCGTGACGTCGATTGCATCGGGGAATTTGCTATCCATATATGTCCGTCCCACACTGATTGCTGTCTCTCTTGCTAATTTGACATGTCCTCTTAGGGCCGTGTTTAGTGGTGATGAGGATCGGGAGTTGCTGCCGGGGCGTCGCAAGCCGGATGCCCTGCGCCATTTCGCCAAGTTGCCGATGGCAACCTTATTTGTCCACTGGCCAAAGAAGCGCCCGAAAATTCAATGCGTGCATGAACGTGACAAACTCTGTGAGGAGAGGTGGGGACTTGAGTACCACTTCTTCTGCGCAATACGATCCGTGGGGAGGGGATCATCGAGGAGACTCGCACCACTTGTGGCTGTGGCCTGCGCTGGGCTGCACGCTGCCGACGGCTAGGTAGGGAGTAAGCACCCACCGTTTCAGCGGACGCAGGGCGCCCTCAAGGGGGATGCCAATGGCTGGAGCTCTACCCTCGTTGCCTCGCCATGAAAGCCAATGCCGGCTCTCCTGATGGGCAGAGGAGCTAGTTTGTAACATGATTGATGCAGATTATCATGGAATCCGTAATTGACACCTCCTAATATCCAGATCTTGATCCATCGGAGTCTCAATAGTGGAGAGCCAAGTGGGCTGGGAAGGCTGTAAACAGCATGATGCCAGGCACTGGTCGATGGACTACAGGGGTAAGCGCGTCCGAGAGGCTCAGAACAGTGTTTAGAGCCCGGATCCTGGTCAATAACCCCCAGCCCCCCGTTTCTATGGCAGGGAAGCTGGGCGGCCCAGCCACCGCCTGCTAGGGCACTGTCATCTTGGTGTAGGGGCTTCGACTAAGCTCCCCAGCCACGCCCCGTTGGAGTTTACAGCGCCGTGCTATCATCGGAACACAGCGCTCTTCTAATGGTGGATGCAAAGCAGGCTGCACAACATCACCCACGGTGCAACCACCACCTCTTTCTTCTCATCCCATCCAATTTCCTAACCAACCCAGTCTCTCTTTCTCTGGACATCATCGGGCTGGACACTTCACATTCCTGGAGGAGAGAGGGAGTCGGTTTTTTCTACTTGATCCTTTCCTTACTGACTTTCCCACCTTCATTCCAGCACAACGTCACTCACTCCCTCCACGCTAAAGCCGTCACCCCGCGGACCCAATCGACTAACGCCTATGTAAACAAAAAAGCTGCCACCTTGAACCTTCACAGCTCGTTGCGACCGGCTGTTTAATAACAATGGCGTCCCCAACGAAACTACACGCTCTCAATGGAGCTCACACAGCCGGCATCTTCGCAGACATGTCTGTTGACGGCCCCGAAATCGGCACGTTGGTGCTTATTGTTGATCGAGCAAAGAACCTGCCCAACAGGAAAACAATCGGGAAGCAGGACCCTTACTGCGCTGCGAGGCTAGGAAAAGAGGCCAAGAAGACAAAAACAGATGTTCGTGGTGGCCAGACGCCAAAATGGTAAGCATTTATCCGCCCACCAGTATGCTAGAAACAAGCAGACGTTGGAAGTCTGAATGAGGCTGATCTCTAACTTTTCGATGCAGGGACCAGGAATTGCGTTTCACAGTCCATGACGGCCCTGACTACTACCAATTGAAGATGTCGATATTTACGGACGACAAGAGGACAGATTTGATCGGAGAGTCATGGATCGACCTAAAGAGCATTATTGTTCCCGGCGGTGGTCAGAATGACATGTGGCAGACTCTAACCTGCCGGGGAAAATATGCTGGCGAGATCCGGATGGAAATCACATTCTACGACGCCCGACCGAAGCCTGATAAGCCTGCTGCTAGACCTAGAGTGCAGGCTGCTGCTCCTGATATGGAGGGCGGCTCTATGAAGCAGAAGACCCCCGTGAAGCGTCGACCTCTACCGTCAGATCCCGTCACGGGAGAGGCCCCTTCTCCTGTTGCCGCCGCTCCATCTCCAGCGCAGCAACGAGTGCCTCCAGTGCCTGACCAGTATCAAACCCCACCACGGTCCCATGGTAGACACCAGTCTCATGCAGGATATTCATCCAGCACCTCTCCTGCTCCGGGCGCAGAGTACAACACCCCACCATCTGGATATCGACAAGCACATCCGGACCAATATTCCCCATCACCAAAGGGCCCTTCTCGGATGGATCGGCAATCAAGCCGTCCTGCTGATTCCTACGATGTTTCTCCTCGCCACCCTGGCGACCGAGACTACGGAGCAGGGCAGGTCGTTCAATCTATTGAACCCCGGGGCATTCCTCGGCGGGAGCACCATGATTTACATATGGGCGAGCCCAATCAATTACAGTTCGCAAGCCCAGGCGATGATGAACGGCCGCCACCTCCTCCAGCACATAGAACACGGCAGAGTGTGGGATCCCAAGAGATTGGCTTTCGCAACAATTACGACTCCCCACCCCAGAAGGGAACGTCTCCTATGCCCATGCGATACGATGTGCTGAAGAACGAAGCCCATAGATACTCAATGCCCGCAAATTCGGGTAGACCTTCAATGCGTGGCCATGATTCCGCACCAGCAGCGGTGAATGCAGTGGCGCACTACAATAGGATCGAATACGACGTACCACCTCAAAGGCAGTACTCTTACGACCCGTCTTATGATCCCCACCATAGGAACATGCAAGCAACTGTGGAAGATGTTCCAGAGTCGCCGACAGGCCATTATCAGCATGACACGCACAGGTATAACGCACCAGCGCCCGGGTATGAGGAGGATTACCACCATAGCTACGAATCAGTTCCGAGTCCAGCGCCCCTCGCTTTGAGAATTACGCCGCGAAATTCGCCTTCCCCTCGACCCAGGGCATCCACGAATGAGATCCAACATGGCTACCAGATACAGAGCTCCTCTTATACAGGAAGGGAATTTTCGACCAGTCCTGGCCGTGAATTTTACGGCAATCCGCACAGCAGCCAGACACATTTTGAATCTCCTGATGAATGGGACATCCAGCGACCAGGCTCATCAAATTATCCTCACGCCGATATGCCCCCTTCTTTGGTACCTGGTGTTGACCCAAATGTGGCTCGGGAGATCTCTGATCGTATGCAAGAAGAGCGATACAATGATCGTAGGCTGAGCTACCAGGGTGCACTGGTTCCAACAACAAGGGGTCGCCATATGTCCGAACCCCCGCCATCGTATGGCCACAACCAGCCCAACAATGCATATGGTTTCGATTCTCAGCAGGCTGAGAGGAATGTTGAGAGACATTCCGAGATCACCTATTCCGGTGGCTCCGAGATGGCCTTGACCAGGATTCGAAATGTTTCGCCGAATCCGGTCCCAAACACCAATCACGCCATTAGGAGGAAATCTGTGAGCCCAGCGCCGCCTCCATCAGATTCTAGGAGGGTCTCGGACGTGCCATTTGGACCCGATTCGTTCAATGCGTTCAACTCAAACCTTCCGCCGCCGCAGGACGATGTCTCGGGCCCTGATCCGGATGCTCGGATTATCACACATGATGGGAAGGAAATCGATCCTTCTGACCACCTTCCGGTCGAATCCTGGGCTCCTGAGCCAGAATCGAAGTCAAAGCAGCAACCTTCTGACACACGGTCCAGACCAGCCCCGAATGGCGCACAGCCTATGCCACCCAGTGGAAGGAGACAACTCCGTATCGCAGCACGGCCTTCGCAGCCGCCAGCTGCACCCCATCCATCTTATGGTCCACAGGCGCTTGTAACAACAGTCAGCCCTGGAAAGAACAGACTGCAAAAGAAGTCAAATAGAACTTCAGCGGCTTATATACAAGGCGGGTCAAGTCCTTTGGCGCCTATTGAGCCAGACAACTTCCAGGATCGCCCTGGACAATATACCCCGACCCGTGGTGGGCAGCGGATGAGCCACTGGGAACATCAAAATGAGAACTACGCACCGCGTCAAGGCTCTGCACCCCCAATTCCAGCAAAAGTTCCATTGCCAGTAATGAGTGGTGCCAATGGGGGAGGGGCCGAGTGCTTGGCTCTGGTCCACGAAATGCAAGCTATCGATATTGGCACGGGTAGGTCACGCCGACATGGGGGCTACTAGAGCAATAATACGAACGGCGACGTTAAACTTTTGTATGATACTTTTTCTTTCTACAACATCTTGATCCACGGCTATAGGAAGGGGAGGTTTAGGTTTGATATTTCATGGCGCACGGTTTTCACACAATTTGGGTAAGGTAGGGGCGGGTCATACAATACTCAGTATTCCGATGATGATTAGATAACATGGGGAGGGATGATAGACATACGAATAGAAATTGCTTCAGTATACACTTTTGACCAATCTTACCTATTTTCTGTGCTGGCTGGTGAATTGGCAGTGGTGATAGATAGCTGAAAGAGTACCTGACAACTCGCAGTGGGTCGCTGCAGTTGACGGTTCAGTGCCCACTGCCTCGAGGTGCGGTTCCTTTCCCAACACGGAATAGTGCCAGGCCCCCCACAGCCTCTCTATCTTATCGGCATTGGAAGTAAAAAAAGTTTTGAGCCAAGATGCTCTGTCCAACCACCCACGCAAATCGCCAGATCCAATCTTTCAAGAATCCGCGACAAGACAGTGACAATGGCGGCGCAGGCGGGACCTTTACCACAGCTCAAGCTGCCATCAGGCCCAACTCCCATCACAGCGGAGCAGCGATACTGGAAGACCTTCAGGAACCAGCTGCTTATTCCTTCGCCGACCAGCTACCCAATCACCCACATCTCGTACAACAGCGACTCCTTCGCGGTCACCACGGGAACCCGCGTCCAGATCTACTCGAACAGGACCCGGAAGCTCCTCAAGAGCATCACCCGCTTCGGCGATGTCGCGCGCAGCGGAGAGATCAGAAGGGATGGAAGGGTGCTGGTTGCGGGTGATGATACGGGCAAGATCCAGGTGTTTGACGTGAACTCGCGTGCAATCCTCAAGACGTGGACCACCCACAAGCAGCCCACCTGGGTCACCAAGTTTTCGCCGACGGACCTCACGACGCTTCTCAGCGCAAGCGACGACCGAACCGTGAGGCTCTGGGACCTGCCGAGCAACGAACCTACCACAACCTTTGTCGGCCACAATGACTATGTGCGCTGCGCCAACTTCATGCCGGGGACCATGTCCAACATGATCGTCTCGGGCAGTTACGACTCGACGGTGAAGCTCTGGGATCCCAGGACGGGGAACAATACTGCTGTCATGACATTCAAGCATGCTGCCCCGGTGGAGGATGTGCTCTCGCTGCCATCAGGAACCACGGTCCTGGCGGCCGCAGAGAACTCTGTCAGCGTCTTGGACCTGGTTGCAGCCCGCCCCCTGCACATGATAACCAACCACCAGAAGACTGTGACATCTCTTAGCCTGGCATCCGGTGGTCGCCGTCTCGTTACTGGTGGCCTGGAAGGGCACGTCAAGGTTTTCGAGACGACAGGGTGGAACGTCGTGTTCAGCACAAAGTACCAGTCCCCTGTCTTGTCAGTGAACGTGATCCCATCAAGCGACGGCGTGGACGCGGATGATCGCCACCTCGCTGTGGGCATGCAGTCGGGAGTTCTCAGTGTGCGCACCCGTAGGACAGGTGCCGAGGCAACCCGCGAGCGTGAGCGTGAGAAGGAGATGTCGGCTCTGGTAGCAGGAACTATAGATGCTCACGATGCTAAGAAGTCGAAGCGCAAGCGAAGAGTCGCCGCATCTCAACGACTGGACCTCGTCGGCGAGGGAGCCGACGTGGTCATCGCAAACGAGCCACGCACATTCAAGAAGAAGGAGCGTGGCTGGCAGAAGGACCTCCGCCACGCCAAATATCCCCGGGCCCTGGATCTGGTGCTGGACAAGCAGTCTCCAGAATACTCATCTCTCAATGTCCTCACATTACTCCTGGCTCTTCGCCACCGCAGCGCCCTTCGAGAAGCTCTCGAATCACGAGATGAGCAAAGCGTGCAGCCGGTGCTAAAATGGGTATGCGGGCACATCTGCGACCCTCGGTACGTGAGTGTCTGCGTCGAGGTAGGCCTGCACCTCCTGGATCTCTATGCCGAGTTTGTCGGTGGTTCTACAGAGTTGCACGAGGGCTTCCGCACATTGCATCGGAGAGTGAGGTACGAGGTGGAGACGGCGCAAGTTGCTTGCCAAACAACCGGTATGCTGGAGAGCTTGAGTGTCGGTATGCTATGAGCGCGCGCTTGGGAGAAAAGGAAGGGTAATGGCAAGCAGGAAAACGGGTGCCTGGCCCGTATGCATTGCGCTGGCGTTCAGGATGGGATAGGAGTTGATTTGGATTTCAAAACTATAGGCGGTAGGAGAGAAGGTAGAGTAGGATACGATATGACGGGGAGCTCTGACGGGCCTCTGTTGTTTTATATATTATTCAAGACTCACGATCCAGCTCCCAACCCGAGCTGTTTTCAGTTGACGCTCAATCTCCAGTGACATACTTTCATTTATTCAGCCCGGTCTGGTCTGAGCTGACTTGGACGTGGCTGGATGAAAGCAAGGCGACGTGTAACTGGGTAGTTTGTATACACTCACGGCTGTTGTTTGCCCCCTAAGGGTTCCCTCCCGCAGCCATTTCAGTGTCATGTACCGACACAATAGGCAGAGTAACCCCAGACTACCTGTGGCTTCCTATCATAATCTGACATCAGTTCGTTCAATTGCGAGCTTTGCTGGGTTCAGTATTCCCTCGTCCACTCAGCAGGCTGTGCCTAACGGTGTCACCTCAGACTGGCCAATCCTCGTCCCTACCTCAGCCTCACTTGTTCGATCAGCCAGTTACACAGGCAGGATACTGACATGCGTGTGTACTTATGTATGACCTGCCGCCAACGCCGGTATCCACTCGTTGAGCCAACAGCAGCGATCTGAGGTGATTGTGAGCCGCTTCTGATAATCACATATGGGTTGGCCTCCTGCATGACGGTTGTTGCCTACAAGGGCAAAGCCATTATCCTGGTTTTTAAAGATACGCTCGTCCTCGCCCTACTAATTTCTGTTTTGTCTCTTCATCGCTCTACCCATTGCTTTGTTTGACCTTTTTCATCCATCACTCCCACCCCCAACCCAGTGTTTCCTGAAGGAGGTAGGCCTCGATGGTACGCTGTATTCCACTGAACATGGATTCCGTGGGAAAAAAGGCATTGGTCTCGCTCAAGACCTGGTACGCACATCTGCGCCCCAATACCGTAGATATTGTCGGCGATTTTGCCGGCAAGGAGCTCTTCCTCATCCACGGCGAGTCTCTTCTTCGGCACTGCCTTGACGAGGTGGACTTCCACGGTCAGTACAGCTCTCCAAAGCCCATTCCCCGAAACAAACGAAATCTCACACGCCAAGACAGATAATTTCCAGCTCCTGCACGCTGTTTGGGCCGTCGAGGACTTCTTGAGCAAGCTGTGCAAGAGAGGATGCAACTTCGACATCGTCTTCTTCAGCAGCACTGAGCCTCTCTGTGCGCCCATGACCTGCAGGGCCCAGGACAGATACAAGTACCAGCTTGCCCGGACACTGCTCATCCAGCACTTGAAAAACATCTTCTCGGCTGTCTTCGACGGCACACGGCACGTGTACGAGTACAGTGATATGAGCGACCCGGGCTTTGAAGAGTATATCAAGACGCACACAGTCCACTTCGTTCTGTGTCACGAAGGTGTTGGCGAGGATGACGAGGATTCCATCTCTCTCCGCTTGCTCATTTACCAGTTCATACGATCGCATAAGAATGTTGCGATTATCAACTCTGCCGAGTTTCGAAGCTCCAAGGTGCGTTTTGCGTGATCCGAGTTTTGGATAGCTCATCTTTGCTTGCTCACACGTTTCTCAGGCATTCTTCCCGATGATAAGCGGAACGACAAGCCGCACTCCAAACCTAAAGTTGGAGAGAAAGGACGGAGAAGCTTGTGAGTTGACAAAGTCCATTTTCGAGAGGCTTCCTGATAAGATCGACCGCTTGCCATCTGAGCATGGCAACCTCACTCTTCGAATGGCTATCAGTGTTGCTGTTTGTCAGGCCTTACGAGGCCATGCAGAAGACGATAGAGAGGAAGTGGATGAGCGTATCGGCGCCTTCATGCTACACCTGGCCGTTTTGCATGTATGCAGTCTGCTGGATCGCCAGATTGAATCGCAGACACCAGACTCGCCGGGCGACGCAGACTTTCTCCGCTCGTTCTGTGAGACGGCCCATCTGATGGTATCGGAACGGCATGCCATCTACGACAGCTACGAGGCTGCTGGCTTTCAATGGGACCTCTACGACCTGGTAGATGGGCGGGTGTTCTTTTACGTCCTGGGAAGATTGAGACGAAAGGAACCCTTCCCGGAGAACGTCCTGACATTGGCCGGTGCTTTGTTGCAACTGGTGTTGAATAGTGAAACCTCTCCTCTGGACCACATCTTGGCAACTTCTGCGACGACAGTAATCGATACCTATCAACATGAGCAGCCCGAAACGAGCGTATTGGAGTTCAGCCACCCGGCACTGGACGACTTCCTAAGCGACATCAACCTCAAAATAGCCCCCGAGACCCGAGACCCGACCGCGGACGTTGTCTTTGAGGACCTGACGCACTGGCACAATGCACGCAAAAAGCTCGTCCTGCCCAGGATGCCTTCGAAGGTCGGCTTCTTCGGCAGAAAGCGGCAGCAAAAGATGATGGCCGACATGACGGCGTACTCTGCCAGCTTGACCAACGCACAGGGGAAGTCCCTAGAGCCAGAGATCATCATCGCAGCTCCGAAGAAGCCCAAGCCATCGAACAACAAAAAGAACAACTCGGTGCCGCAAAGCAATGGGAAGAAGGCTCCCGGAGGCAGGGCAAGCGCTCTCAAAGCCGCGGCTGAGTGCCGGGAACTCAAGGTTCTAAAGAAACAGAAAGACGAGGCCAGGTACTGGGATAGGGAGTGCTCCGTGTATGAAAAAGACCCCGACTTGGTGGGCCGCTACTGGAAAGCCTTCAAATTTGCCCAGGGCAAGTCGTCGGGCGAGGGCACGAAGGCTCTGGTTTCCGAGGTCGAGGTTTACATGTGCAATGTGCTGTGCAAGATCTGGAGCATGGAAGGGATGGGCAGGAAGCTGGCCGCAACTCACCACCGGGGATACTACATCATCGCAATGCTGTGGAACTGTATGCGGAAGTGTTCCAACGATCAGTCACTCACGCCAGAAGTGGCAGATGCTCTCACGCGACTGAACAAGCATCTAAAGATGCCCTCTTTGCCCTTCCCCCTTTCCACCCCCAGTAGAAGCTTGCCTTTCAGATTCGATCTGGAGGCGCTGAGGGCAATGAAGGAACTGCAGATTGATCCCCAAGCCCTGCAGCTCGAATATGCTGGCCCGTACATGGACCGGCGGTTCGACTCTCGACCGGATGACCGTGTTCAGTTTGAACCCGACGCGTGGCAGAGACAAGTGCTGGACTCTATTGACGAGGATGACAGCTTGGTCGTCGTGGCACCGACCTCCGCCGGCAAAACATTCATCTCCTTCTACGCGATGAAGAAGATCTTGGAGTCTGACGACGATTCGGTCATCGTCTACGTGGCCCCAACCAAGGCTCTGGTCAATCAAATCGCCGCCGAGATCAACGCACGCTTCTCAAAGGACTACAGCAAGTCAAAGGTGTCGACCAAGTCAGTCTGGGCAATCCACACGAGAGACTATCGAGTCAACACCCCCACGGAATGCCAAATATTGGTCACAGTGCCTCAGATGCTACAGATCATGCTCCTCTCGCCCAACAACGCCGCCGGCCCAAGGGCTTGGTCAAAGAGAGTGAAGCGGATCATCTTTGACGAAGTCCACTGCATCGGCCAGAATGAGGACGGCGTGATTTGGGAGCAGCTCCTGCTGCTAGCCCCGTGTCCCATCATTGCGCTGTCAGCCACGATTGGAAATCCAGGAGAGTTTCAAGAATGGCTTGAAGCGACCCAAGTGAAAAGGGGGCGCAGCATGAAGCTTGTGGTCCATGACGTCCGTTATTCAGATTTGAGGAAGTTCATTTACAAACCATCCAAAGACTCGACTTTCCAAGGCTTACGGAAGATACAAAAATTGCCAGTTCCGGGCTTGGACGAAGGTCCACAGCTCTGCCAGAATCTCAACTTCATCCATCCCATTGCGGCGCTCATTGACCGTAACAGAGGTGCCCTCGGGGACGTCAGTCTCGAGGCAAGGGACTGCTTTATCCTGTGGAGGGAACTGAGCGAGACTCTCTCCAAAGATGATATGCGAAAATACGAAATCGACGGTCCCGCGAAAGCCTTGCCAACTGTCATTACCAAGTCCGACGTGAGAAAGTGGGAAGATGGTCTCAAGTCAAAGCTTTTTCACTTGATCCAGCAAGATCCATCAGCTTTCGAAAGGCTCAAGCATAAGCTAGGACAGGCATTGGAAGCAGAGCCGAGCATCCAGGATGCAGTGACAACATCCAGTGAACCCCCGAGTCATAAGAAGACTTTGTTTCAACTGGCTTGCGATTTGCATGAACAGGATGCTTTGCCAGCTCTGGCATTCAGCTACGACCGGACAGAATGCGAAAGGCAAGTGCAACACGTCGTCGCAAAGCTTAAAGAGGCAGAGGATCTCTGGAAAGAGTCAAGCCCGGAATGGAGGCGAACAATGGATCGCTACCAAGCATGGCAACGAGGAAACGAGAAGAGGCCGGGGAACGAGTCTAAAAAGACCAAGGCTTCTCTGAAAACAAAGAATAAGGATGGTGATGCGGATAAGTTGTCAAAGATGGATATTATTCAATCAGAGGCAAGCATCGAGCTCAGCCCCTGGGACAGTTTTGACCCAGATGCCCCTTTGGACCAGTTTAGCTTCGCGGACAGTGTGAAACTGCAGCTTTCCGAGTTGAACGAACACCTGGATAAATTGAAGGAAGAAAAACTCCACGCTTGGATGATCCAGGCGCTCCGACGTGGAGTCGGTGTTCATCATGCAGGTATCAATCGACGATACAGACAAATGTAGGTTTCAGTGCCCCCCCTCTGGGTGCTACAAAAACAGGGTCTTTCCAAGTGAGTATTGCAAAATGGCTGATCGATCTCTTCATAGTGTTGAAATTCTCTTCCGCAAGGGCTATCTCAGGCTCGTTGTCGCGACCGGCACACTGGCTCTCGGCATCAACATGCCCTGCAAGACTGTCGTTTTCAGCGGCGACTCGATCTTCCTCACGGCCCAGAACTACCGACAGGCATCCGGCCGAGCTGGCCGTAGAGGCTTCGACCTCTTGGGGAATGTGGTCTTCAATGGCATCCCTAAAGAACGTGTCTACGAGATCATGTCCTCCCGACTGCCTGACCTCCGCGGCCAGTTCTGCATCTCGACGAGTCTCATCCTCCGGTTATTCGGTCTTCTCCATGGGACTGACAACGGAGACTTTGCAGTCGGTTCCATGAACGCTCTTCTGTCCCAGACGCGAATATTTGCAGGAGGCCCCGAGGCAAAGGGGGCTGTAAAGCATCACTTGCGATTCTCAATCGACTACCTGCGACGGCATCACCTGCTGTCGGCAACAGGATCGCCCCTCAACTTTGCAGGCTTAATAGGCCATCTCTATTTCACTGAAAACTCCGTCTTTGCGTTTCATTCCCTTCTCAAGGGTGGATATTTTCACAATCTATGCGCCAGAATCGACACCAATCGTGAGGAAGTCATGCTCGAGATGATGCTTGTACTGAGCCACTTGTTCAACCGCATCCCCGTCAAGCGAACCGACACCTTCGTCAAATCATTACACCGCTCTTCGTCGGTCGTCTTCCTGCCACGCCTGCCGGCTTCGGCAGAGAAGCTACTCCTAGAGCACAATGCAGAGACACTCAACATCTTCAGAGGCTACGTGAGCTCCTACATCTCCCACAACCTCGCCGACCAGCCGGACTGCACCCTTCCCTTCTCAGGGCGAGCCGTGGGGGGTGCGAACGCGCCCCGACAACCTGTCTTCGCTCCTGGCAAACCGCCCGCCGCGATCCGGTCACCGTTTGTCGCTCTCTCCGGATTCGACGACACGTTCAAGTCGATCCACGACCTCTGCTCCACCGTCCGCGGCGGCGTCTTCCTCGAGGAGTCCGCCATACCTTACATCCCCGTCTGGCCCCGCGAGACCAGCACGGAGTACAACGCCTACCTGTACGACTACTACAAGCACGCCTCCATGAGCGTCCTGGTGCGCGACAACCGCATCAAGGACGGCGACGTGTGGTTCCTGCTCAAGGACTTCTCCCTGACTCTTGCGGCCATCGTCTCCAGCCTCGAGGGTCTCGCCGGGAGCCAGACGGGAGATGGCGAGGATAGCAACGAACAGAGCTTCGATGAGCATGAGTTCGGCGAGAACGAGGCCGAAGCCCGCGAAATCAACAGGGAGCAAGCGACACAGTCACGGGAGAAGAAACCGAAGGCTGCACTGAAGAACAGCTGGGATGATAGTGACGAGGAGGAGGGGGGCGAGCAGGAGACTACGCCTTCAGCGCCCAAGATCTGGAACAATGGTGAAGTGGACGCACCCGCATGGCAACGGGACGGCCAAGGGTTGGCCAACGTGTTGAAGGCCTTCGTATGCCTACAAGAGGATTTCACTGAGAAATTCAAGCGAGAATGGGCGTGAGGAATGACCAAAGATTTGTCTTTTTTCTGTCATCCCTTCATTAGATTTCAAGCAATGGAAGACACCAAGTGTAGATAGTACCCCTAGATGAAATGAAAATGATTGATTATTCAAGGGTGATGGTTATCTGCAATTTGTGCCACAACGAAAAAAAACCTCCCATGGAAAGAAGATTGATCATTGACTATCTATTTATCATTCAAGGGAAAGCAATAACACCGGCGCCTGGTCCTAGCGACTCAGCCCCAAGCTGTCCCCTTGCTTGTGCCAATCGAACCAACTTCTCACCTCGTGTCACAACTCCCACCTCATCATGTCAATCAAATCGTCTCCTGGGTATCCAATTCCGACTGAGTACCGTATGCTGAAGCTCGTAAAGGGAAAACCAAATAGACAGACATGCAATAAGACAGATGCTACCCCAAAAAGCATGAAAAAAATCACAGCCAAGAGAATATAGAGAATGATGTGCGTATCTATAAACTAAGACCAAAACCCTTTCTCCATAGTCTCGATAAAAGATCAGGTTTGCACCTTGATGAGGGTAAAAGAAAGACAAACTCGGATTTATAAAGCCATTTTCGGAGAAAACCAAATCTGCGTTGACATATTGGTCAAAACATCTAGACAGGTATAAGTTTGGGCCGACAAAAGTTGGCAAAAACCGTGGCTATCGTAATGTTGGCAATTGCTTATAAGAGGCCGGCAAAGAGATAAATTGTTGCTGAAAATTGTGAACATGCATAACTTGTGGGTGCGAGCCGGATTCCTTTTCGTTTGCAAATCGATCCCCGGTGACTATATTAAAGATGCTTCCCCAGCTTAATGATAAATCAAATTTCCGCCGCCTTCTGTTTGGTTTTAAAAAGTGCTTGGTGCAATCCAAAAACGCCGTTGCCATGTTGACACAGTATATGATTTGAAAAGAGAGAAAAAGAAAAAGCGAGAGTTTTGCCCTTAACGCCGCTATCATGTTCAACTTCCCAAAGCCCTCAATTCGGGACTGACGTGCTGTAGGGCTCCCGCATTCTTGGTGAGATGGGCGGGGTTCCGTGGCCTTGATTGAGTATTACATGACTCATATGGGGAGTCGCACTCGCGGAAGCCCGCGCTTGGGTCGTGCTGGTGGTGTGGCTTGAAAAACTAGAATTTGCTCGAGGTGGTTCGGGGGAGAACAGGTCTCGTTGCAACCCCTCCAAGATGATCATGTCAAACCTCAAAGAACTTGTTGCCGTAGCTGACTGTTTTAGAAATGCAATTGTCTTTTGGAACAGCATTTTCAGCAAGCCTTCCGGAACAAAACCCCCCAGAAGAGGGTCTTTGAAGGCAGCCGAGAGAACAAGGAGGTTTCCCCATTGTCTAATGCCCGCAGTTAGCAGCCTGGAAATCAAGTCGACACAGATAGATAGTTTTTTGGTATACTTACGCGTGAGCGGTTCCGAACACATTCGTGATAATAGGTCGCTGGTCGCCCAGGCCATGGAAAGCCCTGGTGCTCTCAATCAAGGCATTGATACCTTTACGAGCCAGTTCAATCATTGCCGGGTCAATCTCTTTCAACGACTTGGTGTCCGGATGAATGAACGGAGCGATTATGCCAGATCGGAATTCCGACCATCTCGATGAGGGGTCATCTGGACTTTCCTTTGCCCCATTCTTAACTGAGAACGAAAATTGAAGAATCTGCCTCACAAAGGGGCGGTACGTGATGACTTGAGCACCCCAGTACTTAGCCCGTAGGCGAGCTGACAAGATATCCTCGCCTGGCGGATCGGCTTCCTTGAAAGACAAACTGGGCGCGACCCAGTGCATACCCGACACAGCATCCGCAACCAAATCCACATTCTGGAACTTGTTGTCGTTGATGGACCCGTCGGGATCATCAGGCGCGTAGAACATGCGATGAATGCTGTTCAAGTGGGTCCTTAGATATAGCTGACCCGGGTAGCTGTCCAGAATACGCTGGTCAAAGCCTGCCATGAGAATCATGCTTGGATGCGGCATGTCGTCTTCGTACGAGAGCAGCCCGGATGGTGGCAATGGGAACTCGGCAATGAGATCACTTGTTCGACGATCAGTAGCTGTACGAGAATCAAGGCCACGGTATAAAGTCTTACCTCTCAAGCTGAAGGCACGTCCAAAAAGCCAGCGCAAGATTATTGTACTTCGGCTGCACAATAAATTCATTCTTCTTCTTAAAAGCCTGCAACTTATCAAGGCTCCTAAAATGCAAGTACATCGTTAGCACGGAACGGAAAGGAAGAGTAGAAGACAAGCTTACGGTCGCATGAGAACTTGTAGCTGATGGCTGGCCTTATGGATGAAGGCAAAACTCTCCAGAGGCCGACCCAGCTGTCCCTGATAAAGACTGGCAAAAATGTTGGCATACACATTCTTCATGTTATTGTATGAACCAGTGAGATTGCCCAGAATGTCAGTGGCGTAAGCAAAATATTCCAGCCCTGGGATCACATCAAAATTCTTCTTCAGGCTATAACCTGGGCGAGGGTGGCCCGAGGGCCCATGTATAGATGGCCGCCTGCTTTGGCTCCCTCGGCCGGCTTGGTCCTTGGGTGAAGCCTGAGCTGGAGACTGCGAGTAAGAAGGAGGCCCGGGTGGAGATCCTTGGCTAGGTGAAGATGGCGGGATGACACCATTGCGGATACTTGGGCTTCCGTGAGAACCAGAGTCAGACGTAGGTTGAGGGTGAACTACGTCAGGGATGTTGTCTCGATGCATACAAATCTTTCCCAGTGCAAGAACCGTAAGAACAAGTGCACTGTGAACCGAACGGGTTGGCTTTCCAGTCCTGATCGGCCCGGGAGTCATCGGAGTCTCGCTTCCATCAGGTCCAGGGGAGCGCTTGCGCTTCGATCCGGTCTGTTCCGTCGGCGTCGGCGTTGGTGTGGAAGCAAATGCAAAAGCCGGTTTAACGGCTTGAGGTTTAGCCGATCGTGGGTGCGACATGGGAAGATTGTCGAGAAACTGTCGAACCCATCCCTCAAGGGTTTTCGGAGTGACAATCGGGTGCATATTGAGAATGTGATCCTTAAAACTTTCCACATATGCCCACACTTTCAACTCTGTAAAATCAGGAGTGCCATCAAAAGCAAGCACACCTCCCTTGTATTCAACCATATCAGGCGGGCTTAAACCTCCAACAAGTCCAAAATCAGCGGCAGGTGACGGTGATGCCATATCCGAGGAATTGTCATCGGCGATGTCCACGGTACCATGATTTTCGGGTTCCTTGACGATATGTCGGGAACTGTGGTTATCTTCTCCGCGTCCATAAACCAGCAACGGCCCGCGGCTTTGCTCCACGCTAATAGGATACTCTGAGATATAGCGAATTCCCACCTTTTCAACATGCTTCCGCGTCAACTCCCGGATCGAGGGCCATTCCAGCAGGAGGCCGGCCAGCGTAGTGTGATTCATTGGGATCGCGGGTTCACCAGGCGGTATTGGTCGCCCAGGTTCGGCCTCTGCTTCTTCCTCGTTCATCGAGGGGAGCGTCGCGGGCGGGTAATCAGCGGCCGGTGCCTCTGCCTCCTGGGGTTGAGGTTGCGCCTGTGCCTGTGCCTGCGCCTGTGCTTGTGCCTGCGCTTGAGCCTGCGCCTGCGCTTGAGCCTGTTCTTGCGCCTGCGCCTGTGCCTGCGCCTGCGCTTGAGCCTGAGCCTGCTCTTGTGCCTGCGCCTGCGCTTGAGCCTGAGCCTGCTCTTGTGCCTGCGCCTGCGCCCGTGCCTGTTCTTGTGCCTCTGCCTGTAGTTGCGGCTGAGGCTGAGACTGTAAGTGAAGTTGCTGTGGTTGTGGCTGAGGCTGATAATACCCCGGTTCGCCGCCACCAACATTACCATTAACAATCGGCGACTGTTGCACCGGTTTTGCTTCCTCCTCGCCGACAGGGTCGCTTTTTATTGGCACCAACATCGGCGCTGGGTTGGAAAGGGCGCCTCCTTTCAATGCCTTTTCCACTGTCGTTAACCGGTTGTCCATTCTGTCAAAACGCTCGACCAGGGCGACCAGGGTGTTCTGCATTGAGGTGATACCCTCCAAAATATCGGCCTGCGCCTTGTCCGTGCTATAGTCCTTGTCAGCCAGATACACTTCTAGACCATAGTCCGGATTGGATTTTCCTACGCTTTTGGGACCGGGTCGCGGTATCGACATTCAAGACCTTTGTCTCGACAGGTTTTGCACGGTTTCGTTTCGTCACACTTTGCTTTCAGTTGGCGGCATTGATCGCAGGCCTATGCTCTCCAATTGTTAGTTCAATGTCCTTTACAAGGTAGATAAGCGCTTCCGGCGCAAATATAGGGAGGGTCCCGACCTGAGATGCGCGCGTGTTCTTCTTCTTTGCGGGAGTGTTGGAGGGGTACACTCCGTAGTATGGATCGTTGCTAGAAGAATATGATGCATGCGGTGGCTCATATTGGGCTTGTTGTGCCACAGGAGTCGGCGGTGGGTAGCTGGGTTGCCGATAGCCTCCCGGCACCGGATGCCCGTTGTCGTAATTCATGTGTCGTGGCTGGGTGTCAGGGTATGAGGGAGGCGGTGGGAGAGAGTGATGGGGGGTCGGCGGGTGCTGTCCGGACGAAATATCTGTCGCATGCCCCGTCGAGCTGGACCGCCGGGAGTCGTCCTGAGGTTCCCTCTTCACCAAAGACGGATCCCGAGGTGGATAGGACTGCTGGTAAGGCCCTTGCGCTGGGGAGACGGGGTGGTGGTGATGCTGCTGCGGTTGGTAATGATCATGCATTGGAGCGTATGGCTCCTGATCATGATGGCGACGGTCAGGCTCGGGGTGATGCGACACCGGGCTGGGATGAACCGGAGTAGGCGGCGCAGAGTGAAGGTCGGCGGGACGGGGCGTGAAGGACGCGTAGGGCGGTTGTGGGTGGTTATGCACGCGCGGAAGAGGAAGAGGGTTCGTCGTCGAGCTATGGGGGCGCGGCAACGATGGGACGCCGCCGTGAGGACCAGACGTCGACGACCATGAGAGACGGTGACGCTGCTGGTGGTCTGGAGGTGCTGGCTCCATGATGCGTAGGAGGCAACGCTGTACGTACTTGGGGTACTATATATGTACAGGCGCAGAACACGGACGCATACTCAGCGGAGGACGGACGAGGCGAGGCACTAGATGAAGCAGGGTCCACACAGATAGATGGCCGGCCATAGAACGGTATCTGGGGAGAGGCTCGAGAAGCTACAAGAGCGCACAGTAAGGTAAACGTCTGGCAGTACGTATCGGCAGACAGAAGGGTGAGGTCCGTGATTGGGTCCCAAGCAGCCCAGGCTTCTGGGGTTGGCTTGACTCGCGCGCACGCAGTTGGCCGAACAAGCTTGCTTGGACTGGCGGGCGGGAGAGGGTTAGCAAACCAGACGAGGGCAACACCACAGGCAGGAGATGTGTCAGAACGGAAGCCAGGTCCAGCTCAGCACGCGCGCACAGTACACACGCCAATGGGTCCCCCGCAATAGCCGAGCCCAACAGAAGGCCTCTCTGGAGGCAAAAGGTGGCAGGGCGGGCAGGACAGGACAGGGCAGGGTAGGTACGCAGGCGGGCAGGCTGCAGGGCAGGTTGAGACGAACCGACCGGCCAGAGCAGATATTACGGCGAGGAGGGATCTGCAGTTGGGCAGAGATGGATGGAGCTTGTCTCCGTCTGCCTCGGACTCACTCGAACACACAGAGCTCCGCACCAGCACCAGCTCAGTACAGCGGTACTGTACTACTATGGAGGTCCGACTGTCAAAGGTGGAGCCAAAGCTCCTTTGCTGGGTCTCGTACGAGTGAGATCAGCAGCTTGGGGGGGTGTGGGAAGAGAGAGAAAAAGAGGCCAGTCGACCTTGAATGAGTCGCGGGCGAGACACAATGGCTGATGGGTAGGTAGGAGGAGTATGAAGAGACTAAAACTCCACTCCACGCACGGTTGGGTTGGCGACACAAACGGAGGAAGACGGAGGTGGGCGGCGAGAAAATGCGGCGACGATGGCCAACCGGCGAAAGTGACGTTGACCAGATCTAGCGGAAACGTGAGAGGTGAGACAGTACACCTACAATTACGCTTGACGAGGGTGCTGGCGTTGGCCTGGGTGGCCATGTCTAACAAGGATCAAGGTCTGGCCCGGACCCTTGGCGGAACTGGGGGTGACAGAACCAAGGTAGCCTCTCAGAATGAGAAGAAGGGGGTTTGAACGAGCTCTTTTTGGCGCACGCAGAGGGCCCTTGTCTCCACGAGTCCAAATAGCACGCGCTCGTTGGTACCCTTCCAGGGTGCGATTTGGGGGTCCTCTTTTATTTTCTTTTTCCTCCAAGAGTCCCCCATTGCAATATCTCGAGCTCCATCACTAGAAGCGCGGCCCTGGCTCTCAGATGATCCATTCTTTCAATGTCGTAGCCGCCAACCTGGGACGGAAGGATGGGCATCATTGCTGTGTGTCCAGGAGGCAGAGCCTGTCTCCCAGAGCCAGCCATCGATAAGCCGCAATTCCTAGACAGAGCAGGCGGACATCGTATGTGGGGTCGAGAGTGGGTGCCTGAGGCTGCTCAAGATCATTGGGCTTGGGCCAAACACGGGCCAGGGGATGGTCGAGGCATGTACGCCGCATTGCACCTGCTGGTGTCTGGGCGGGCGGAACCCCAAGGCGCACGCACGTCTATTTTCCTGTTGGCTTGCTGGGGGGGAGGTACTTGCCCAGACAGGTACCTCCTCTGCTTGCCTCACTGCTCACCTCTGTGTGGTTACCGTTTGGGTGGGCTGACCGACGGTACCGATCCGGGCGTCCTTCCTTGTTGGACACACTGATATCATCTCTCATATAATTGTGCATTCACCTTCTTCCCCAGTTTAACAGCCATGACTAGTGAGCGCGCTGACAATTAGCACACCATTGCGTCCCTCATGTCGGTGAGAGTCTCTGCCAGAGGCGAGCCATGTGAGGCATAAATTGCCCCCAGCGCGAATCGCGTCAACTGCAAAAGCATTCAACACCGCAATTTGAGGAAAAGGCGGGCACTCCACCGTGGGAAAATTGCGGCTGAGGGCAAGCGGAGACATTGTCCTCGAGAGAAACGCACTGAGGGTGGTGGCAGGTAGTGGTGGTCAGGCAGGTTCAGGGCTACTGGTGGTGGTGTGGAGGCCCCCAAACAGCAACTGTGGAGGTATCAATATATCGCAGTTATTAATAATTTCATAGTCCGGACCACAAACACACAAAAACAATCCACTACATATCATTGCATCCGTGGCACTGCTCGAGCTTTGGAGTTGGAAGGAGAGGGCCCAGAAGCGCAGACCTCGAGCGCTGAGACCATGTCCGGGGAAGTGTTACATCCCCAGAGTTTGGCGTTTTTATATCCCTTTGGCTACGTTTGCCTGTTCAGGAAGCGTGAGCCACGCCGTTGACAGGCACACGACTTGGGTATGGACGCTGTGGGAGGCACCAAGACACGCCATAATTTCCAGGGACACAGGGCAACAGGGTGGTAGCGGAAGACCCACTTTGTTTGAGCATCGTGGAGCAGCCCCAAGACACCCCAAGACCTACCTCATTACGTTCAGGCTATATGCTTGGATGTGACTTCGATCCAGCCAGATTCCCTGGGCACAAGGCAACGTATCGATGTACGTAGTATCATCGCAATCCTTCCCAATCAGCGATCCCCAAAGCTTTGTCTACAGTATCTCAAGGCTTCCAGATGGCTTGCTGATCCCTAACCGAACCACAGGAGTTGTTGACGAGAAGGTGGGATTTATTCCTTGCTCCCTTCTTCTTCATCAGTCGCTACCCTGCAACTTCTCACATCCTTATCAAGTCATCAATGCAGCAGTAATCATCACATACGTATGTAACTATGCCATGCCATGGTCTAGCCTGGTCGTGCTTTTGAGAGGAGGTTCTCTCAGCCTGCCCTCGATAAACACCCAACGCCCAGACACCCAGGGTAAGACCTGGACACACAAGTAATACTACTAAGAGGATGCTAGTAGTAGAGTAGTCGGCCAATCAGCCAATATCCCGATCAAGCCCTTCTTTTTGTGTTCTTTTTTTCTTGGCTTCCGTCCAACAGCACTACACGTACTACTCCATATCGGTGACTTTATACAAAAGAGTCTGTCTCAAAAGCATGAGAGTGGGCAGAAGGACGTAGCTGTCGACCTACATGATTACCAGGTACCTAGGTACCTAGTCCTTGTGCTACCTACGACGTAACTTTACAGTCACATGATCACAACAGGCGTGTCAATCACACCAGGCGTGTCAATCACACTAGGCGGGAGGAGATAACGTCCGGAGCGAGAGCAGCTAAGGCGGAAGTACATTTAAACTCTCGGCTCAGACACATCTCGGAAATCTTTCATGATCCAGTCTTTGGCCAAGCTGTCTCCACGCTGGGGCCAGATACGTCAGGGAGTACATAGTAGATTCGCAGTCATGCTTTGATTATAACAACGTGGTTCATAGCATTGGCACTCTCAATAGGCATGACTATTCCCGCTATTGCAACGCGGGTGTGCTTGGCGCCGGTGATGGTCCAAATCCAACGGGCTTAGCTCGGAGCCTGGATGGGAGCAAATACCCGAAGGGGGGGGACCAACCACATGACCACATTTTGATAAGATTGGTAGGATGGAGGAATTAATAATTCACAGAGTTTTATGATCGCTGCTATTGCGTATGACAAGTGATAGCGCCGCCGTCTGTGCATCTCGCGTCACGCAGCAGGCGGCCAACTCCATGATTGGCCTCGTCCACACGCTCGTGACATGTGTCAATGTCATGTGCTGGTTTCTGGCTGGTTGAACTGGCCAGCTCCATCTAAATGCTCGCTGGTACCTGGATGTACCGCCAAAGCAAACCTCGCCCTAGCGCCTATTGTGGCAGTAGGGGGGGAGGATGTAACTTAGGCCGTACGTAGCTTCCTCACGAGCCGTCCCGTTGGCAGCATGGAAAAGCAGAAGTCACCCAAACGGCATCCATCGCGGTATGGCACTTGGCTCTGCTCGCCTCTGCCTGAGTCAGCACAGCGCAGCATCCATCCTTATCCACCACCTCCCCATCCAAGTGACAAATGGCAGCCAATGCTGTCGCGATCAAGGTTGCAGTTGTATGTATTCCTACGCCAGCTGGCTTGGATACGATGTGATATCATCCGCAGCCTGCCTTCCCTTCGTATGCACTGCACCTTTCGGGCCTGGCGCGTGTGCTGCAACTTGCCGCTACTCTGCATCGGGTCTATCGGCCTGCTACCTGGATCTGTCAAAGTTCGCCATCAGACTCTCACCTCGCGCCCGCCTGGTGTGACGACTGTCCGAATCAAGCTCCAGCTGCTGAAGGTTGGTCATACGATGTTCGGCCAGATTAACCTTGCCTTTCCGAACCCCCCAGGGTACTCGCTACCTAGTACCTGGTAAGCTACTGTATTATCCCACCAGCCGAGTGGCTATCGCCTCGTGCCGCAAGATACCTTCCATTTTATTTTTGGGATTTTGATGCATCTCCGCTTTGCCTGGACCTCACACAGGGAGAGGCATCGATCTGGTCCCTACGTGGCGAGGTCACATTCTCTGCTGTCGTGGTCAGCTTGACAGACATGGGCGACGCGGCGAGTGGAAAAAAAGGCTTCCTCCTATCAGGGACGCTGCTCCAAACGCCTCCAAGGTTTCGTACAACGATGAACCTGTTCGCCGAAGTGTGCTTCCCCGCATTACCAACCACCCAGCGTATTGCAGGCCATTCCCTGCCTGCCTTGCATATGTATTCATGCTCAGCTAGCGTCTGAACGGCCGTTGCAGGCTCGCGTTTCTGTCGAATACATGCTGAATACATCGGTGGTCCTTGAGTATTTCCTGTAGACAAGCAATAGTGTCCATTCCTCTCCAGCTGGTCAGCATCCATTTGCCCGCTACGCTTCCGCCTTTCAACAAGGCTCGTCATAGCTCGAATTATTGTCAGTCTTCACCAATAAACAAGACCGCACTCAGGAAGGCACTTTGGTGACATCTCATGGTATTATCAGACCCCAGTCCACTGCAGAGCCGGCTTATCTATGATATGCACAGAACAATATGGGCTTTCGCCATGTTGGCCGACTGGCTCAGAGGGGCCAAATGTGAATGTTCTTTATGCCGCATCGAGATTTCGACCAGCCTCCCAAGGCCAGTTGAAATGAATGCAACTGGGTTGGTTTGTGACACACGCTACGCCGTCGCATCAACGGCTCCGTGGCATTTCGGCCGATCTTTGAAACGGTTCATTTTCCCTACCACAACGTCGAAAAACGGTTCGTTTTCACCACACCTTTTTACGTATTTGTATACCCCTGGGCCAAGCCGCTTATTAAGGACCAGGGTGTGGACTTATTACTAGCAAAGAGACAATGTGAGTGTATCTTGATAGCCTTCATCATAAGTCGCCGGTGCCATGGGTCGACCACTACGTACCGAGTTGGGAGAATCAATTCCAAAATCAGTCATCAAAAGTAATGAGAATTAGGTGGCCCAGCGAGATTGGGACATGGACCGCGACTCACCAGCCAGTCTTCATCATCAAACATCCATGTCTCCGAAGCCTTGAGCCATTACTATCCATGGCAATCAGAGCTGATATGTCGCAAGGCAATTTCCACGCCCTTGGTTTTGAGGTCATTGCCCAGGTTCGAGAGGCTGAAGCGGCTGCCACTATCTGGCTTGCATGGATGGGAGCCGCCCCCAGGTCAGCCATCTGACAGAACTAGCGCCAACAGGAGGCAGCCATTGGGTTTATTTTAGCTAGCAAAGGTCAGACAAGTTCTTAGATTCTTGTCTCAGGCCAGGGCGCTCTCCCCTTCCCTGCCCTCGCCAAGGCAGAGGGGGACCGACGACACGGGTCTGGGTCTTGTCTGGCAGGCCATGCGACAGTCCTGTCCTCTGCCCCCCCCTGCTCCGAACCAGAAGCGAAGCTCTCCCAGCCTCGACGGTAAGCCGGCCCAACATTCTCGCGCCAGAGCTTCCTCCCTCCCGAAACGCCGATGCAAAGCCAAGAATGTAACCGTACAGACTGGTAGTATCGCGCTGCCGCCCCCATGGAAGGTCCCCAGACCTTCTCATCAACTAAGAGTGGTACGACTTGGCGCCCCCCTCCTCTGATTTGTCATTTTATGCGGACCTAGCATTGTCTGAGAAAGGATGAGCAACCAACACTTCACGTGAAGGTTTGTTGCTGCGGGACCCTCTGCCCACGGTCCAACTGCAATCTGGAAACAAACAGCGGTCAAGGACCTGAACCAACGACAGAGACAGAAGAGGAAGCTACGCTCAGACTAGATACTAACCTAACCTACTAGTAGCCGTGACGCTATCATCTTCCCCTCCATCAGAAACAAGCTAGGTGGTCACTGCCAAGCAGACAACTGCGACACACTGCCTCTCATCGACGTGCATTGCATAATTGGGGAGAAAAGTACCACCATCCGAGGAGAATAATGCCTGTGGGCGATCATGCAGCGTCGAACTTAGCTGTGTATCTCAGGGTCTACATCGATACATGGCGCCTACCTAGCATCCAGCAAGGAGAGTAATACCTTGGTGCAGGTTGCATAGCGCGCATGTAGTGCTCCGTCGGATAAGGAACTAGTTCTGTCGGGTAGCCACCACAGTAGCCGTCACTACTGCATGCTTACCGGCTTATGAGACGGAAAATAGCAACGGAAGAGGCCAGTTGAGGCCTTCCCCACCTCTACCCCCGGTGAAGTCTGCGGCGCCAGCCCAGATGGCAGCGCTGTTTTTGCTCGTACTTGCCTTCCTATTGTCACTGCGAGTTGCCGTGTTTCAGTGCCAGGCGATCCCCACAATGAGACCTGCCCGTAGGTTTGATTAAACGTTCATTTCCAGAATTCCCTGGGACTGGGGACTTGGAAGCCACAGCTCCACCGCGGTGTCGTAATGGCGCCCCGTCTCTAGATGGTTATGCCGCAGCAGAGGACCGGACGTCATGCCATGCCGTTGGAGGTTGGAAGGGCTGGAGGGCTGGAAGGGAAGGGGGGTGTGGGTGTTGATGCTGCTACCTGCGATGATCTAACACCGAGCAAGGCCGTGGTGGTTGGATCTACATCCCCACTCTTGCCAGGCACTGAAATACCTAATATGAATAATGGTAACAATGTGTCAATGGCAACAAAGCGACGGTATGTACCGCGCATACAGGGTGCTGAGGAGGGGCTTGCTGTGGTGTAAAAAAGGCGGAGGAGTGGCTGGTTCGTGGTCATCGATGACTGATTCACTCGTCTTAGATTCCAGTGAGACTTTGCTGTACAAAATACGGCAGATGAGACTCACAGGACCACAACGGAGGGGAAAGACGCACAGAAAGACGCGCATAAGCACCCCGGATACATACAGGACCCTTCAGATGGCGGATCAACAGGAGGCCACCAGCTGCAGCCCATTTAGGAGCAGGTACGTACATGCTTGGACTTGGGATGAGGTATCTTGTCAGCCCTCCATCACCACATCCACGGCTGATCAGAGCTGTTGATGCCCAACGGACCAGGCCGTGTCAGCCTTCACATTCAACACTGTCCTCACAAGTACCTCTGCATGAACCCGAAGAAGAAACGGCAAAATAGGCGGGAATTTCATACGCAACTTGTGCAACCAATGGCTGCGGTGGATGCCGAGACCAGCCACAGGTCTCACGTATGTAGACTCATGTAAACGCACGTCCCGTATAACACGCAGTTTATGTGCATATACCTACGTACATACCCTACCGAAGGCAAGTAAGTATTGGTTGAGAGCGTTTTGGCTTGCCAACCAACCCCTGCGTTTGCCGGTGTCGGTAGCTGTCTACCTAGCAAAGAGTCAGTCGAGAGCCACCAGAAACAGGGGACTGGACGAACGGTAGTTCCTCAATGGTTGATCAATGATGGCATGGCCCAGCTGTCGAAACTGAATTTTTGCCTTGAGCAAGCCAGGGTCCACTCCTTACCAGGTTTCTGGGAACCAGTGATCCAGTTAGCAGATCGGCCAAGAAGCCCATCACCAATCACTGACCGACAACCGATCTTCCGGACTTCTTTTTCCAGCATGGGAGGCGGTACACGCACATGCTTGATGGGCTGCTTAGCTCCCGACTCCCTCCCTCCCTCCCTCCCACAAGAGACAAGCCAGCTGGTCAAGCCGGAGCCCACTCTCGAGAGGGTCAAAGGGTCCATCAATCTACGTTTTTGGGGGTTCAGCTGACGATGAACGGTATCTCTTGGCCAGGCGGAGCGGCCGGTGGTTGCCAGAGAAATCCTCAGGCAGCAGGATAAAGATCCCCTCATGCTGAATCATGTCCACCATGATATGCGGTCTAACGGCACGAGGTGGGAGGCCAGCGGCCGTTGGGATTTCCCATGTGTACGTACTATATCTCGCATTCAGCTGTCATGGGGGCAGCCAGACTACTGTACAGCTGCAGCCGTTCCGATATGGTCCTCTTTTACAGTAGGGCATGGCATCTCCAGAGCTGCGCAGTCCACATAAACCGGGGCGTCCGCTACCGTAATCGCCATCTAATACGAATACAAGCTAGAACCAACGACGAACGAGGAGAGAGAGAAGATGAAAAAAATTAGAGAGAAAAATTCTCCGCCATGCCAGATGTCTCGGCATTCCCACCACCCAAAGTGTCGGGCTCTGGCTCTCCTCGTACCTTGCACAGCGGAATCCACATAAGAAGGATCGTGAGGGGCCCCTCCTGGCCTCCCTTCTGCTAGTATCCGGGTAGCCATGCGTTCCTCGGGCGGGTGTATGTACCACCCACCGCCATGTCAGTCGATTGGCCTCGTCGACCAAGACGAGCGGACTATCTATCGACGTAGTGCGGTACTAAGGCCACGCCAAGCGGAGGCCCCCCCTTCGCGGTTATCCCGAGACTGTGGAAATTCCCCTCTCCCCTTCCCTCCTCGTGTTCCCGATCTAACCGCAGTAGATCCTAGAAGGCAAATTATTCAAATTTCAATAGATTTTTTTTTTCCAAGTAGGCTGGATTACGCAATTAGAGCTCATCTTAGGTTAATCATATAAGCGTAAGGCGAGATGGTTAGTTCCTTTCGGGCACCCTGGTATTGGCCACTCGCTCAATGCCACACCAAACGGACCTGAATGAGTCGGAATGGACTGAAACTTGAGCTCGCTTGATGTTGAGATGTCATGGACTTGGTCTAGGTTAGCCCAGGCTCAATATTTGACGTCGATGCTCTCGATAGTGACAGGCGAGGCGGGTACGGGATGAAGCCGGCCATGATTCTGGGGGCAGACATAGGGGTAGATCTGAAATTTTCACTAGTTGTATACTAGTAGGCGGTACATATGGAGAGAAATCAGCACAACTAGTTCGTAGGTAGTGCGTGTTTGTTTATATGCCCCTGATGTCATTGTATCTGTACCGCTTCATATATCGAGCAAGCCTCTCGATACGTACATATGCGTGTACGTACCGGATCAGTTCTGATGAGGATCAGTATGATTCTCTCGGCGGCCTGAGCTCATCGTCTCGCCACTTCCATTGTACGGGTGGATGAACGTTCTCCATCGCAGCCAGCGCAGGCCCATATGTGCCCAATATGAACCCGCTGTCTGAGATATTCAGGGGAAGAGACCAAAAAGTCAATCTCTTCCACCGATCTCCATAAACGACACGTAAAAGGGAGTTCTTATCGACCAACAGAGGTTGAGCCAGGCAATAGGGGTATATCTGAGTCATGGAATGAAAAAGCGAGCCGTCGTGGTATTTCACATGTCATGAGCATCTTCACCTTTTGCCACCCTTCTCCTCTTGCGAGATGGAGCCCTCGCCCCTGATTCTTGGTCTTCAGCTCCTGAAGGTGCCATGAATCGCCTTGTCGCCGCTTCATTGGGGGTAGCACCTTCGCCTCCATCTAAGCCCTCTGTGAACACGAGATCTCCATGACGACCAAGTACCTCTCGGCTAGCTTCTTCGAGCAAAATTCCGAATGCAAGAAGGGCCGTCTCGTCCATACTGCGCTCATTGACGTCCAGGGTATCCTCTTCTGGTGCTTGGCGATGTAGACTACCATAGCAGCGGCTGGTATACGAGTGGATGGCCTTGAGCAGGTCGCTCTCGGGCAGAACACCTTGGCCAGCTCGCGGGAGATCTCTCACATGGGACTTGTAGATATCATACTCTTCATAACGCTGGGGTGCCTCTTTTCGCCGGAAGAGGACCTCGTCTGGGCCGAAGGGCACCTCTTTAGTAGAGTAAAGTGCTTGGTTGGCCGGAGCATTACCTTCCAGGCGACCATGTCTGTTGGTCAATTTTCCTAAATCGATGTCAGTGACTTGGTTCCGGCGGGCAATAAGGATATGAACTTCATATGCATACCTGCAACAGCATCAAACACTGTGGCTTGACGACGTTGGCTTGTTGGTTGGAGCGACTCCGGCTCATGACCTTCCTCACGCCTCCACGTTGGAGAAGCATCCCCTTCTGAGTCCATCATGGGTGGCGTGTGTATTTTTCATGTGAAATTCCTCTCTTGCTGTGAAGTTTGAGTTTGTTGGATTGCTGATATAAGCTCGAAGTCGAACTTGCTTATTTCGAGATTTTCAATTTTCATCAACTCGTGAGTGAGTGAATGCACTTGCTAAGAAACTTTTTCGCCAAGGAAGGATATATCATCCGGTGCTTCTTTTTCTTAGTATTGACAGAGAGGATAAGCCATGAATAGCCTCAAAGGGCTACAAAGGCCCTTTGAATCCAATAACGAGGTTGGAACGAGGTTGGATTGATGAAAGTTGCAGTTAAAACTTGGGTGTGGGGTAGGCAGAATTAAGTCACGGTCTCTTCAGCCCACCTGAAACACACGTCATATCCAGACGCCGCCATCAACCGTCAACTCTTGGAAACCAACCTGCGGGTCGCGAGAATCACAAGACTCCCGGCCGCAAAGCTCAGATGAATGCAGGCTCGCCTTCTTGCCCGCGAGACGGGTGACTTGTCTCCCCGCAACTTCGCGCTCGCCCACACCACAGAGCTGCTCCGTTCCTTCGCACCAGCACCACAGCATCGCTTCAACGGCGAGCTGGCACCAGATCAACAACCGACCGTCGTCCAGGACCGACCTCACAACATCCGCGCCCATGGCGCCGGCGTCAGCAGCCTCGCGGTAGACAAGTTCGACGGCCGTCTTCTGATCTCGGGCGGCGCAGAAGGGAACATCAAGCTCTGGGACCTCGAGAGCTGCGCCAACCCGCACCAAGTCCACACGTTCAGGCCCGTGAGCACGATTGCACGATCAACCAGCGAGCAGCGCGGAAGTGGCCACACCCACGGGATAACCTACCTGGCCTTCTACCCCTTCGACTCGAACGCATTCCTCTCAAGCTCGTACGACAAGTCGCTGAAGCTGTGGTCCACTGAGCGATCGACCCTTTCTGCCAGCTTCGACCTGAATGCGACGATATACTCGCACTCGACAAGCCCGATAGCCGACCACCTCCTCGTCGCCTGCGCGACCCAACACTCCCACGTCCGGCTCGTGGATCTCAAATCCGGCTCGGCCGTCCAAGCCCTCGTTGCTCACGGCGGGCCCGTCCTGTCCACGGCATGGAGCCCCCGCCACGACCACATACTCGCCACGGGCCACGCCGATGGGAAAGTGCGCGTTTGGGACATCCGCAGAGCCGGCGGCGTGCTCTCTCTGCTCGACCAGGAGGATTCTCTCGGCGTCGTCCACAAATACCGGCACGCCGTCGCGGCCGGGATAAACCCCGACCAGGTGACTCGCTTCCGTGCGTCTGCGCGGGCGCACGATGAAGCTGTAAACGGACTCCAGTGGACGAGCGACGGGAACTACATCATATCCTCCGGGTTGGACGACCGGATCAGGGTTTGGGATGCTGCCACGGGGGCTAATACTCTGACCAGTTTTGGCCCGTTGATACAGAATCGACATGCGCGCACAGCGAGCATAGTGGTCACCCCCTCGGGCATGTCGGAACGAGAGGTCCTCGTCTGGGCGAATGACCAGGAGATTCTTCTTTTCCACCTTCGTGACGGGACGCTCGTCACGCGGCTGCGGAGCCCGGGGACGATCAACCCCGCGGGACCTAGGTCCAACGAACTGGGGAGGAATCGCATCTCCAGCATCGTATGGCGCAGCACCGGCGGAGGAAGGGCCTCCACGGGACCTGTGATGGGCGGGGGGAACTCTACTGGTGCGATATACAGCGCCCACCTTGACGGACACATTAGGGCTTGGGCGCCGCAGGTTCCTGGCGAAGAGGAGGACGAGGACGAGGAGGACGCTGGGGAAGACGATGAAGTCAAGAAGAGGAAAAGGCAAGCGGTTGATTCTGCCTATAGAAGTCTCATGGGGACACAAATCACATTTACGTAGAGAGATGAGGGAAGAAATCACTTGGACACAAAAGTGCCAGGTAAATTCCTCGGTTGTTTATCAAACCCATAACATGACTTCCCTGCGCTGCTGCTGTTCGTAACGAAACGTGTTATTTGAACAACGGTAAATGGAATATATTATGAAAAGAGAGGTTATATCAATAACTTCATAAATCTAAGGAAGTGTCCTGGCTAATAGCATATTTCATTATCTCATGAATTCCGTTAAACGCCCCTCCGTAGCTCCTCAAATGCTCTCATTACCAACCTCAACAGCATCGCCATTCCCCGAGTCAAACCACAACAACAAGACAAAGCCAACCATCCGGGTACGCCGCTTCCCTCATCAAGCTCTCCAGCGGCGCCTGGAACGGCACAGGAGCCCCGTGAAGGATCAGGCCGGCCAGGATCGGATCCCGGGTGCTGGGGAACAGCATCGGCATCAGCTTCTTGAGCGCCTGCCCCAGGAGCTGCGGTCTGCGGTCCGGAGACGTGGCGGGGATGAGAGCCTGGACGACCTTGAAGGAGCCGGCCTCTGGCGTGTCGGTGGACGACATGGGCGACGAGGGGATGTAGATGCGCACGGGGACGTTCCTCAGCGCGGTGGGCGCGTTGAGGAGCCGGGCGTTGATGCGGTTGAACGTGGCGTAGTCGTTGTCGACGACCGAGTTCCACAGCTGGGTGGTGTGGTCCTTGGACATCTTCATGATCTGGTTGGCGTTGCCATTACGGATGAAGTCAGCCTGGTGCTGCTGAGTTAGCAACATCGAACATGCGAGACATTAAGGGTTTCGAAGAGACTCGCTTCCTTGACAGAGTTTATGAAGGTATCCCCGATATCCCAGCCGACGCCATCGTTAACGGTGAGTCTCCAAGGGAGGTGGGGCTGATAGAGGTCTACGAGCAGGCCGACGGCCAGGTTCCTCAGCTGTACATCCTCGAAGTGGAAGCTCGAGCAGGGCGTGCTGAAGAAGGCCGAGAGGCGAGGGAGCAGCAGCGCCAAGTAGCTGAAGCGCGGCACGCTGACGATGAAAGGGCTGGTGGGGGATGACGGATGTGTGATGTAAAGCGGGATGCGGGCATTCCAGAGCGTTTGAGGAATGCGAGCGCCCATTCTTGTATTTGTATGATGAAACGACAAACACAAGATGATGGGCTACGAGTGATGAAATGAATGGCGGACTTGGTACATTGGTGAAGGTCGCTGGCTGTTGGTGCTGCGCAGGCCAGGTAACGGCCAAGTCCTGCCTTTTGGCTGTTGGAAGCAATCACTAAATGCCCCGTAATATTTGTAAGTAGCGACTGAGCATTCTCATTCATCGACCACACTTATAGCTTGTCCAAACATCTTAACTAATGTGTGATTGACAATTAAAAACTTGAGAAACATATTAATCTATCATTTCCGCACTGATGAGCAGACTTTATCTTCGCTTTCATGTTCAAATGTGGACACTTGAATATATAAAATATCACAACATTGCATTTAATTATAACAGTTAATGAGGGACAAATTATCATTTGAGCTATTCAAACTAGTGATATGAGCTACAACAAATTTCGCGATAATCATTAAAATCATCAATCATTCCGACGACCACGTCGTATCCCAGGAGCTCACGCCACTGTTCGCCGTAGACAAAGTTCGTGGAAACAATCAGAGGACAACCGTGACTTGCTGAACTAGGCAGAAGTTGGCTGACCCTGAGGAGACTTAGTGGGACTGAGTCTTGTCACCACCGACGGTCTTGCTGCCGTCGAGGTCGCTGTCAACTCGGGGGTCGAGCTTGTTCAGCAGGTCAGACTTGTGAGGGCCAGCAGTGTTGGGGGCAGGGCCGGAGGAGCGGGTCTGGGGAACGTTGGAGCTGCCGAGACCAGTGGTTCCGGTAGTCTTGCCAGGGGCAGCACGGTGGTCTCTGTCAGAGTCGATACGGGGATCGGCAGCATTGGCAGCACGGGAAGAGTGAGGTCCGTGGGTGCCCTCGGAAGCACCAGTGGTGCGGCCGTGGGTGGTAGAGCCAAGAGTATCACCAGCGGTGCGGCCGTGGGTGGTAGAGCCTAGAGTATCACCAGCGGTGGTGCGGCCGTGGGTGGTAGAGCCCAGAGTGTCGCCAGCAGTGGTGCGACCGTGGGTGGTAGAGCCTAGAGTGTCACCCTGAGTGGTGCGACCATGGGTGGTAGAGCCCAGAGTATCGCCGTGGGTGGTGCCGTGGGTGGTGCCGTGGGTGGTGCGCTGTGTGGAGGAACCCAGAGTGTCGGTGGTGGCATCGCGCTCCGGGTTCAGGCCCATGTTCTTGCTGCGGTCACGGTCAGAGTCGACGCGAGGGTCGGCCTTGTTCAGCAGGTTGTTGCTGTGAGGACCATCAGTCTTGGAGGCGGGACCGCTGATGCCACGGTTGGCACCAGTTGTGTTAAAGACGCCCTCCTGGGTTCCAACTCCATGGTGGGCTGGCTCATGGACGCCAGTGGTGTGGCGAGAGGACTCAAGTCCAGACGAATGAAGGCCAGATGACTCAAAGCCAGATGACTGAAGGCCAGATGACTGAAGGCCAGATGACTGAAGGCCAGATGACTGAAGGCCAGATGACTGAAGGCCAGTTGTGTTGCCGGGGGCGGCACGGTTATCCCTATCCGAATCAATGCGAGGGTCGGCAGCGTTGGCCAGGCGGGTGTTGTGGTGGCCGTGGGTGCCCTCAGGGACGCCAGATCCGAAGCCGCTCATGATGAATGAAGTTTGTTAGGTAATGTATTAAACTTTAAAAAAGTAGTGTGATCGTCTTGGGACGTTGTGAGGATGTTTGAAGTGTTTGTTGCAGTGTTGGGTATCGAAGTGATGAGTTAAGAAAGTAACTTTGTGAGGACAACGCTCGCTTTATATAGAGATTTTGGAGCAATGAGTTACAAGCTTCACTGAGAAAGTAACATGAGTTGCAAACAAGGACGTGCTACCATCGATCGACGCCTCTGTGTTGAGCACGAACTAGTTCGTTCGGGAGAGACCCTGATCGGACGTCATAGTGGGAATCTTCGACTGAGGTCCAGGCGCTTCAGAGCAAGTGGTGACGTCGAGATGAAGCAGTTGGGCATTGTGAGATTGGATAGGGCCGCTCGTCACGTCCAACCAGAGCACTAACAGATCGCATCAGCGGAGAGGAGTGGCGCTCGGCACACTAGAGTTCCAATGGCGGAAAGAGTATGGGATTTAGATGTGGGGAGCTGGTGACGGATGGTATTGCGCGTCTTGAATACACGAACAATAGGGAGCAATTGTGCTGTTGTCTGTGAAACAGCTATGTAAGCCTCAACCCGGATGTGTACTGGTTACCTGCATGTGCCTTGCTTCTCTAGCTTCACTGTGCCGTATGCCGTCGAATCGGGAGTAGATCCCGGGTACTAGACCGTACGTAGAAAGCTAGATAGACATCATAGCATCATACATTTGGTGATAACTGTGGCTGGTGCGTTGAGCAATCCATCCAGGTAGTCGAGTGGCTGGTGCCCTTGGTCTGGATGTAACGGCAGTGGTTGTGTTCCTTCGCCAGTCGGTAAGCTTCCAGCCACATACCGCAAAGGTGCAGGTCAATTTCCTCACGATGAGCTCATGGATCCTGGGTTTCCCGGTGGCACAAGGGCATTTCGTGACCGAACGAGCCAGGGAGTGATCCGGGAGCGGGTGAAGAAGAGTGGAGAAGCAGCTGTGCGGGATGACGCTATGGATATGTGTGATCTGCACAAGTTATGCCTAATCTGTGCGATCCCCCCCTCAAACGGTCAACGAGAATCTCGATCTCACGGCCCCAGACTTCAAATAACCGGGAAGAAGGTCTGGAACCAGCCCCAGCTCGCCATGCTAGCGATGAGCACGTTGTAGGTTGGCAATAGCTCGGTTCCTGAGCGTGCCCTCATGACCTGTCCTAGCGTTTAGGGTCACGTGCGATGTCTCAAGTAGCGAGATCGCTTTCTAAGTCGGACAAAAGAAGCGAATGCTAGAGAAGGGACAAATAATTTCCGCGAAAATCTTCTACGGCACGGGAATCTGGCGTAAATTGTGTCATTATGTACGCCGGAAGCGAAAAATATCGGCTCGCTGAAAGGGAGCTATTGCCGGGAAATTGAATTGACACAATTTGGCATGGGAAAATCTTTAATTTTCAAATCGCGGTTTTTTATATTCAATTTCTTAGGTGTTGTATAACATAGGAAGAAAGGGGTATTAAAAACAGTTGCTGAGAAGCAAGACATAGAAAATCAACATTAACCACGACCGCTAAATCCACAATCAAACCCCTCTAAATAAGCTATCATTGACGCTGATGGTGCCTGTAGATGCTGCATTAGATTCCCCTTGGCAACAGAAACTTCTTGGCAAAGCCGACCTGCCTTCTCCCATCTGATAGACCCTTGTGTGTTCTGACATATGGAATCGAAGCAACCCCGACTGATCTCGTCCATTCGTGTATTTCATATCATCATTTAGCGCTAGGAGCTCTTCAACATCGCCGAAGCTCTTAGACGTAACTTCGGTGCCAGCGGCGGTGGTGAGTAACAGGCTCAGTTGTGCGGTGGCGACGGGCCCAGAAGAGGTCAAAGACGGCAGAGGCGAGCCAGACGATGGCCGACAAGAAGGTGAAGGCGATGACAGCCTTGAACTTGCCGCACGGGTCGTCGCCGAGCAGGCGAACGTTGCTCCAGTTGAACGCGGAGCCACACGCACTTGCATTGAGATTCTACGGGGACAAGGGTCAGCAGGAGGTCACACGAGAATGAGGGGCAAAGAACTGTAAGTTGGATGGTGAGGGGACACTTACGTCAACGAGGAGGCCGAATGCTGCCCACCAGCAGAGGCTGATGACAATATCGAGGACCCAGCTGAAGTGCCCACCGGCAAGGAAGACCCATATCACCGGTATGAACAGCGATATACCGGCAATGGTCTCCGTGTAAATGAACCGGCCCAGCGCCCAAGATGAGGCGCCACGGGATTCGTGGAGAATCTGCCCGTTGACACCGGCAACGATGGCAGCAAAGGCAATCTGCGCTAGACGCAGGATCAGGTTGACAAGGGATCCCAAAGCCATGGTGATTGTTGGTAAATGTCTTCTAAAAGAAAAGGTGTCTTTGCTCGCGACTGCGAATTGTCGAAGATGACCAAGAGGTTGTGTTGTTCTAGGTGAAGCACACGCAAAATCTATACAAGACTGGGCGATATGAGTCTATGTACCTAATATTACACGGACGTCTGGATCAGAGTTGGGCACAGCGTGGGATTAAATGTGCCTGACGGTGAGTGAGGCGAGCCCTTTGCACCCCGGCAAAGACATACGTAGTCCCTTGGGAAACAGTCACCACATGACGGATTCAGATCAATACCTTGGGTTTGCATTGAATGGCTCGGCCAAGCAGGTTTTTGCACTCTGCTTGGGTGGAAAGAAAACGCCTAGCAAGGATGCAGCTTCTTGGGTGTGTGCTGTGATGGCCAACCAGAGCTGGTCTGACCAGTCCAGTTCGGTAACTTGATCTCGATCTTGATTGGCGGCTGGTGATGTGTGCGAAGCTGATTTGACCACGGCTCAAGCATAGCTGTTGTCGCGGATGAGGTCATACGCTGTTCGTATTGGGCAGCCATGGCGCGGGGCGGGGGAGAAGCCTGCGAGGTTGCACAACAAGGCAGTCCAGGGAGGGATCTGATTCAGAGGGGTGGATAGTGCATGAATTACGTCGTTCGGTCCAAACCTCAAACTCTTTGTGTGATTGCTCGTTCATGAAACCGGGAGACAGCTTGCCTTGGCCCCCTGGTCACGTTCATGGGACCTAGACCTAGACCTGACGTACGCGCTGATCCTTGGTGACTAAGCGCTTTTCAGCCCTGTAGCCTCAGCGATCAGGACCGCTAGCAGAAGCCTTACGTAACATTGATGTAGCAAACGTACGCGTAGCCCAAATGAATTACGTCGTCAATGTCATGCTACGCGACGAGATTTGATGGTGCCATCTCTTTCGTCTTAGCACCCTCGCCGCTCTTGCTCGGACGCTCTCTCAGTCGAGACACACTCAGGGGTGGAAGTGGGCAAGTGGCTGTCAGAAAAACAGGGACTGCAAAGTCACCTCGATAGAACTATTGTGGCAGTCAGTCACATTCTAATGCTTCTTATATTTCCTATTGTGTGATATTAAGCAGACAATGTTGTCTGAGTAATAATTGCTCAATAATTTATTATTGTTATTATTGTTAGCGGTATTGGAATGTTGGGATTAGGACACCTCCTTTGCAGTCCCTGTTATTCTGACGCCCACCTGGTGGGTTTAGAAGTCGAATACCTTTGAATTGTTACAGTCCAGCTAGATCAGTTTCAAACTACCTACCTAGCACAAGACCCGAGTACCTTATATCAATCATCCTATGGGTTGATCAGTTACAATCAGGCAGTATGGATGCACTCGTTGGTTTCCTAATCGCCTATCTTTCTAATACAACATTTCTCGCAATTACACATAACTTCATCCATGGATTTGAAATTACCCCTCAAGTTCTTCACTCTGAAGTTATGGGCCAACTACCGAAATTCTCTCTAACTTTTAGCTGGCTACCTAAATTTAAGCAGCTAAGACATCTACTATACTGCAAGGGTATAGATTACTCCTTTTTAAGAGGTGATAAACTGTTTAATGATATTACAACTCTGTTCTATCTTCGAACGGTCACAGACCTGGTAGTCCGTCTGCCAGAACCTATAATATTTCCGTGGCCATTTGGAGAGCCTAGCCTTGATCATCTAGCTTCACTTGAGATTGGTTGGGCTTATCCAAGTTATTCAAAATTACCTAGTAGTAGCACACGGAAGTTAAAAACTCCTATCTGGCACTAGATCCATGAGGACACTGCCTTTTATGGATTTGATCCTCTTCTTAACTATTAACTATAAATATTGAGATCACGGCAGCCTTATTACCTTTTAAAAAGATATATTAGAGTCACTGCATTCTCGACATGAAGAGCAGTCTGTATACGTATATGATGCCGACCCAGGAACACAGTAGGCTCATGGGAAGGCCTTTACGACTTTCAGCGATTAATTTATCTCGATATGCCGTTCATATCTCCAACACTTATCAGATGGTGCTCAGTCTTAAAAGCGGCGCTGCTCAGGAAGGGCTATTGCGCAACTGCTCTACAGCCTTGGTCGGCCCTGGCCTTGATGAGCCGGTCTGCCGCCATACACAATCGCCGAGTCCATGCCCAGGCTCGCTTCCAGGCTGGTCATCGGATCCGAGTCCAGGCTAATGTTGCTGCACTGTGCAAATCGCCTGTGGACGTCACAAGCCACCGGATCGCCGTCGGTTTGAGCATCAGCGTATAGCAGCAGTGACGACAGCAGTTGCGCCGTCTGCCAGACATGATCTCTGGCGTTCCTCATTAGCTCGTCTGGAGACTCGCTGAGAAGACGGCGCTCGATGACATTCCATCTCTGGACCGGGTCCCAGCCTGGTAGGTTTGCATGTCCTGGGCCCTGGAACGCTGCAGCCTTTCGGACGAAGCTCCTCAGTGCATCCAATGTTTCCTTCCCAGCAGCAGGGTGCCTCACAGTCTTGATGAAGTCGGTGCAAAGCACATTCGTAGTACCTTCCCAGATCGGGAGCACTGCACAGTCTCGCCAGAGCCGAGAGATGTTGAGGTGCTCCTGTTCCGCATTGTTCAGATATCCAACGCCGCCCAGGGCCTCCATGCAGGAGAAGAGAATAGAAACTGATTCCTGGCACACATAGGCCTTGGTCAATTGAGTCAAGATCCGGATGAGGCCGGCGACGTGTTCCTGTGGGGGTGTCAATGCGTCCAGTACCTTATTCTTCTCCCCAGCCATGGCTCTACTTCCATCGCCGTTATGCTCTGAAAGCCCGAGGACGTAGGACGTGAAAATCGTGAGCATCACCATGCCCCGGTACTGAACAAACATGCCGGACAGAGTATGCATATGCAGCACGCTGTCCGTTAATTTCGTTCTGCGCCCTTTGCCCTCGCTGATATCTCTCACACGGGCATAAGCTCGCGCAATGCTTAGGCCGCGGCCGACGTAGCCAACAGCCGCCACTGCAGAGTGAACTCTCGTGATTGCGAGAATGGTTCGGACTTCACGTACGCCATGGCCTTCCTCGCCAATCATCCAAGCGCGCATATCCTCCAGCACGAGCTCGGCGGTTGGCAGAGACCGAGTTCCAACCTTGTCTTTGAGTCTCTGAATCCGGACCCCGTTCAACTGCCCTTGATTATCTGCGGAACCTCCAACACCTCTGCGCATTGGAGCGAAAAACGCCGACAGCGCACCCTTCGGAGTATTGGCAAGTAGAATTGTCATTTGCGAATCCGTGGCGGACGAGAACCACTTGAAACCATTGATGCTCCAAGGACCTAGCCGTGTCTCCTCACCTCCCACCACGGCCTCGGATGTGTCTGGCTTATGCTCTGCTCTCGTCTCGGTCTGGGACACGTCGCTCCCGCCGGTCCTCTCCGTCATCCACTGCCCGCTTGTCCATGCTGTTTTCGGATCTCGCGAGAGGAGACGTTGCAGCGCGGCCTGGAATACGAGGCGTTGTTCGTCCGACATGCCAGGTCGTGCCGTGGAAGCGAGGTGTGTTTGCAGCACGCGAGCCGCCCCATCTTGCATAGCTGATGGGCATGTAACGTTGGCACAGGATGGCTCCCATAACAGCAGTCGCAAGAATTGTAGCGGTCGCGAGAAAGGTCCGTACTCTGTGTCGTAGCCCGTAGCTACAAATCTACTTATACATCAGCATATGCCTAATCGCCTTCAGTTGTTGAAAAAGTGTAAACGAGCTTAAACTTACCCTTTCTTTATCCCAAAGTCTTGTAACTGACGCCACCCTTCCCCCGTCACCAGTTCCCCGGCCCATTGACCGAAAACGTCTCGCCCTGAGCCTCTCAGGAAGGGGGGGTTTCGCTCAGCGTCGGAGATCCAACGGAAAATCTGGTCAGAGATGACCTTGTCTCCAAGAGATTCTACTTCATGTTGCGTTGCAGAGATGACATGTGCCGGCAAGAAAACTAACGACCAGTATTAATGGTGAGTAACTGCCGAGATGTCTTCAAAAGGAGCGAGCCCAACACGGAGAACATGGGATAGACATACGTTTAAAGCACCGTTGATAAGTAGCATCGTGAAAATGGTTTTCCAGGGAAGGGGCCTGCTGGAAGAAACCCCTATCAGCGCCGGATGCCATTTTGCTCCAGGCTACTCCGTGCAACTGCAACAGAGCGGCATTTGATGGGATAATGGGGGAGTTGATCTACGACAGAGAGACGTCCGTTTTATCTGCAAAATACGCTCACAACCAGGGCCCCCCTTCGACTACACCCTCGCCCAAAACCCCCATTAACACCATCCGTTCCTGGCTTGCTTTTCCATGATCTGGTGACGAGTGGAACGGACAGAGTTCCGCGGCACACCAACGAGGTGGACGCCAAATGGTGGAAACCTGGGGTAGTTGGCGGAACGTAGGGGCGGGGGACTGCGACGGGACCGTTGTCTAGTCTTTACATGGATACATGGTGTATAGGTAATAAGACCATAATTTGCAGCCAACATCACCAACGTGAACATGTTCTCGACCGTCAGGTTCCTAGAGTGGTTAGCTAGATCCCTGGGGGTCGAGTTGGTTGGTTGTGGGCCGCGGAATGTTTCCTTCCCTGGGTCTTGGCTCAATCTTGGTAAGTGCGGAATTGAGGCCGGTGGTGGTTGATTTGATTTGGACCTCGGAAAAATTGCCTCGCTCGTGCGCACAGCCTGAGGCAGAGGCAGAGCCGGAGGCATGTGTTTGTGAGGTTCTGCGCGAGACTGTCTGCGGGTGTGGGTGAGGTGAGTGAGGCTGATGAACGAGGTCTAAATAAAGCGTGTGATTGGGAATAGAAACCGAAACCGCAATTAGCACGCGGATCAGATCCAGCGTGAAAGAACCACATGTGCTACCTACTCTTCTTCAGCTGGACTTGTACAGACTGTGGCTGAAAACATACGTTGGCAGTTCAGCCAGGCGGCCGGTATTGGACAGGTAGGAGGAATTGGCACTAAATCGGTAATAAATAAGGACTTGGGTAGATCCTCTTATTGCCTACTGCATACTGGGCTCGTGTCTAAGTATATCCATGGCATTGGTATTGGGCAGCTCCTATTTGAGGGACTTGGTCCGACGGATAGTGGCGCGCCCAGACATAACCCAAGGAGCAGCGTACATATTGATGTCTATATCTGAACCTGAGGTGAGGCGGGCGATGCGATGCGATTTGATTTGATGCGATGCGATGCAATTGATGGATGCGATTGGGGTATTCGTACTGTGCGTTGGCTGCGCAGGGGAGTAACTCGGCATTTGCTGGTCGCGGTGTCGATTGCAATGCGGGCGCAAGGGACTTGACATTGATGTTCACGCAAGGCAGACACTACCTAAGCTGTTGGTCCTATCCCGCAGTGGCAAGACTCACTCACGTTCCCGCGAAGATTGAAGGAAAAGACCCAAAAGTCTGCCCATGGACGCAGACGACTGCCGGAGGGCCGGGCACAGGCGATGGGACCGACGGGTGTTGAGTCCAGGGGATCGCCGCAACATGGGTGCTGAGCCACCTGTCTGGTGTCAAGTGCTACGATGCCATCTGAGACCAGAGCCAAGCAGCGTTGAGATCCATCCATCGCTAACAATAACCAGCAGCTCCCGTTCCAACTCTGACTCTGACCTGACGCTGCGTGCTGGCCTACCTACTTTATCGAGCCCCCACGACCCGGAGCGGCCCCATGCGTCCATTACCAGGTAACCGCAGTTAGTCGATGGTTCCATGCACGTCTTATTTGTGAGTGCATATTTGCTGTGTTTTATGTTAGTTAGCTGGGTCGATGGATGTCACCACACCTGTTTCCCTCCCCTATTCACTCATTAGCCGTCAGGTCGGCGTCTTAATTTAGGCGGATGGATCCCAATCTGCCCTTCTGAGCACGCAAAAGGAGGAGGACGAAGCAGGAGAACGCTGAGATGGACCTTTTGGATCTCGTAACTTGGTCCGGGATGACATGTCCACTGCCTCAAAGCCTCAATTCCCGTCCGCTAGTCATGCAGCTGGGCCATTGACCAGTAAATTGCCCCTGTTCCTCGCCCGAGTTCTATTTCGACTCGAGTCAAATCCGGGTCCTCTGCGACAGCCAGTTGCAACGGGAGCAAGCAAATAATAGCATTGGGCCTGGGGATTGGTGTAATGGCCTCGCCACTGCTCATCGTTGATCTAAAGTCCATCAGCATCAGCGACGGGCCTCAGCCACCTCTTGTTGCCCAACAGCCCATAAGCCACCATCAATAGGATGAGAGTTCCTAAGACGGGCGCTTGTTCCTATCAGCATCTTAGTGCCGATCCCGTCAAAATCGCCCCCCCTTTGCTATGTAGCCCAGGCGCTCTCCCGTGGACCCCAAACATATGTATCCCCTAAGCATGTATGCGCGCCATCGCACCGTGAATCAAATATGCCGATCGAGTGGAATCTGTCGACGACCCGTGCCGCTCCGCCAAGCATAGTCATCGCCCGTTGGCGTTCTAACTGGACAGCTGCCTAGCCCCAGCTACATGATGCCTTACGAAGATGTAGCGGCCCCTTCCGGAGACTCTTATAAGGCAGACCAATCCGACCAACTATTCTCCTGCTGCAGACTTATGCGGGATGAACTCTTTTCAATTGCACTCACACCTATGCCCTACTGCTGTGCCGACTACTGGGGCTCATTATGCGGATTGCCTTAGCAGGTGGAGGTGGCCTTGGGTGCCTCCTGGCCTCGCAGATATCGCGAGCAATGAGTGCCCACAACGTCCTTGTTTTATCCAGAACTGTATCCGATTTCCTCCTTAACCAAGATGGGGTAGATTTGTATCAAGACTAACATTGCATTAGCCGAAACCCATATACGAGTCCCTGGACATCCAGGTCCAGATCGTGGACTATTATAACCCTGAAAGCTTGCGATACGCACTCCGGGGAGTTGACCTGGTCATTTCAACCGTCTCCGGGAGAGAACAGATCAATCTCATCCTGGCTGCCGGCGAGGGCACGGTCCGTCACTTCGTCCCTGCCGAGTTCGAAGGCAAGCTGTGGCAACGACCGCCCTGGGACGGCTCGACGGCCGGCGGATCAGCCCATGCTTTGGCACTGCTGCAGACCTTTGAGAATCGGAACCTGATGAAGCACACCGTCTTCTCCTGCGGCGTGCTCATGGAGATCTTCCACCCGCTGGGCCTGGGGAGCTTTGGCATGGGCTTCCGCACCGGCGTGAGCACGAACGGCAGCTACTTGCTCAACATCCCCGAAGCCACGGCCGAGTACGCCGGCCAGAACGCTCAGGGCCAGCCCCCGAGCAGTATATGCCTAACATCAGTCTACGACCTTGTTCACTTTGTCGTCCTGGCGCTGGAGCTGGGACTGGACGCCTGGCCTCGGGAATTCACCCTTCGCGGAGATCGTCTGTCCGTCCAAGAACTCGTGCAGACGTATGGCTTTGCACGCAACGGTAAATTGACACCCCCTTGCCACAATTCAGTACATGTACATTGGTGGGTCGAGGCCAAAACTAACGAGTTTCTTTATCTTGTTCGCCATCCGCAGTGACATTCAGCTACGTCGCTCGGGATTACTCCAGCGCCCAGTTTTTTCTGACCTATTATTCTCAGAGCCAAGACGAGGTGAAGGCCAGCTACTATCGGCGGCTCATGGCCACGGCAGATGGGCGATACGACTTCCAGGAGGCCACACTCAACGAGACCCTCCAGAACAACCACATGATGGATTTCGTCCCCATGACTTTTGCGCAATGGCTCGAGAAGATCTAGGTTTCCTCTAGGGGGCACCTCTCTTGAGAGCACCTAGCCCCCAAAAAGTCCAATCTTGGCCACTTACATTGAATGGATGAACTCGTTTCGGGGATGCCGGACAGGACCGAAACCGAAGATTATAGCGCAGCAGCGCAGGACGCAAAGATGGAGCAAACCAGCTTTTACTCGTTAGTCGTTAGAGGGCTTCCTCCAGGCGGCGGAGAGAAATTCTACAACCGCTTTCATTTCCTCTCCTTTACGGCATAAAAATCCCCGTTTGTTGGGGGCTGTTGGTCGCTCTCTCAAACCGCTTTTCGAAAAAAAAAAAATCAATACATAAAAAAAAAATTAGGTACTTTCTCACTTCCTCACGCCCAGAAAGAAAGCCTGCAACCCACCCACACCCAACACCAAAGTCCCAACGCCTGCTTGTCAGCTTGCCCTCTGCCGGTTCATTGGCCCTGCTGGCATTGCCCTATCCGATGATCGCCCATGAGGCTCCCCCCTGACGGTGTGTGTGCCACGCTGACCACTTGCCGTCGTGCTTACTCAAGCTTGGTCTCCCCCAGAGGGTTGAAACCTGCTCGGCGCTTAAACCTTCATATGGACACTCGTACTGCAGACATACGCGGCATGCAAAGGTCCAAATGAGATAAACTCACCGGTTACACCGTGGGATGATGATGAGATGAGATGAGATGAGATTGGATTGGATTCTTGAGATGTGAAATCGGCGTTAGCGGTTTTTGGCTTGCTTCCTTGCTTGGTCCGGGGTTGGTAACGAGGATGGATGGATGATGGATTGATGGAGCGAATATCAATTTTTTTTTTTTCACTTGCCCCTTTGGTTGCTTGGTAACTAACCATAGTCTCATCATTTTGATCTTCTGCGCTTATCTATTCAACAATTATATTGCTGACTCTCCATCGACTGGTTTAGAAACGGCCACGTCTGGATCAAACTCCTCCCCATACTCGGTTACAATCCAGAGGCAGAACTTCTCCCACTCCACCTGCCACTCCTTGATCCTCTTCGCCTTGATCCCGTCACCCAAGCTCGCCTCCCTAACCCCCTTGACCCATTCAGCTTGGCCCTCGTCCTCGAACGCGGACCACCTAACGCTGTTCTCCGCCAAGCTGCCCAGGCCCGCGAGTCCCAAGTTGTCCCAGCCCTGAAGAGCTTGCCAAAAGTCGTGGGACATGCCCGAGGTGTCCTGGCCCAACATGGCCGGGTCATCATTGCATAAGCTGCAGGGAACCCCGCGGGCTAGCAGTGCGGGAAGTGGGTGCGCTGTGATGGAGGCGCATAGACGAAGAACCTCATTGGAAATCGGGCACGACTCGACTAGAATGCGCTTCTCCTTGACCATGTCGATGAGTAGCGGGTGCTTGTAGAGACTGTAGGCATGTCCAATCCTTCGGGTGCCAAGGAGAATAGCATCGTACAAGTTTGAATCAGTTGCGGTTCCATCGCCAAGTGTTTCTCCGGCATGGAAGAAAAACGGTAGGTTGACCCCTTCCTCGGCACATTGCTTGCGGAACCAGAATAGCTCTGGCAGCAGATCAACAAGTGGCCGACCGAAGTCTTCGAAGCCTACCACGTCGTATCCAGCAATGAGATGAGGGAATTGGATTTTTGTGGTGATGCAATGATCCATGCTTTCTACCAAAGGCCGGGTTGGCTCACTTCGTAGGCTAGTCCAGATGGTGGTGAGTCCCCAGAAGCCTTCGCCTTCTGGAGAAGCCTTGAACCGGGCAACCTCTTCTTCGATAACCTGGAACATATGAACGTAGTCCTTCTCTGGTTCCTCTTGGCGGTCGCGACAGTAGTTCAGTGACCAAGTGAACCTTGACGCTCCCATTAGCATTGTGTCATAATAGGTAGGGGGGGACTTGTACTTACCGCAGTTCAGCCCAGTTTACTCCATCGTTCTTAAGAACACTCATAAGACGTCGAAGGAAGGCACGGTAAATAGGCTCGTAATGGATGATGGAGTCCACTACGACGAAGCATTTCCCAAACTTATCCCAAATGGCATCGAGTCCATGGTGATGTTCGTGGCTATCCACCAAACCCAAGGTGCAACGGCTTTTCAGCCACTTTAGGAAACCCGCCCGGCCTCCCTCAGGGAATGCATCAGCCACATGCGTGAGAAGTAAAAAGGTGCCTGGCTTATAATCTTCGGTCCATGGGGAACCTTCGGTGTTCTCCTTTGCTCTATAGCGAAACATAAGGCCTGCATCGTCCCTGGCGCCCTGGCTGGTGATGCCACGGTCACTGGACATGTGCATGCCGGGGGTTTGCAACATGAAATCGAGAAGGAAGTCAAAGTCGACCATGGCGTCCATGTGTGCGTGTAGCAGAGAGCCCTTGGGCATCCGGCGGATAATCTTCCAAAGCGCAGTGCCCTCCATGCGATCTTTGGCAAACATGAACATCATGCCAGGGAAGATGCGCTCGTGCTGGGTCTGGGCCATCTCTTCCTCCACACTGGCTGTCCATACCGTCTCCTTCTCCTTTTCCTTGATGCGGTCGACAATAGCACATGCCCGCTTGGCAATGGGGGAAAGGGAGGCGCGAAACGAGGCATCAGAGCGTGAAGTCTTCTCCTGTTTCATCAAGCTATCCCTCCCGGCGAGATACTTTTGGAGGAAAGGATCCTCTTTGGATGGAATGCCCTGGGAGATCTCATCCCATTCTTCATTTGAGAAGGACATTTTGGCTGATTTGGTGCAGTTCAGCAGCGGTCAACGCAGATGATGCGGCACCTTCTATACGTGTCTCCCGGGCAGCAATGGATAGAGACGCAATTCTCCGATATCAAGCAGAGATGAAGGTTTTCTGCTTGTTGGGCGATATACGTTTCCTCTGCGTCTCTTCTCCACGACAAGGCCTAGAGAATAAATATCTGTGTACGACGAGGAAACGTGAAAGAGAAGGATGACGCTCGTGGACAAAATTGATTGGGTCATGAGCGATGTACAGGTTAACAAGCTACCTAAGCTTCTCCTACTAATAATGTTCGCCAGATACCTCCTCTGCTTGAGGACTTTAGTATCGATATTATGGATCTCACAGGCGTCATTCAGAGGCGGGGGAAAGAGGTTTAGTGAGTGAGTCAACGGTCCCACAGGCGGCAGGCAGCTGCCTATTCCGGGCTCTTCTCCTTGAGCACTAGTAGCGCGATGCTAGTGAGAGACTTCTTCCAACATCAATTCGTAGTGGCACTGTAAGTAGCTCCTTATCTAAGCCTATATCACCAAGACCCTCTATCGGGCGGCGCCCTCCGACATGCAACAAACTTTTACGCTTGAAGAGCGGCCTCGTCTCTCGAAGCTCCACTGCCCTTCTTCCACCCTTCCGTCTCGTCTCGCCTTTTCGTAGCGACGCTCTCCTTGCCAATAGGCCCAAATCCACCGCCTCCTGGTGTCAATATACGGATTCTCTCCCCCGCCTTCATCGCAGCACTATTCTTGGCTCCCATATTGATGTGTCGCTCCTCGAAAACCTTCTCACGAGAATGATCACCACCTTCATGGAACTCCTTTATCGACTCCTCCCAGCTGACAGCCTTCTCTACATTTCTAATCCACAGATTCAGACCACACTCGCCATCCTCACCTCCCTTGAGGCCGTAAGGATGATATACTCGTCTTTCGCTAAGAATAGAGACTTGTAGTGGGATGCGGAATTCAATATCCCGGATCACGCCGTGTCCGCCCCGGTGTTGACCTTTGCCGCCGGACCCTTCCCGGATGGAAAACTCGCGAAGCAGCACAGGATAGCGACGCTCAAAGATCTCGGAATCGGTGATTCTGGTGTTGGTCATGTGAACGTGCACGCCGTCGGTCCCAACCCAGGTTGGTCCGGCGCCGCTGCCGCCTGCAATTGTCTCGTAGTATCCAAACCCCTTTACGGCATCCTGCCCAGACTGGTTCCCGCCAAATCCAAAGGTGAGGTTGTTACAGCATCCCTGGCTCGCGGCACAAGCTTCAAACGCCTTGAGGATCACGTCTGTGATTCGCTGGCTGGTGAGCACGTTGCCGCCCACGACCGCTGCGCCGGGCGAGGGAGAAAGTATCGATTTTGGAGGGATCCTGACATGGATCGGCTTCAAACATCCTTGGTTCAACGGGATATCCTCCGATATGAGGCACCGTAGACAGTATATGATGGCGCTATATGTGATCGCCTGCGGGGCGTTTATATTTCCATAGACCTCAGGCCCCGTCCCCTCGAAATCAAACTCGGCCTCGCCCTTTTCACGGTCAATCTTGACTTTGAGCCTGATAGGACTACCGTCATCCATGTAGTCGACTGCCGAGAGATCTTTGCCTTCGAACCGCTCACTTACTTCCTTGAGCAGCCTTCGGACGCAAAGCTCTGCGTTCTTCTGGATGTTCACCATGTAAAATTGAACAGTCTCTTGTCCGTACTCTTCAATCAGAGTCTCAATGAGCGAGATTCCCTTTTGGTTGGCTGACACTTGAGCTCTGAGGTCGTTGATGTTATCCGCAAGGGTACGAGTACCGCTGCAACCAGGATACCTAGCCGGCTCATCGTAGAACAGCTCGATGACGCGCTTCTCATCAAACTTTCCTCCGCTGACCAGCTTTTCGCTCCGGATCGATGCTCCCTCTTGAAACAGCTCCCTCGAATGAGGTGGCATGCTACCAGCGCTGATACCACCAATATCGGCATGATGGGCCCGAGATGCCGCGTAAAAAAGGATATCCTTCCCCTTAGAATCAAAGGCCGGCATCATCAATGTTACGTCCGGAAGATGTGTGCCACCGTAAGATGGATGATTGGAAATGATGACGTCTCCCTTGTTCAGTTTCCCCTTCCAAATCTCGGCCTGGCAACGGACAAATGTGGACATTGAGCCGAGGTGGACGGGCAGATGAGGTGCGTTGGCGACCAGCCCACCCGTAGCATCAAAGATGGCACAGGAAAAGTCAAGACGCTCCTTTACGTTCGTGCTCACGCTGGTCTTCTGTAGGGCGTTTCCCATTTGCTCCGCAATGCTCATGAATCTATGCCCGAAGATACTGAGCATGATAGGGTCGACCTCCCTGTTCTCTACTCCAATTTGCGACCTGGATGATGTTAGCTGGTAGCTAGGCCCTAATTATGCATAAGGATCAACTTACGATTCCTTCGAGTTGCTGTATTCCAAATCGATAATGACATGAGTTTCTTGGAGGCTGGCTTGTGACTTTGGTGTGACGACAATGGTTTGCGTTCCATCTGCGAGTATGGCCGGTCCTTTCACCACATCACCAACATCCAAATTCTCCAATTTGAATATCGGTGTGTCAAGTCTACCCTCTCCAAAATAGACCTGTTGGCTTCCATGTTTCTTGCTTTCAGCCACATCCTGCTTCTTAATTACCTTCAGTTGCTCGTCTACCGTCTTTTCCTTGTGCCTGAAGCTCTTTCCGATTCCTCGGACTCTGATATCGTCCACAATGATGTCCCGCTCGTCCAGAGTGAAGCCAAACTCGTATTGATGCTGCCTGACAAATGCCTGCCCAAACGACCAGTCGTTGCCGTCAAAATATTTCTTGGCTTCCTCCTCGGAGGGTTTGATTATCATGAGTGCCGATTCTGTTCCGCGATAGCGCATGTTGAGGTACTCCTCAAACCCAATCTCATTGTCGTTGAACCCCTGATCAGCCAGACTCTCTCTCGACTTTTCCTTGAGCTTCCGCATTCTTTCTTTGAGCTCATCCACCACCTTGCCACTATCTTCCCAGGTGTTCGAGTCCGGCTCCTGCCGTTCGTCCACCACATCAGCCAGAGCCATTCCGTAGGCAGAGAGAACAGAAGAATATCGGTGGACCAGGATCTGCCGAATACCGAGAGACTCGGCAATGGCAACGGCGTGCTGGCCGCCCGCACCGCCAAACGTCGCCAGACGATGCTTCGAGGAGTCGTGGCCCTTCGCCTCGGTGATGGAGCGGATAGGCCTCGTCATCGTCTCGTTAGCCACGGTGAGGAATCCGTGAGCCACTTCATCCACCGAGAGATTCTTGCCGGTTTCCTCGTTAACCTGGTCGGCGAGCTCCTGGAGAACCCGCTGGCTTGCTTCAGGATCAAGGCCCTGGTCTTCATTTTCGCCAAAGATCTTTGGGAAGAACTCGGGGAGAAGACGCCCGAGATACAGGTTCGCGTCAGTCACGGTCGCCGGGCCGCCCTTTCGATAGCATGCTGGTCCCGGGTGTGCCCCGGCCGACTCGGGGCCGACCACAAAGAGGCCGTTGCGCCAGAAAAGCCTGGAGCCGCCACCTGCAGCGACGGTGTTGATGTCCAGCTGGGGAGCCTGGATGGAAATCCCTGCGGTCGTGGTCTCAAAAACATGCTCGTAACGACCTTCGCCGTAGCGAGACACGTCTGTGCTTGTTCCGCCCTAAGGATCATCTCATGTCAGTCTCGCAGCCTCCCTTGAAATCTGAAATTTTGCGGGGGTAGGGGGTGTTCTAGTACCATGTCAAAACCAATGACAGGAATCTTGGTGTTGTGGTCATAAGATGTGGTGGCATAACCGACCACGCCGCCAGCTGGGCCAGACAAAATCGCCTTGAGGCCAGTGAACTTCTCAACGTCAACCAGACCACCGTCACTCTGCATGAACTCACATCTGGCGCCCTTTGCGCCCCTCTCTTCCTTGACGCTTCGTGTTCCCAGCCCACCCTCGAAGCCTGCTGAAAATCCATCAATGTACTTCTTGATTGCAGGTGTCAGGTATGCATCAGCGCAAACTGAAGTAGCTCGGGGAACAAGCTTGATCATCGGCATCAGTTCATGGCTGAGTGAAATGTTTGAGAATCCAACCTCCCTTGCCACGCGGCCGATCAAGGCCTCGTGGTCGGGATATGTGTACCCGTGGAGCAAGCACACAGCAATGCTACGGATTCCCTGATCATATACGATCTTGAGCTTTCTCCGCACCTCATCCTCATCGGCACGCTTGAGGATGCGAACAGTCTCCCCGGAAAGGCCCCTCACCAGTGTCTTACCAGCAGCTTCCTGCGTGCCCACTTGGGCCTCTGGCTCCGAGGTTCTCCTCTCAGGGTCCTCTGCATAGTCCTCCAGTGTGACCCGCTCCTGGATCTCAACCACGGTCTCATAGAGCACGTCCGGTTTCCGGATGGCCAAGTCAAAGATCTTCGGCCTGCTCTGGTTTCCGATCGTCAAGCAGTCCTTGAAACCTTCTGTGACAACCATGGCGATCTTCTCTCCCTTGCGTTCGAGCAGCGCATTGGTCGCGACGGTCGTGCCCATCCGGATAGAATCGATTTGCGACGTGTCCAGAGCTTCTCCACGGGGGATCTCGCGCCCGAGGAAATGGGACATTATGCGCCGGATGCCCTCGAGCGGCGCATCTTTGTAGTTGGCAGGGTCCTCGGAGAGGAGCTTGATGATAATCTCCTTGCCATCTTGCTCACCCACGCAGTCGGTAAATGTACCGCCGCGATCAATGGCAATTCTGATGCCCCGCTCCTTTGTGTCTTCTACGGCATTCATGGCGAGGTCGGTATAATATGGCAAGTTCACGTGCCGCGGCTGGCTTCGTCCAAAGTTGGAATTACACAATTTGCCCTCAGTCACAGCGGGGAATGCAACGGGGGAGATCCAGGTGATCAAGATGGAGGCACGGCCGAGTGGTTAGCCGCAGCTGCCAGAAGCATATGCATATGCACCTCGGGGCCGATGTTGAATTCTACGATGACAAATCGGAGGTAAATTCCCAGTGTCGATGACACAATGCTCCAACGTCTTAGTATCTCTCAATGTGGTCTGCATGCATGCCTGTATTAATAGCTCACATGACGATGCACCAGTTGACGGATCGGCCTGATTCCAAATACACAGATGCAGCGAAGACGGGTCAAGTCAGAAATATCGGGCCACATCTTTTTTGGGTCAATGACGAGGAAAACCAGGAAAGGACCTCCAACTAGTTTGGACACTTGACGGGCTACGCAGAAAACAGGACTAAATTCCTGGCATGTAGAACGACTTATTTGGAGTATTACCTCTGAATGATGTCAATGGGCAGGGGCGCAGAACAGATAAGGGAAAATGGGGCCCTGATTACGGAGTACTAACCTTATGTACATTGAATCAAGGGGTCCAAGGGAAGGGATCCAAGGACTCGAGTCGAGGAGGCATCACGTGGTGAATATGATATACTGCACCTCTCAAACCAGACACTCGTCTGTTCTTCCATTTCTCTTCCATCAGAATGGAAAAGGGGTTACTAGTTAGTACTCGCACTGACTAGCAGCAGACTGGACTGGTTCAGCTGATGCTAAGACATGCATCAGCCAAGGCCCGGAATTGTTGAGTCAGGGAAAACCCAAACTTTCCTTTCTTTGTCCACGAACAAACAAAGCTACGTACATAATGGAAAAGCCCAGTCAAAAGAAAGAATACAGGGGACATGGGGAAAATGAGATTGATCATTGAACCAAACCGGGATACCCGTGCTGGCGCCCCGTTCCGGCAATGATTTTAACTGGGATTCTCTATGTGAACGAGGTCGGCCGATGGCTGCGGCACCAGAGGAAAACTTTACAGCCGCTCAACAAGAACATAGCATGCCTGTGCGACATGATAGTTGACTTGTATTTTTTCCTGCTCTTGCATTTTCGGTGGAATACCGGGGCGAGAACTGGACACACTACCGCCAAATACGAGAACCGGGGTGGGTAAGGTAGCAGCAAGTAAGTGATCAGCTCACCCAACACACAGAGTGCGCCCTCGAGCTTGCTTTGCACATAACTACCTAACCTTGCGTGTATGTGTGGCCTAACCCATTTGCCTGGGCACAAGTACACCATGGTATGTATGGTGCGTGGGCTGGCCGGGCCAACAGGACCTGCTGTCCACCGCTAGTTCGCTGGCATGTGAATGAATCAGTTGGGCTCGGAGACGCCATGCGGCACTGGGCATTCGGAGGCGTTGATCTGGTCTAGGGCAATGGGGGACAAGAAGGAGGCGAAAGAAAAAAAATCCCTTCCCAGAGATGGTACCGATGAGAGACAGATTATCGGCCAGGCCATGGCACGAGAGACATGACTTACCGTTGTGCTAATAATACCTTACACATATGTACCTACATATGTACAGGTGGAAAGGACTAGAACACTAACACGAAAGGGCGAGCAGGTTAGTAGGTCCCAACATCGAGACATCCAGACCCCCTGGCCCGGGTTCTGGGCCCAATTTTTGCAACGATAAGATCGCCGCGTTGACCGCGTGTTCGCTCCATTTAGGACCAATGTCACCTGCCTGCCAACGTACATAGATTTCGTGCCCAGACTGTTATTGCCGCTGGGGGAAAACTCTGTCTGCAGGGAAGAGAATTAAGAACCCCGGTCTGCCGTCTGCATTGCTTTGTTTTCGGGGTCTGTTGGGTGCCCTTTGGCAAATCCTTGCTGGGCAGGAAAGCCCAGTGGCTGCTGGCTGCTGGGACGGAATTGGCCTCTGACGACGTCACCTCAGCGCTGTGGTGGCTCAATACCGGCTGGAGACTCGCTGTGGCTGCGAGCGTTGCTGCTTACACATTGAACGCTTCCCACTAGATGGGGCTGACAAAAACAAAGTACTGACGGCGCCCACCGCTTTCGGAGCCTTGCGCCCCCCGGCTGGTGCGGCGGCAACACCCCCAAGACCCCTCCCCTTTGCTTTAGCCTCCAGCCGCCGCCACCCCCCAGGGTTCACCCCCCAGGCCGCATGTCCAATCAAGTCGAGACAGCATAAACAATGCGGAACAGCACCAGCGGGTGCACCCAGCAGCCATCTTGGGTTTGTACGTGCATGCACGAGTGTAACCTATCGATATGCATGCAGGATACATATCCCTCCTTTGTGCCATGTAACTCCCTCTCACGGCCCTCGCGAATGGAGACCCTCTCTATCTATGTACAATGCCTCTTGCCCACCAGCGCTAGGCCGGAGCGGCCTGTAGTCCTGACTGGCTCCACTGCCGCCCGGCTGGAACTTCCAGCCCGTCCATTGGAAGTACCTTGCGTATCGTAACTAAGACCTCCCGTCTAAGTCTCTGAATCTCGACGGTTCCACATGATTCGGTGACCAGGAAAGGCTGGGGCCATGGTCGAAATTACGATTTCAGGTAAGGCCATCCCCGGGAGGCGAGCACCCCGACTCCACCGAGAGACAAGGGCCCGATCCCAGTGACTCTTGACCCTCGTCGATGCCTTGTTGGCTTGCTCTCCGTAATTAGTAGTCGTCCTATAAAGGCCGACAGCCCCGTACCGCTGACGCATTCGCTTGCAGCCTTCGCTCTCCCTCTGACATCCATTCTGTCCTCCCTCGTTGCATCCTCTCTACGCTCTATCCCTCACGGCTATCGTCGTTCTCTCTTACATACTCTCCTCCCGCCTTCTCGACACCCGCCGACGGTACTCGAGATCCCCTCGGCAGAGCAGCTCCTCCCACCGCTCCCTCTCTCACACAGCCCTCCTCACCAACGCCCATCATGGCTGGAAAGAAGATCCGTTGCAACGCCACCGAGTGCCGCGAACGAGCCCAGCTCATTGTTGGCGACTGCAGCTTCTGCCAGGGCCACTTCTGCAGCAAGCACCGTTTGCTGGAGGATCACAAGTGCAGCGGTCTCGAAGACGTAAGTTCCACCACCGCCACTTCCCGAGCCTAAACAGCCGTTCTAACGCAGCCGTTTCTGCCAGTGCAAAACGCAATCCCACGCCCGCAACGCCGCCCAGCTCGAATCCGAGCGCACCCAGGTCATCCGAGGCGTATAGGGTCGTGTTGTCCCTGTTTTTGTGAAATGAGAAGGGTCGCCGGCCGAGTGTCTCCAACCCCGACCCTCGGATACTGGCGGGCTAGCCGCGTTCGGCAAGGCAGTTCCATCACCCGAATGGCTCCCTTCGCAAATCAGCAACCAGCCCCTGCGAGCGTCCCCCAAACGCAGAGGACCAATTCCTCCGTCCTCCTCACCGACTGCAACACCACCTGTTCCTGCTTTGCTTCGAATATAACGAGTACGATTTTATGATGGGATTAGCGAAGGGAAAGGGCCTATTCTGGGGAACCGCCGCCACCCACACCCGTTCATTTCGGAATGGGGAGAGGGGGGCGTGCGCCGTTGTGCATGAATGATAAGAGGCCGCAATTGTACTTTACTACAATCCTAACTGTGCGAGGCGTCTTAATGAGCTGGCGCTTTTCTATGGGCATTATTTGCATGGGGGTGCCCAGATGCTTTGTTTTGTTAATTTTTTACCTATGTTTGACCAAATTATTCACCTTATTTGTTTCAAGCAAACATATTACTACCATGTTTGAATACAAATCATTTAATCAATTTTCTGTGCCATTCGCTGTTCGTGGAATCCTCCCTCCGTGCACACGACAGGCTCGAACCGATCAACCTTGACTGACCTCTGACCCGTGTCGGCTTCTGACTCGTACGACCACGGTTGGTCATTACTCAGCTGCAGGCATACGCTGGGTGCGAGGCGTTATCTGGTGGGTATATGGTATCAACGTGTGAGTCGCCCTCGAATGGCGGAAACAAGGATCAGCCAGCTAAGTCCAATAGCGTCGACCCGGTGGTCCCCTGATGGTCATAAAGTCGGGCTCTGGGCCGCTTGGCTTGCAGTCGTGCAGGGCATTCCTGCATTAAACGCGCAGCCGATCGCTGCCCACTCAGCTGCCAATCGCTAAGGTATGCTCTCGGTTGTAGGTGGTCAGTTGCCGGGGTGGACCGGAGCGGCATCATGCATGCGGGGGGCAGGACAGGAGGGAGGGGGGACCCCTGGGAAGCTTCTAATGTTGTCTCGTGAGACCTTCAATTCGCTGTGGGCTGTTTCCACTTGCGGGTTGCTGCGCTGTCATTCCACCTCTTCCTGCTTGACAGCGAACTCCGTCTTAATTACCTCCTCCTCCTCCTCCTTCTTCCCCTGGGCCAATGCGTCCTCGCCTTTAACATGCTCCCTCTCAGCCTTGATCTTACGGCCCTCGGACAGTTTTTTCCGGTCCGCAGCCTTGCATAGTCCCCGGAGTCCGACCTCGCAGTCGCCGCACCGTCGTCCCTGGGGCAGGCACACCTTCTGCCCAAGCCCAACGAGGAGAGAATTGATCTCCCGCCACCTGTCCTTGGGCAGCCATGACTGCAGCGCAAGCCTTGTTTCCTCGGGGTTTTTCGTGTTGTTCCAACCCCAGAGGTTCGTGATCCGGTGGACGTGCACGTCGACACCAATGCCCTCTGTGCGATTCCACGCCGCTGATAAGCACAGGTACCCCATTTTGGGCCCGACGCCCGGCAGTGATGTCAAACCCTCGATCGTGCCCGGTATATCGCCATTCCATTTGTCACGGAGAATCTCCGCTGCCTGCTTCAGGTACCTATAATCGAGCCACGTATGTCAGCCAGCTGGGAAAGATTTGGGGGGAGTTAGGCAGCGAAGGGGTCGCCTCATACTTTGTCTTGTTGTTGTGGAATCCCACCGCCCATATCATCTCGTTCAGCAGCTTGGGGTCCACGGCCAGCATGTTGTCCAGGTTCAGCCCGACCGGGGCGCCCTCCTTGTACGGGGGAAGCTCAGTCTGGAGCCGCTTCATGGCCACTGCGTTGACCGTATCTTTGGTCTGACTTGAAAGCATCAGGGCCACCAGCGTGTGGAACCTCTGGTCCTTCTCCGACGCACTCCTGTCAGCCAGGCGCTCGCATCCCATGGTGTCCACTGCAGCCCCGTGCGCGGCGCCGCCTGGTGCCCTCATTTGCCGTATAAGCCCGTATATCTCCTCCCAGTCCGACGGGGGCTCTACCTTGACCTCTCCCGTAGTAGCATCTGTAGTTTTTCGTGCGGGTTTGCGTACTCGTCGAGTGGCCGCTTTGGTCTCTAGCACCGGTACCGCACCCTCCACCAGTTCCGTCTTGATCACTTTCACTGGTGATGTCGTACTTGCAACCCTCCGTCGTTTCTTGGCTGGTGCCGTGAAGATATCCTCAACGTCGGGGGTGGGTGCACCATTCTGCTGTTGGGATGTTGCCGCCGCGGCCGTTGTCGTGTAGGCGAATCGAGCGAGCGAGGAGCGCGTCGTACGTCGGGGGGGCGAGGGAGGGCTTGATACTTTGTCGAACAGCTTTGCCGTATCTCTCGATACCCTAGACGTCCTCATCGTAGTGATTCTATGAAAGAACTCATTTAACTTTCAAGAAAGAACGCCAGCCAAACTGCGAAGCAGGCAAAGACTCCTGGATATTCTGACGCGATGATTGGAAGGATGCCATTTCCATTTAAAAATGGATCCGATACTCTCTCCTAGCCATTCAGAAGCTCTCAATTACTATCACTTCTTGCGTGCTCCGACAGCTTACCCTACACCACGACACCCCCTATTTCTCCTGACAAGGGCGACGACTGAAGTTGATTCTGCTCCTTCGCCGGTGCTTGACAAGGTGTGCACTAATACGGATTAGATGCATGCTAGATGCCTGTCTTGACTGTGATCAGAGCCATCTGCATCGAGCACTTAGCATTGAACCATCAAGGTGCCAACGACCCGGATTATCGAGTGGTATAAATGGAGAGCTCATCCACCCGAGGTACACCATCTTCTTTATAAAAACACCACGTTTCATCTCAGAGCTTTGTAATGAGAACGACTTTTATTATTCACATATGTTTAATTTTTTTTAACTTAATTATTTTACAGGCTTTGTACCTTTTTATAGCGCGCGCATATCGACAACGGCACGGATGCAGTCACCGCCCTTCATGGTCTCGAAGGCATTGTTCATCTCACCGAGAGTCTTGCGGTGGGTGATGAACTCGTCGACCTTGAGGCTGCCCTTGAGGTAGTCCTCGACGAGGCCAGGCAGCTGGGTGCGGCCCTTGATGCCGCCGAAGGCACAGCCCTTCCAGACACGGCCGGTGACGAGCTGGAATGGCCGGGTGGCGATCTCCTGGCCGGCGGCAGCAACACCGATGACGATGCTCTGTCCCCAACCCTTGTGGCAAGCCTCCAGAGCTGCGCGCATGACATTGACGTTGCCAGTGCAGTCGAAGGTGTAGTCCAGACCACCGTCAGTCATCTCAATGAGCTTGTCCTGGATGGTCTGGCCGTCCTTGAGCTCGAGAGGGTTCACGAAGTCGGTGGCGCCGAACTTCTCGCCCCAGGCCTTCTTGTCGTTGTTCACGTCAACGACGATGATCTTGCCGGCCTTGTTCTGGGCAGCGCCCTGGACAACGGAGAGACCGACGCAGCCGGCACCGAAGACGGCGACGGTGGAGCCCTCCTCGACGTTGGCAGTGACGGTGGCGGCGCCGTAGCCGGTGGTGATGCCGCAGCCGAGCAGGCAGGTGCGGTCCATGGGGGCATCCTGCTTGACGGCGACGACCGAGATGTCGGCGACGACGGTGTACTGTGAGAAGGTGGAGGTGCCCATGAAGTGAAGGAGATCCTGGCCCTTGGCCCTGAAGCGGGATGTGCCGTCGGGCATCAGACCCTTGCCCTGTGTAGCGCGGATCTTGCCGCAGAGGTTGGTCTTGCCGGACTTGCAGAACTTGCATTCCTTGCACTCGGGGGTGCTGCATCGCAAGGTTAGCTCACTTTCAAACTTCGAGCCGGTCGGTGGGGGGGTTTCGTACTAGAGGGCGACAACATGGTCACCAGGCTTGACGTTGGTGACGCCCTCGCCAACAGACTCGACGTAACCGGCACCCTCGTGTCCCAGGACGATGGGGAAAGCACCCTCGGGGTCCTTGCCGGATAGGGTGTAGGCATCTGCAGAAGCCGAAGGTCAGTTTTGATGATCCTGGTGATGAGTAGGTGAGTGGATCGTTTGGTGGTCTCACCTGTGTGGCAAACACCAGTGTAGTAGATCTGGATTCGGACCTCGTGGGCTCTGGGAGGGAGGACCTCGATGTCCTCAATGCTGAGAGGCTGGCCGGCTCCCCAGGCGACGGCGGCCTTGCAGGTGATGGTCTATACAAAGCGAACCCGGAGGCTCTGGTTAGCTGGGCATTCTCATGAGAGCTTCACTGTGGTGACGAATGTGAGTGAGGGGTCGTAGAGGGGTGAGTCGCACCTTGCCAACGGTATCAGCCATTGTATGATGTCACTAAGAGGTGAGGCTCTAGGTGAGGGTTGGAGAGGGATTCGGGTACGTGAAATTGACAGAATCAAAGCTTGGGTAGATGACGAGTCGGAGCTACCGTCAATGTTGTTATATAGGTAGGAGAAAAAGCAAGCCAGCTACCGGGTCTGCCGTTCACATTCGTTTACTTTCCGATCACCGAAGAGCGCCGAGAAGGGTTACCCCGCTGCGGAGGGGGAGATTTAACTCAGGAGCGCGTAGGCTAACCTAGTTCAACAAAGATAACCAGATCTCAGTGCATGTGGCCAATGATTGGCTTGGAATAATGGGGAAGGGTATGGGAGCTGCCTGTATTAGTGGAAACCCCTCCGAACAACGGGAAGCCAGCCGACGGCTATTGGTGAGGAGCATTCCGGGCTCGAATTAGGTAGCACTATTACATAGCGCTTTTCGTCCACAACATGTTGCCACTGTGCCACCAGCCTCTGGTCTATCGTGGAGGCTATGGATGCCAAACCCCGACTGATTAAGAATCCGGCGATTGGGGACAATACTCGGAGAGTGAGTCATCACGATGGGCATTTGTAGATAGGGACACTGGGCTAGGCCGTGAGAGATGGGGCTACGGGTATTCTTGCTTGGTTAGTCCTGGGATATGCTTTAAGCATGGTGCAATTCTAAGTTGTCCTTCTAAGAGCATCCCACGTTGGCCCAGCTGCTGGATAACACCTCCCGAGTGTGTGGGTTTCACTCTATCGTTATCTATAAATACTCACAGATTGCGCATCTTTATTCTTATTTATGATCTTGCTCTCTGATACTACTAGCCCACACGCTAATAATGTTTTGACCACGGAGTAGTTGTTCATCCATTCCATCTCAACTTAGTAAGTATCGGCATCACCTGCCTAGTATTTAGATTCAAAGCGAATGTATTCCTTCTGTTGGCCTTCGCATACATGATTGTCTCCAGGTTAGGAATGTTGGTCTAATCGTGCACAGACGGTCCAGCACCAAGTGAACTGAGGACTGGACGGTTACCTGTGTGATGGCCGGGTAAATTTCGGGTGGATAGCTCTGGTCGCGGTAGCTCTCAAAAAAATACCCAGCACGCGTTTCGCACTGACTGACGTCTTTGTCGTTCAAATGTGATAATTGCACCGAGTGATCAAAGGCCCCCCTTGGTTTCCATTGTGCTTTCATGTCGCATCCTGATCGCGCGACACAAGGCACGGAGAAGCCTTCGAGACGTCGCTGCGCGGCCTGCAGTCACCACCACCATTCCGCTTCCCATTCGACCACCTCCCATCCGAAATCTTCCCCAACGACAACGGCATCGGCATCGAAGAAGACAAAGAAGACCACACCGGCCACCATGGCTAACCGGTTCATTGTCCCGGACTCGAGCCCCCCGGGCAGTCCAAGCCCTTCAATGCCATCCCAAACCCCCCAGAGACTCTCTGGACTCCCAACCTTTGGTGATCTCCCATCAACCACACCTGCTGGCCCGCCACCCCCATCTTCAGTCGCATCTTTCACACCAGCTGGGGCGCCTTCCGACTCGTATCTTGGTAGTTCCATAATGCGTAGCATGGCCGGACAACCTACACCAAACTTTGGCGGCGGCAGCTTTGCCCGAGATAGCACACGGACGAACTTGTTTGGTCGCAGCGAGAAGTCAAATGCTCCACTGGGCCGCTCGATAGGACCACGAGGAAGGCCTGCCTCGGGTCTTAGCAGACAATACAACATGGGGGATTTCGAGCCTGATGAGGATTTGGACGAGGATGCCGAGGGAGAGGAGGATATCCAACCCCCTCCGGGCAGTCTATTCCGGAGTTCGTTTGCGCAAAAGCATTTCGGAAATAAAGAGGTGGAAGATGAGATCGAACGAGCAATCACTCGCGACCTCGATCTAGAAGAAGATATTTACGACGACGAGGAGGAGGAGGAGGAGGAGGAAGAGGAAGAGGAAGAAAGACAACAAGTCCGCTACCAGGATCATGAATTAGAGGATGATGTCTCTGAAGATGCGGATGGCTCTGGAGACGAGGCTGATATGTTTCTGAATATGCGCCATGATGACCGACCTTATGGGCAGCCAGTTATCGGTGAAGAATCAGATTTGATGATGCTCAACACACCAGCAGCAAACAATAGGGTCCGAAAGGAAGCAGAGAGCCTGTACCGGCAGTCGACCGCGCTCTTGGGATCATCCGGACGCAACCGAGGTTTCGAGTTTGCCTCTATTGCACGGGACTTTTATACTTCATTCGACATCGCAAAGCTCGTTGAGCCCCCTCATTTAATTTTGGAGACCGAGAGCATAATCTGCCGGTTGTATGATGAAGGAGTTGGCACGAGTGAGGACGAAGAAAGGCTGGATGACTCCCTAGCAAATGCTACTTTCCGCCTTGTTACCTTGTGGAATGAATTCGCCGCCAGGCTTCCAAAGGAAGGGGAGCGCCTGGCTTATATTGGACCTGGCCCGACAGATTCCGCATTTGAGAAGGCAGCCTATGTCGCTCATCTGATATTGCGATTGCATCATACTCGATTCTTGGGCGATGGAACAGGAGATCAAAAGATCCCACCTGTCCCCGAGGCATTATTGGACTGGCTCCGAACATCACACAATTTGTATCCTGATCAAGCTCGAAATGTGCGCTACCACCAATCAAGCCCCGCTTCTCACAGTCTCTTCTGGCAGACCGTGCGAAACTCTCTCTTACGAGGTGAGCTAGCAGATGCGATTGATCTACTTCGGAATGCTGGGTGGGAGTCTGTGACTAGGGGTCCTAGGCGAGAACCTACATACACCGGCAAGGCTCTGGAGAACGTGAAGCGGTTCGTTGCTACTTGCTGCGAGACTTTGGAGCTGTGTCCTGCCACGAAGTCTGACTGGGACATCAAAAATAGCAGCTGGACGCTCTTCAGAATTCAGGCACGAGGAGCACGGGATAAAATGACGGTATTCGCCGAGGGCACAGATCACTTCCGAAGCTCGGAAGACGACCAGGCCTTGCCACCTATGGGTCTGTCCATGTCCACCATGGCTAGAAAATCGACAAGCCAACTTCCATGGGACATTTATGAGAATCTGCAAGCAGTATACGGGATCGTGCTCGGAAACAACGAGGCCATCATCGATACGGCGCAGGATTGGTGCGAGGCAACTGTAGGCATGTTTGCTTGGTGGGACGAAAAGTCTGACCAGCAGAATGCGGTGGGATTTACTCAGCAGCGTGATCTTCTCGCCTCGACGTTCAGGTCAAATGACCTGGAAGGTTACTTCGATCGTCTTACTGCGACATTCCATCATGTCTTGCAGTCGGACCTTGTGCCAAATGCAATGAATCCCGTTGAAGTTGCTATCGCATCTGCCTTTGAAGGCAATGTTGAAGGCGTTATTGGCTTCTTGCGCGCATGGTCTCTTCCTGTAGCGAGCTCAGTGGCTGAAGTTGCTTCGTTGGGGCGCTGGCTGCCCATCACCGAGGCTAAGAGACCCCTTCTTATGGACAACCTTGACATGGAGGATCTCGAGATTCTCAATATCCCGCAACCCACGCTTGACGATATTGAGGGTGTCAAGGATAGCACACTCGAGGCTTACGCAAGGCAGCTTGCTGGCATTGAACACTTGTCTCCTCAGCGCGAAGGCTGGGAGTTGGCCATTCAGGTTCTTGGTCGAATGGATGCGACCGAGAAGTCTGAAACAACAGTAGGGGAGCTGCTGAGGGACATTCTCAAGACCCTGGATGAGCACTCGAGCTCAACGGTTGACAAAATGTGGAGGATTCTTAATGAACTTGGGTTGATTAATTTCGCGGAAGAGACTGCAGAGGTATGGTACACCCCCTTAAAAACTGGCTGAGAATTCGAGACTGACATGGGCGTTAGACATATGCGGATATATTGTCACAGGAATCGCACAGATTTGGCGAGGCCCTGTGGTACTACGCACTATCGCACCGTACTGACAAGGTTCGAGAGGTGCTCAACCTGCTCATTTCATACTCGTTGATCCAATCCACGGTGTACCCCGCAGAGAAGGATCTTGACGTGGAACTTAAAAACCTGCTGCGAAAGCGAGGAGAGACACTTGAAAGACGTGCAGAGCAAGACCTGGAGGCAGCACAGCTCCTCGGTCGCATGATGAGTGGTTACGCAACACTGCGTAAATTCTATGAGCTTAGAGACGAATTGCAGTCGAAGGAGCTGTCTTCCTCGAAAACCCTGGCTCTGAAGAAGCAGGCCGCCTTTGCTCTTGTGGCAGTCGTTTCCAGCTCTGATGATAATATCCGCGGTGGACTGTACGACGACGCCAGAGATGCCGTGGTAAGCGAGGACTTCTTGTTGGCACTCCTAGGAGAGGCAACTGTTTTCATCCACCAATCACCGACTGCCATCACTCTTGAGCAAATCGACATTCTGCTGAAGGCTGTCGAGGATATTCAAACTGTCGGCTCGCGAGTGTATTCAGCATGTGAGGAGTTTTTCGATCTGGTTCTTTCGTCAGGCCAAGGACTCAAGGGATCGAAGCCATCTGATCTGATGTCAAAGTCGACGATTTCGTTGGGCGGTAGCTACATAATGAGCGGAAGCTCCATGCTGACAAGCCATTTCCATAAATCCGTTGCTGCCGGCGGGCCAATCCAGAGAGGCTGGGATTGGAGGAAAGAATTCTCTGCCTCAACAAAGGCAGAGGATGTCCTGCGAAAGCTACGGCTGGGTCTTGCGAAAGACTTGGCTACGCTGTGGCTGGATGACGCCGACGGTGCTGTTGCCTGGTGAAGCAAAGAATGAAGCCTGGAGTGTTGGGAGGACGACACTCGGGAACTTGGAATTTCGCTGCAAGGATGCATGCTGTGTGGATTAAGGAAGCTGGCGCGCATTTGGGACGGTTAGAGATGCATGGCTCTTAAAATTTGTTGATAGTAATTGAAATCACACCATTAGATTCACACCTAAAACGTATCTGAAAAAACCGGCCAGGCCCAGATCCAAAGCCCTCTTTCTCGGGAGTAGAGAAGATAGAGAACGAATTTGGTATTCTTGTTTGTGACATGCAACTTACAGCATGGACCCTCCCCGAATAGCTTACCCGAGATCAATAGAAGAGCCCATGCGAGTGGGCTCGCTGCATATCACTTTCTCTCAGGGACGTTTGATGTTGTTCCACCCCGTCTCGCGAAGACCTACATTTACTAAGGATCGATTTTAATGTTTAAATTTGGTTGACCTATTATTGCCGCGTATTTTCGTGTCAATTGTAAGCAGGATGCCCAGCTTCAAACAGCCAAAGACAACTAGGTCGACTTGAACAGATATTACTTCCAATCTTCAAAGTAGTCATACGTGACTTGGAATACGATCCTCATTCTTCTATCCTAATATATTGGGACTGCTAGAAGTGAAAATAAAAGATAAAAGATTTCAGGTGTTATTTTCATGCTAATACGCCTGCGCCGCTGGCTGATTGTGTAGGACAGGTCTCAGCGATTTTTATACTTTTCGAAAATCTTCTATTTCAAGCTACTCTAATATGCTTTTTGTGCATCTACAAGAAGGTCTATCAGTACCTGGGTTCAAGAAAAATCCGATTGGGTGCTCACTGGCTGACTTCCTGACGACACCTTGGGAGTCGGTACTAAGTGTAGAACAAGCCCTCAGAGCTCTTTCATATGATATCATCCGGATAAGTTCCCTATTCCTAATACGAATTAGAAACCATGTGTAAATTCGAATCGAGGTATTTTCAGCCTACCAAATGGTAGCTTATGAGCCAAATTATTCATTACGGCCAATGCCCATTCGGAGGCATTTCAAAATTTTATACATCCTTCAAGGAAATCATGTATAAGAGGAGAAGAAACGAAAGCATTAATCGAATACCGATCTTTCATAATATGCCGAATTCAGCCTCATCATTCATGCGGAGTTATTGCAGCAGTTGAACAAGTAGGAAAAAGAATTATAAAAGATGAGACAGTTGCAGACATTATCCAGAGCATTGCTCCTCGAAAGAAAATCAATGAGAATTTTCTCACATATTTGAAGAATTGAGTCCTGTACGAATATATTTATTTATTAGAGTTAGGTGTGTTTTCGGAGTATTGTTCAAAATATCATCTTTCACGAGAAATTTCTCGAAGAAACTGTAATCCTGAAAGCATCTGAATTGTAACGTAATACGACTAGTATATTTTTATAGCCTGCCGATCGAAACTCGCCTCTTAAGGTACCTTATTGATCGATATCTAGACTATAAGGTAGGTAAACAACGAATAGGTGTCGTGTCAGGGAGGTAATATCAATTTGGCAGCATTGCATCATTGCCGAGGCGCCTCTGCCGTGTCCTGCTACGAAGTGTGCTGACTACAACTGAGGAGCCTTTATTCGTAATTTCAAAGCTCACAGGTGGACATACTATCTGCCAAATTGTATCGTGACCAAGTAAGAAAAAGACGGCCTCTTACATGTCAGTTGTCCTTGATCTAGGTATCTAGAGCTAGGATGAATGCTCCTCAGCAGTCGACCCTTCGAGATAACGCCGACTCTGAGGAAAAAAGCACATGAGGCTTCATTCACTGTTTATTTCTCTATCTTGCCCAATGTTTGAATTTGTTTTAAGTCTCTGGGCGAGAGTTGCATGAGCAATGCTTGGCCAACGGGAAGGTCGTGTGTGAAGAATTGTGGACGGGATTTTCTTGGCTTCAAACTCCACAACGGCAACTTGCCGATAGCTTGCAGCGAGGCATCCTGATGATTCCAACTAGATGCTCTCGTGCTTCTTTTTTCGCGAAAAATCGAAGTCTGGTACAACTCCGCCATGCTCTGGCCTGGGCTGCTCGAGCTCGTGCTCCTCGAGCCGTCGCCGAAGATCGGACCAGCGGCGATCCACTTTGAAGGTGTGCTCCAATCCAGTTCGGGTAATTTACAATTACTAGACGCCCCAAAAATTTCCCCAGATGCGTCTGAAACTCTCACGTCTTAAATCTTTCCCCGAACACCACGATATTCTCAGCCTGGGGGGAATTGGCACTATGGCACCAATTCACATGGCCAGCCGCTCGGGCGGCGCACTGGCGGTACGCCCCTCCCCCTCTCTCACGTCCGAGCCCCTCCTCGAGCCACACTGACCTCCATCGCAGCAAGTCCTGCGACGACGCACCGCCGGCCCCGGAGCATCACGCCTTATGGCCATCACCGCCTCCTCCGCCCGCAGACACCTCTCCACGGCCCAATCGCTGCCTCCGACCTATGAGAAGCTCTTCAACAAGTACACCGAAGTCCGACGAGTCCTCGGAAAGCAGCGCCTGACCCTCGCCGAGAAGATCCTCTACAGCCACCTGCACAACGTCGAGGAGTCGCTGCTCAACAACACCGACAATGGGCGCAGTGTCCGGGGCAAGGCCAACCTGCGCCTCAACCCCGATCGTGTCAACATGCAGGATGCTTCCGCCCAGATGGCTCTGCTCCAGTTCATGTCCTGCAACCTGGCCCGCCCTGCTATCCCCGCCAGCATCCACTGCGACCATCTGATTGTTGGATACAAGGGTGCCGAGGGTGATCTGGAAGCTGGTATCCAGACCAACAAGGAGGTTTTCGATTTCCTCGAGTCTGCCGCCCGCAAGTATGGAATGGACTTCTGGCCTCCTGGAGCTGGTATCATCCACCAGACCGTCCTGGAAAACTACGCCCTGCCCGGTCTGATGATGCTCGGAACCGATAGTCATAGTCCCAACGCCGGTGGTCTCACCACCATCACCATCGGTGTCGGAGGTGCTGACGCAGTCGAGGCCCTTGTTGGCGCTCCCTGGGAACTCAAGGCCCCCAAGGTCCTTGGTGTTGAGTTGGTTGGCAAGCTTAATGACTGGGTGTCTCCCAAGGACGTCATTCTTCAGTTAGCGGGCGAACTGACTGTACGTGGTGGAACCGGATCTATCATTGAGTACTTTGGTCCTGGTGTCGAGACCCTAAGTTTGACTGGCAAGTCGACTATCTGCAATATGGTTCGTTCTCTCCTACTGCTCCTTTGATAACTGTTACAAATAAGTGCTAACCACTTCATACAGGGGCAAGTTTTCCTAACCGTCCATGACAGAAATCCCACTAGGGGACATCTGTTTGAATCTTATACTAACCTTTCGTAAAATATAGTGCCGAAGTAGGAGCAACCACCTCCATTTTCCCCTACACAGAGTCGTCTGCTCGATACCTGGAAGCCACCAGCCGAAGCCAAGCAGTTCGCAACATTGAAGCCCTGCAGAAATTCCCCGGCAGCGGCGCTGACAAGGACGCCTATTTCCGATTCAGCGCAGACGAGGGAGCTGAGTATGACCAGGTTATCCGGATTGACCTCTCCACACTCGAGCCTCATATCAACGGCCCCTTCACTCCTGATCTGGCAATCCCCCTCTCTAAGTTCAAGGAGACCGTCAAGGACCAGCAGTGGCCCGAGAAGCTCTCCGCCGGCCTGATTGGCAGCTGCACCAACAGCTCGTACGAGGATATGACTCGTGTCGAGAGTTTATTGAAGCAGGCTGCCGCTGCCGGCCTCAAGCCTTCCGCCGACTTTTACATCACACCTGGAAGTGAGCAGATCCGTGCCACTCTCGAGCGTGACGGAACCCTCGAGACGTTCGAGGGCGCCGGCGGGATCGTCCTCTCCAACGCCTGCGGCCCCTGCATCGGTCAGTGGAAGCGCAAGGACGGAGTCGAGAAGGGTACCCCCAACGCCATCCTGACCTCGTACAACCGCAACTTCCGCGGCCGCAACGACGGCAACCCCGACACCATGAACTTCCTCGCCTCGCCCGAGATCGTCACAGCCATGGCCTTCGCCGGGTCAACCACCTTCAACCCAATGACGGACGCGATCAAGACCCCAGACGGCAAGGACTTTAGGTTCTCCGCCCCCCACGGCCTCGAGGGCCCCGAGACCCCCTTCGAGTCCGGCAGCGAGTCCCTCCGCGTCCTGTCCCAGGAGGCCGACGCCGACGCCCAGGTCGCCATCTCCCCCACCTCGGAGCGCCTCGCCTTCCTCGACCCCTTCCCCCCCTTCCCCGGCTCCGACCTCTCCGGCCTCCGCGTCCTCGTCAAGATCACCGGCAAGTGCACCACCGACACCATCTCCGCCGCGGGGCCCTGGCTCAAGTACAAGGGCCACCTCCCCAACATCAGCACCAACACCCTCAACACCGCCGTCAACGCCGAGACGGGCGAGGTCAACGCCGCCTACGACCTCGACGGCTCCCGGCACACCATCCCCGACCTCGGCCAGCTCTGGAAGGACCGCGGCCAGGAGTGGCTCGTCGTCGCCGAGCACAACTACGGCGAGGGCTCCGCCCGCGAGCACGCCGCCCTCCAGCCCCGCTACCTCGGCGCCCGCGTCGTCCTCGTCAAGTCCTTCGCCCGCATCCACGAGACCAACCTCAAGAAGCAGGGCGTCGTGCCGCTGACTTTCGAGAACGAGGCCGACTTTGACCGGATCGCCGCCGGCGACCTGGTCAGCACCGTCGGCCTCCACGAGATGCTCCACAACGGCGGCAAGGGCACCGTCCAGGTCAAGGTCACCAAGGACTCGGGCGAGGAGATCCTCATCCCCACCAAGCACGCCGTCACCAAGGACCAGGCCGGCTTCATCCTGGCCGGCAGCGCTCTGAACCTGCTGTCCAAGGGCTTGTAAGGAAGGCGGCTTTTTTGTCGCTCGCTGATCAGTCTTGCTTTTTTTCTCTCTCCTTTCCTTATACGTTGTTATATTGAGTCACACATATACCACCGTGTTTTGGATCTAGCTTTGTCGAATTTAGAGGCGTTGAAAAAGGGGGTGGGCTGGCAAAAAAAGAAGGCAGTGGGATCATTCTCAATGACATCGCTGAAATCTTATTAAATATGTTTTCTCGTTTACCCATTTTGTATAAAGTGCCATCTACCCAGATGCCCATCACCGGTTTGAAGTGATGCTCCAGGTGAAGACACACCATACCCAGTTAAGCTCCCACTGTATAATCTGCCCTATCCCAGCTCAGAGAGTGCTCGTTTTCACTCTGTGCAAACAGCCTGTAGGTAAATATGCGGCCATCTATTGGTTACAGAACACGGTCCTCCCTCAGAAGGACTGAAGATGAAAATCTAGATAGAATAGTAAGCAATCTCGGAAGGGCCCCTCTCTATATGTTCTCTGCCAGGAGTTGACTACCCCCGCGCCCCCCCTCGACTGTTGCCTGGCTGCCATCAAAAACTCCGTGTGCCCATGTCCCTGTGTCTCTGGGTATCATTGACTCCTCCAATGAATCATCCCGAGCTCATAAATTGATTGTAAAAAAATTCGAAAAAGAAAAAAAGTTTCCTTTACCCTCCGACGCCTTCAATCAAGTGTGCCGTAAGCGTAACCGGGTATTACAGAAATAGATACGCTACCCAAGAAGAGAAAGCCGAGTTCACAAGATTCTGCTATATCGGCTTTGTGTTACGCTTGTTTCATCGAATTGTAGAACTCCTCGGTTTGCCGCATAAACTTCGAGGCAAGCTGTCTTTGCGCAACTTCCTTCTTGGTAAGGGATCTTTGCGCAACCTCCTTCGGGGCCAGCGGTCTTTGCGCAACTGCCTTCGGAGCCAGCTGTCTTTGCGCAACTTCGTTCGAGGCCAGCTGTCTTTGCGCAGCTTCGTTCAAGGCCAACTGTCTTTGCGCAGCTTCCTTCGAGGCCAGCTGTCGTCGCGCAACTTCCTTCCTGGTGAGGGATCTTTTATCGACCTCTGCTTGCTGTTTCGCTCGTTCTCGGCGCAGCACACTAGAGTCCGCTGCATCCATTTTAGTTCTTGCGTCGCGAAGCCTCCCGCAAAACTTCAGCCAAGCAGGGTTTTCTTTAACATATGATGGAAGATCATCTTCTGGGACGTCGCCAAAATCGAGGGATCTCTGATGCGCCCAAGGCTCTGGATCTTTCCTCTTGGGACCTCTTTCCCGAAGGCCGTCATCGCTGGGTCGAGATAGTTGGTCTTGTTGCGACTTTAACCACCGTTGTCTCTCCCTGACTCTTCCAAACCATTTCTTTCGAGCTCCTGGGAGTCGAAGGGCGAGCTTTCTTCGGTACCACTCCTCCGATCGCTCATGCATTCCTTGAATCGCTGGATCTCGGTGTAGATAGAGGCGATCGTCTAATTGCGACCCATCGCTGCCTTTCTTGCGATGCCCAAAAGTACGTACACCTTTTGGCGGTGATAAAGCACCAGGTTGTGCATATATTAAGGCGTCAAAGGCGTCGGAATCAAAAGGTTCCTTCCCCAGGTTTGCCCGTAGCCTGGGTCTGGATGGCGCCGGGTTGACAAAGCCATGCCTAAGAACAGGAACAGGCGTGATTGGGCGAGCCTCATCCACACCATTCACTGTCACATTTTGGTCTGCCGGACCAGCTCCATCACCATTCACCATGACAACGGGCCTTGGAGAGTCGGTATCCCTATCAACCATGATAACTGAACCCGCTGAGCCAACGCTCTCATCCAGATCCATCATGACGACTGGGCTCGCTGACCCAGTATTACCATCCTCATTTAGGTTTACTGGGTTTGCTGAGTTAGCTTCATCATCCCTATTCAATGTCAAATCTGGGCTCGCTGAGCTGGTGCCATCATCATCATCCACAATGACAACCGGACTCTGGGTATTGAGAGTATATCCGTTGGCAAGTATAACAGGGTGATGTGATGTGACAAGTACAGCGGTATGAGACGCCCCATTGATCGTAAACTTCTTGATGATGGGGTTTGTTAACGTACCCAACGACTTCAACATTGTATCTGTGTCCTTACCGCTCCCGATAGAGACTGCCTGCTTCCGCTTCCCCAACGTGCCATTAGAAACACCATTTTCCAAGTCTAGGTTTGTAGCAGAAGTATAGCCAGAACCCGGTGTTGATTCTTGGTAAGCTGTAAGCCTGGCACTGGATTGCGACTTTGGTGTGGAGGAAGAACTTCGCATTTCAATAGCCTGTACCACCGTAGGGGTAGGTTTAGTGGTACGGTTTTCCTTGCGAAGGCTGGGAGGCTTAGTGGGACGCTGCTTGGAAGCAGTGGAAGTTGGCGTGGTACCGTTCTTGCTCGATTTGGGGTTGGCCACCACAATGTCAGGAAAAAGCATGGCAAAGGTAGGAGAGGCGCTGAATTCCTTATGGAGCCCATTTAGGCTGGGCCTAGAGTTCGCCTGGCCATTCTGCGGCCTTGGGGCGGTGCTAAGGGTATGGTCTTTTCTTACTTCGCCTGGAGCGTTTGTAGCGGAGAGCATGTCTGTTGGCGGCCTCTGACTGTAGCTGCCGAACGTAGTCGCAGGTTCCGAGACTTGGTTGACGCTGACAGGGAGACTGCCATTCATGAGGTGGGCGTTGAGGTTGGCGGTGTTTGTGGTGGTAGATGAAGAGCGCTGCTGCTGCTCCTTCAGGCCCGGGTTGGCGCTCCTGCCTGCATTTGCAAGGGAAGGTGATGCGCAGGAGACAGATCGTTTGATGGAGTTCCAGCCAGCAGAGTTAGCATGGATCTTGGCTGGGGGATTCTCTTGATGAGACGCAGACTTGGGCAAGTTGAATTCGTGTCTGCAAGTTATTGGGGAGGAACTAGCCGAAGGTGTTTTTTCCGGCGCGGGCCGGGAGGCCGTGATGGAATGAGGCGCGAAGGCCCTCTTGGTCCTCTTGGTCTTGACTTTCTTCCCACTTGAACTGGGCGCGTGCTGGTGATGATGGGTGCTATTGGGTGTCCCCGCGGGATAAGCATGGGGATGGGGGTGAGAATTGGTGTTTGCATTGGTGGTGGCAGTAGCAGTAGCGGTGGTTGTGGTCGTGGTTGTGGCGGTAACAGTGACAGTGATGCTACCGCCACCAGCACCAGGGCCGGCACTCCCTTTGTTGCTTGCACCGTTGGCGTGGCTTGTGGTGCTATTGGTGTTAGTAGTGGTCGTGGTAGTGCTGGCACCGGGATTGAAGCTGGCATTGATGCCGTTGTTGACGCCGCCTACGCTGTTGCTGTGATTGCCCGTGCCGTTTGGTCTTGGGTGGTGGTTGTTGGTGGTGGCATTGTGTTGTTGCGATGTAGCTTTGCCTGAGTTGAGATAGTAGTGCGCGTTTGGCGCGCCATTTGTAGTAACCCCGCTAAACGAGGTCCCTGGGCTCGGGGCCTGAGAATATCCAGCGTGTTCCAGCATGGCGGAGAGATAGGTAACAATAGGAAAAAAGCGCCACCCTCGCAGGAGATGAGAAGGTGAATCAAGCGTCTGTTTGAACTACCGCGCTCTCAGCATGCCGCGGAAATATCAAAAAGGCATGAAAAGACGGGGCTGTTCAAAATTGAAATGGATAGAACCTGACCTAGACAATAATCGAACCCATTAGCATGATGAGACCATAATGAGCGGCGCAACCAAAGCAGAAAGAACACCACATGTCGAAGTCGTCAGATCTTTTCAGTTTATTTTCGAGCCTTCATCCGTGGAACAGCAGCGGTTGCAACAACACCTCAGAACATCAACCCGAGAGGATCAGTTGTCAAAACTCGGCTCCCCCCTGCATTCCCACTGTTGGCCACGGCCTTTCGTCTGGATCCATAGCGCGTTTGGGATCCAAACACCATGTTGTGGCCTGCGTGTTGATGACTGTCTGGCAGCCGGGGCTCAGATGCCAAATAAGACACATATGAGCCCACAGATAACGAGGCTTATCCGGACATGGCAGTGAAGCGAGAAAAGACAAGCCGGTGGCCGCTAATCTGCTGTCATCCACCAAAATAGGAGTGTCGCTGAGCGAGGTATTGAAGCACCCAGAAGGTTCCGTTAAGTCAGACCTTTTACCATCGGCATCATTCGATTGGCATGTTGGTGTATAGGCAGTGGACAAGTCAAGCATGTTCTGGATTCTACTTACTGAGTGTCGGGAATACCCAATGAAGCCGGGAGAGTCGAGGAGATTCCGCCAGGTTCTTGCGCCTTTTGCCAGCGTTCAGTCGGCCGGTTGAGTGAAATGGGCGAGACACCGAGAGAAAGCGCGTTTGCGCGCAACAGCACCAAGCCGTGTCAAACTTCAGAGACACGGCCGCTGCACATAGCCTGACAAAAGACCATGTCTATGGGGCGGTTCCACTGATGTGATGCGATGCGATGCGCGGTGCCCTGATCCAAGCTCAAAGGTCGTGTTCAGCCGGAAAGTTTGCTGGTTCCGTTTGTACACGTGAGTGGTGAAAAGCAATCGCGAAAGCCGGAGCACACCGACCACGTCTCCCACACAAGGAAAAAAGACAGATAAGACGTATTAAGATGATGCAAAGAAAAATAAATAGAGGGCCAGTGCAACGAGGCAGGATCCGACCTAACGACACACCGCAGGGGAGGTCAGAGAGATCTACCCGCGTGTTTTTGCTGATGCGAAGACCAAGGAAATGCAGCAGAAGAGTCAAGTTGGTAATTAAGCAAGTAGAAGTGGAGGCCAAGCGTGTTATGGGGGGTTCCGTAACGGGCGAAGCGCCTAGGGGGGGACAAGCCCCGGCGGGAATTCAATCATTCAGGTGGGGAGAGGCCCCTGGGCCACCGCGGCTGCCAGCTAATGGCAGTGGAGGGCCTGTGGTTGGCCCAGCGCACGCAACCTGCCCAGGGCTCTTATTTTTGTCTCCGACGTGGCCCAAGCGCCGGCGACAGTCCATCCTACCACCTACCAAGTGCAGCAGGAACGTGCCACCACCCGTCCGAGCCGTGGCCTTTGCTTCAGCGTCTCGCTAATTGCCTGACGCCCGGGCCTTCCATCCACATAGGCCAAGTCATTACTCAGGGCCTCGAGGTCACGCGCCATGACTGCTTTGCATCTCGCCTTTTGTGTCTTGTAATCCAATGTAAGATCGTAGATGCTTGAAGCCTTTCCCAAGTAATCGCCACCCACATTAGCCCATGCGGCTCAAGTTGAGGAATTCATGTGTACTTCGGAATGCAGCCAGGAACTAATCTAGCGGGGAGTCTCTGCCTATCCAAAACTCGCACTGTAGGTCTAGCTGGCTGGCATATTATTCATTCCACAGAGCATGGCCCGATTTGCCGATCTAATCTCACCTTGCCTCTCTTCTTCTAACGGCTGCGCTTTGTTCTTCGATTACATTACTAATTCAACAATATGGGAAACCTACGACACCCGAGCCAAGAAGAACATCGCGTGCTACAAGTAATACAACAGCTGATGAGATCCTGCAAGTGCAAAAGGCGGTCGGTGCAGGGGTGATAAGCCTTGTCTACCTAACTTGATCAGAAGATATTGGACTGGATTGGGGAACTACAACGTTCTCTTCTCTGCCGTCTTTCAGTCCTCTCGGTGCAACGCTGGCGATTGGCGGATTCGCTCGCCTAATGTAATCAATACTACCACACCCACTCAGAACGGAACTTTTTGCCCGCCCTCTGCCCAATGAGTTCATGGGACATTGGGAATCACCTGTTGCTAGCGACGCCGCGCACGGTCATCATCAGCCTCGGGTCTGGGTCGGTCAAAAACGCTGGTTCAAGTGTTCTGAGCCATATTATCGGCTGGTGGGTCGAAAACAAGACGTTCGAGCAGTCTTACACCGACCTCGTGAGGCAAAAAGAGTTAGACGATTGATGCAGGCCCAACCCAGGATAAGCCGGATACCCTGAAAGTGGGTCGAGCCCAAGAACGATTGTTTTTTGCACGACAGCAAAACAGCCATCGATATCTTGATGATCAAGTATAATAATAGACTATCTGGTAGTTTTTAATAGGGTGATGGATCCTCACTCGTACTGCGAAATAGGCCAATTACCACGTATATTTAGAGGGTCGCTGTCTCAACTGCCCTTCGAGCTGGCACTCTACCAAAAACAAGCTTGGAAATAATTGCTCACAAGTCAGGAGTCCACATATACTGATCATGTTCGCGATGTGTTCAGCCACGACACCAATTATGTTTATTCCATTTCTTTTCTATTACATTTAAATATTCCGGCAGGTGTGTCTGATAACAGTGAATTAATATCAATTATTAGACACGAGGTTGGCATAACGAGTTCACTTCCCTTCTTCAAACTCTAGGGTACCAGGGTTAGGGTTGCACTGTGTAGAAGAAATCATTTGATCAGTCCGAGGCTGGACCCAACAGCAAGCATCCACGACAGTAGCCTGCCTTGCCTGCCGGCGGTAATATAAGGAGGGGAAGATAATATGATATCAAACGGGAAAGAGATACGTCGTGATCGGCATAGTGCCTCGTGCAGTGGCTACTTCTCAGTCGTTTCAATATGCACTGTGGAGTGAGATTATAGTCCTGGAAATTGTCGTGCCATACGAGCTTGAGCAACACGCTATCGAACAGAACCAATGCACGTCAACGAATATGCCATTAGGAATATAGCACTGGTCTTTCTTAATCTATTCTTAAATCAAATATTTGTTCAATTTATTTCGACAGAAAAGTGCTGATGTTAAACAGTTCGGGCGAGCCATCAGAGCAAATCCGGGATGGTTTTTCGCACAAGATGCTTTTTGCAATGCCAAGCCACTGACCAGATACCGATGCTGACCTGAGAATGAAGAATGGAAAGAAGACTACAACCTACTTGCACTGTGAGTATCCAAAATAAAATCAATCCTCTTTCATGATAACTATTCTGATACGCCGAAATTTCAAAGGTGGGCAGCAGACGAGACTGGAACTATGCCTGCGTTTGATCCACTTCCAGGTGTTTTGCCACCTTAGGGATCTGACATCCGATCAGTCTTTCTCTCCTGATAAGCCATTAGTTGACCACATTTAATTTTTGCCGATTCAACCTATTTCCAGCATGGGATTGCCATAAGATCTCGGGCCAGAATAGGCTTGGGTGAGGATGAGAGTTGCAACCACTAGATTCCAGGCGTGAGTGTGGGCAGCCCTCTGATTGGCCCTTGGTTTTGAGGGTCCTCATGCCGCCACCCGTTATGCCGGATAATATATTCATCCGGCGGGGTGGTTCCAGAACTTGCGTTCCGGCGTCGGAGGGGCACTAGTCTAGCAGGACTCATCTTCGTCCCGAGTGGAAAATCTTTTGACGGTTAAACAAGAAAAATCGCGGCATCATGGCGAACTATTCGAAGAGTGATACTCATACTGAGTCCCAGATCTACCTCTCGACACGAGGCGGTGATTACGGTGTATGCTGTTTTCTTGTCTTTTGGCATTGGTACCGTTCAGTCGCTAATTCACTATTGCCAGCTTTCATTTGAGAATGTGGTCTTGAAGGGACTCGCTGCAGATGGCGGTCTTTTTCTGCCTCATGAGATCCCCTCTGCAAAGGATTGGGTATGTCTCTCCCAGACTGATAGCCCTGGCCAAATTTCCCCAAGACGCCCTGTCTGGACAATTGGCATTGGCTGCAGCCCCCTGAATGACGATCCCTAGGGGTCTAACAAATCCAATAGGAGAGCTGGAAAGATTTGTCCTACACAGAGTTGGCATTGAAGATCTTCAGCCTATACATTTCAACATCCGAGATCCCAACTGATGACCTGAGAGCTTTGATTGAGCGAAGTTATTCCACATTCCGCTCAAAAGATGTCACTCCATTAGTTCACCTGCACGACAACATCCACCTGCTGGAACTTTTCCACGGCCCCAGTTTCTCCTTCAAGGACTGCGCCCTGCAGTTCTTGGGTAACCTTTTCGAGTATCTTCTCGCCCGTAAGAATGAGGGAAAGGAAGGCAATGGTAAATTTCATGACCGTACCCCTGACATGTCAAGAAACTAATAGGAGAGCAGATAGGCACCACCTGACCATTGTCGGCGCTACTAGCGGTGATGTAAGTCATGACCCTCTATATATGCACACTTCACCTAGCTGACATTCCGTTAGACTGGATCTGCAGCTATTTATGGTCTTCGAGGCAAGAAGGACGTATCAGTTGTTATCCTGCACCCCAAGGGCCGTATTAGCCCCATTCAGGAAGCACAGATGACGACCTGCCCCGATGCCAACGTTCACAACGTCGCCGTGACTGGAACCTTTGATGATTGCCAGGACATCGTCAAGGCACTGTTCGGAGATGCCGACACAAACAAGGCTGTGAAGCTTGGTGCCGTCAATTCGATCAACTTTTCGCGAATTCTCGCCCAGATTGTTTATTATTTCTACTCATACTTCCAGCTCGCCAAGACGTCTTCAACATTTAAGGTTGGGG